ACAAACTCTGGTTAATTAAATAATAAATGGTAAGTTAACGGTAGCGGAATTAAACAAAATTATTCGAATGATAAGTACTATTGAAAAATAACAAGTCAGTGAAATATTGTAGCAAGACACTCTGTCAGTCAATTCATCACGATGGGCTAATTCAGCTGGCTGGGAAGGGGGGAGAAGGAATTATTAGTTATGGGAATTAGCAACCCCATTACTAGCAATAATATCAGGTTGACCTTCTCGCGGTCCCTTCTGGAAATCGACTTCTGGCCAACTGGTCTGCATCACCCCCATCTATCATCCTTCACTAGTACCCCGCCAGTTTAAGAAAGTCACATCCCTATAAATATCGTAATACCCTCCAATCGCGTAATATTCTACAACAACAACATGGTCTTCTCTTGCCCACCGGATGATGTGTGGGCGGGCGAGGTAGGGGCCTCGGGGTGTACCCCATTACCCCGGCTTCTACTCCGGAGGCGACGACCTCCGGGTCACTGGGTTTGCAGCCGGCATACACTGATGGTCTGTGTATGCTGGCGTGGTGTCTTAATATTCTACCGATTCCCCCCCTGACATAAGAAAAACAGACAAATGGTCGGCCCCAGTCCAACGTCTACCGCGTAACACTCTGCATCGGGTTGCTGTTGTGCGCCTACTTACTGTGTAGAGAACTCGTGAATCCCCTGGACATTCCCTATTATCTTTCCCAAGTGTCGCGAGTGATTATTTACCTAACATATATAGCGTGGTTTTCACAAGTAGACCAAAATAGATCAGCGCCATTGTGACATTCACGTGGCGTGGCTTCCTGAAACCTGGTGCATCCTGAGCGTGTACCGCTTACGCTAAATCTGCAGTTCAGATGAGTCCGTACCATTTTGACATACAAACTTCTTTTATGGGACCTAGAACCCGGGCCCAGCTTAGGTCTCATATTGTTACTTTCGCTTCCACTTGTGCTAACATATATTACAATTTAAATCAAATTCCTTAACAAGCTCTGTTACTTTTAATTTATATCACTTCACCATTTCATTATCATCCATTTTTAATATTATTTTTTTTTATCCAACTGAAATACAGTTGCATAAAGTTCAATTTACAACTTATATTGAGCGAGATTTACGTTGAAGGGACTCGCTGAAAATCGTAGTGATTAGCAAGAGCCCCACCGACGAGAACACAGCTCTTAAATAGGATAGATATTTTTTTTATACAACTTAGAATGGCAAACAAGCTGACAGTCCACCTGATGGAAAGCGGCAACCGTGGCCTACAGACACGAGCAGCACCATGGACACAACAGAGTATACCGCTTCGCCCATGATACCCCCCATGCGTTGCCATTCCTGAGGACCCAGGTGTTATTCCTCTGTACCCAGTAAATTCATGCCATATCCCACCCTTTAAACCGAAACACAGCCATGTAAACACAACTGCTTCACGGTTGAAACACGAATGGGACAGAGGTACCCCAGCAATCGATTTTTGTACAAAGTCTCCCTCTGGTATAGATAGATAGATTGAGCGAGAAAAAAGTCTACATTACCTTCCGTCCCCAAACTAGGCCAAACCTGTATCTATAACAAAATAAAATTATCTCTAATCAGCATTAGTCAAGCCAATGCTATAGTATAAACTTTTTTGATGGCCATAAGGATGGAGAAACGAGTGCATGTTTTAATTTAAAAGGACCTATAAAAAATTGTAATATTTCACGAAGTAGGTACTCGTGTGAAATTACATGATCCTTCGTTTGATTCCTGAATCCATTGAATACGATAAATAATACATAAGCAGCGGCATTTCATGAAATGCAAATAACAAGAGTCCTTGGCTTTGCACCTACATTTTTGACACGTGCTTTTTCATAGACACACCAATATTTTTAACCGATTTATTATTTTATCTTAATAATAAATAATAGTTAATCTACAAAGTAGAATTCTCTACAAATTGTCTATTCCCTTTTATTATAATGTAATAACTACCGATTTAACTTACGTGTTAAGATCGAGAAACCTTGACTAGTTTCAGGATCAATTCGTGACCCTTAATCTTGTGTTAACTATTTCCTATTTTCAAAATCCACATATGATGACGTATGATCCACGTATGATGTCGCAGATGCTAGTTTAACACATAATAACTTTTACAACCTGGACGTTCGAGGGTGAAAATTCCTTTGTAACCGCATTGTACGCTACCATTTAGGTTCAAGCGTGTGAGAAGGAATTCCCTGTCGATAACGAGCGGTGCCATGATAAAAGGTGGCTGTGGTACTGTATGGTATTCTATGGAAATTAACTTAGTACAATTTGTTACCGGCACGTGGATATCTGAAATTATATTACTATTAATAAACAACTAGCAACCCGTCCCGACTTCATGTTTTTTTTAATAAAATACATGCTATAATACACACTAATAATGTAGCTTTCTACAGCGGATTCTTTTTTAAATGAATGAAGTATTTTTTACTTTACGTTCACAAAATTATAAAGAGGAAGGACTTGATTTTATGTTTGTAATAGATCATATGAACTCCATACCGTAGGTGACGGAAACCACCAACAAATGCATTTCGAAAAGGGGTTGACGTCAGGCAGGCGGTCGGTCGTAAAACTATAAGCCAAATCTTTTTGTGATATGGATAAAAACATATTACACCGATCCCAAATAATAATTGGGTTAAGGGTAGGAAAATGATGAATGGATCATATGAACTCAAAAATATATAATATCAATAGTAACATCTTCTGTATTTTATTTAAAAAAAAAATAAAGATTGTCTATACCTATTTATCCATGCGAAGCCAGGGTGGAGTGCTAGTAATAAATGTTTATGAAAATTTATCAATACGCTTCAATATTGTACACATTGAGTAATATAGATGCTGGTAAAAATACCTACATATAGGTATTATAGATAGGCAATTTGTAAATTTATTGCGAAATATGATTGTAATCAAACGGCCGACTAATTATTTGTATGGAAGATTGGTTGAGAATCTCGTCCTTTCTATCTATCAATTCTAATTGAATTTTTTTTTATACAACTTAGAATGGCAAACAAACTGACGACCCACCTGATGGAAAGTAGTAACCATAGCCTATAGACATGAACTGTACCATGGACATAACAGAGTGTATTGTTTCGCCCATGATACCCCTCATGCGTTGCCATTCCTGAGGACTCAGGTGTTATTCCTCTGTACCCAGTAAATTCACGCCATATCCCACTCTTCAAATGGAAACACAGCCATGCAAACACAACTGCTTTACGATTGAAACACAAATGGGACAGATGTACCCAAGCAATCGACTTATATACAAAGTCGTCCTCTGGTAAATTTATCTAGTTTTCACCATATTACTAACATGGGAATATAATTCTCGATATTTTTATTTGTTTATTTACACTGTATTGCACCATTTTTTATTATAATATTTAATAAAATTTTTAGGTCTAAACCGTAAAAAATTACAAAAAAATATAAAGTTTCCATTTCATGTATTAATTAATAAATATGCATTTTCAAGTAACCTAAAAAAAAGTATAAATTACGATTAATACCTTATAATTTCGTCAGTTGTGAACCGATTTGAAAAATACTTTTTTTATACAAAAGGACATACTTACAGATTTGTCCCATAGAATTTTTATCAAAATCGGTTCAGCACTCAACTGCTTTTAGATCAAAATAACTCGTTTTGACACAATTGAAAGCGGTTTTTTCTTTTGTGTGACACAATATTTAATTATTATAAATTAATTAATAAACGATTCAGTGAACAAACCTGTTGAGTGTCATTATTTTATTTATTTTGTGAACACAAATTAAGATTTATTATTTTATATAATTTAAATAAGTATATAAAATCAATAAAATTTGATCTAATTATATTTAACAAAAGGACTAGGAATGGGGCCCAATTTATAAGTAATTAAGCGTTCTGACAATAATTGCCGTGTCAAAAGTGTCTCGTTAATTTATTTACTTTTTATTGTACCACTTAAAGAATAATACAAAGATAAATATATATTATACTTATGCAGAACAAAAGATAGTCTTATCGCTAAGGCAATCTTTTCTAGACAAGAGATATTATTCTGCTTAATTTTAAAAATCATAAAAATTTAAAATTTTATATAACTAGAACCCACTATGAAATTACGAAAATAATGAAATACATCTGAAAATGTCAACATTTTATTAAAATAAAAAAAAATTAATAAGATCTATATAAATAATTTCTTCCTTTTCTGTACTGTAGATGTCGTAAGAAGCGATTAAGGAAACTTAATGGTAGAGGGATGGGCAGTAGCGTTCCTCTTAAAACATGTCTAAAAGCCTAACAGTGAGTGCCAACCAGCCTGCCAAACCCCCTTATGGAAAAGGCTTATGTTCAGCAGTGGACAGTTAACAGCTAAAATGATGACGATAAATAGTATAAATAATATATTGTATTAGAATACTCCTTATCCGAGATCATAAAGGTATTTAATTTTTATTTCATTTTCTAAATACGCAGATTTCTAAATGTCTGTATGTACCTATGGTGTATATTTAAGTGGGCATTACTATCGAATATAGATACGCAATTTCAAGCAATATATACTGGCCAACCTTATTACAGTTTAAACGCAAAAACTAATACGTCATACGATAATTTTGAAGAATAAATTGACTACACTGGGCAATTTATATTACGCCATTAAAAATTACCGAAACCCGTCAAAATAACGCGCTTATCAATCAGTTACAGATTTCGTAGAAACACAAAAAGCGCGCCACAAACACATGACTCAATCGCGAATTAGCTAAAAAATTGGACACTTTGACTCAATAGCGCAGACTAGAGTGTGATTACACAGAGTCAGAGCAAGTTACGTAAATATTCGCACACAAACGCAAAACGAGCACACAAACGCAAAACACTCACACTAGCGGAAAATTATACTGGTGTGTGTAGTGCAAGCCGCTAGTCGCCCGACCCCACTACAAAATTCAGTCGCACTCTAGACCTCGTTGTGAACAGACGTGTCCAACTAGACAGAGTACTACGCAGCATCATTCGCATTGGATATTTCGTCATAACAACATTGTGTTTGTGAAAAATATTCATTGAAAGGACGTGAAAAGTGGGAGTGAAAACATTTTATTTATTGTAACAATATTATTGTGAACTTGGAAACAGACAATATAGTGAATTGCTGTTTTATGTGAATTATGACATTGTACCCCCAATTTGGATAATTCCGGAAAAGGAGTACATTTATACCGCAAATATTTTTGTAAGTATTTTTATTATTATTATTACAAACAATTATTTTCTTATTAAAAGTGTGTTCATAAATCATATTAATTTTACAAAATTTTTAAAATGATAAAAATGTTTAAAAAAACCACATTACATAAAAAATTTTAAAGTTTAGTTGATAAACTGAACTTTTAAGGATATATATAAAAATTAAATTCAAATTCAAATAAAAAATTATTACCCTCCGCGAAAGTTTCAAATCAAAAAGTAAAAGAAAATTTTTATTTCTATTTCTAACAATTTCAATTGAAATTTTTATAATAAAAAAGAAAAAACAACAAGCTAATAATTTCAATCCATATCGAAGCAAACATATTAATATTTAAAGAAATTTCCTAAAATCAGAATTCTAACTTTTTAATAAAAAAAAAAAAAATTTATTTATTGATGAGAATTTCAAATTGTTCATTTTCTAATCATTTTATAATTAAGAAACTAGCATTGTATTCAGATGCCATTTAAAATAAAATTTTTAATACTTTTACGTTAAATCCGCATATAAGATTATGCGCTACATTCAATATTCATGCAACCCATATTAAGTCATGGACAATAAATAGCTGAAATTACGACAATGATAACAATGATGAAGCAAAATTCATAGAAATATTTATCTCACAAGTCAATGACTCCCTAAGAAAATGTTAGTCATCATCCGATACTTGTTGCCAAAAATTTCATCTACAACCCACGACTTCCTAAACGCATGTAAGCGTAACGTTCTCACTGATAAAACAGTGCCGACCACATTTTCCTTGTTTACAATCTTTTGTTTGCGCTTCTCCTTCCTCAGTATGTTTTCGTATAACCGTTTACAACTTTTATACAGTCTTAGTATTGATTTTTTTCTATCCTGATTTTGCATATTCATTGATAACACCATTATGTCTCAATTGTTCTTTGATATCTCGATATTACAGAAGGATATTTATAGAAAAATATTGAACTGCGATTTGGTATCAGATAAGTTAACCATAATAATGTTATCGAATTATTGTTATGTCACATAGACAGACAGTCAATATACGATAAATTATATCAGTGTTGATCGTGATATGTTCTTTATTATGTAGGATTTCAAAGTATCTCTTAGGTCTAGCATCTGAGAAAAGTAATGAAAATAATGATTGAACCAAAATGTTTCTACAAAATAATCTAATAAAACTTTGAAATAGAAATAACATAAATATAGATAATCTGAATAAATCATGCAAATTTACAAAGTCAGCAAAAATACTGGCAAGAAGTAAATTTTAAATTACTAATGTCCAAATTATATTTTTCATGAAAAAGTTTGCAATCGAAATTCAAAATATGAATTTGGAACGGCTAATTGGTGTATTGCAAGTACTAGTTAACCTAGCGTAGTGTCGTAAGCAGTGCGCCTGGCACCGCAGTTCTGTCGTAAGCCATTGTGAGCCGCTTACACAACTGGTTCAAGGTTCCAATCCAGCGTGCATTCGCCCGCGGATGTGCGGAAACTTAATTAATGTTTCTTTTTTATTTTCTATCTGCATTCTTGCTGAGTTGCCAGTTTTATTTTTACTTATAATAGTAAACCAATTATACTTAACCTGGTTAAAATTTTAAACTTATAAGTTCCTTTATCACAGATAATGATTTCCCCCTAATAATTCAAGTCAGTAATTATTTAATTAGATTTATATACACTCTTCTCATAATTTACGTGACTATTATATGTAAATTCCCGTGCATTCGATTTTCATTATATTTTCTATACCCGGACAGGTTTCTTTTTATTCAACGTCTACATTTTTTCATAAAAATAAAAAATAGATTAGATCGAGCAGCTAAGATCAAGATAAACTTTAAATGACTCATGGGGTTTTAAATTATGTACCCCATCAATGATTTCATCATTGTATTCTTCCGGTATTAATCATCTTAATTCTCTAAAAGCTATAATAACACTATTAACTCCGTTTTGCACGTCTATTCTGTCTGAGTTAAATTTAATTTGTTGTTAAGGTAGAGCATTCCATTTATTGGGCATTCCATTTTTAAATATTGGAAATTTAAAACATGAAGTACGCAATTTTAAAATTGAATCCAACAGAATATAGGTATGATTCTTACATAGGTACGTTTGATTTACAAATTGTTTGTTCAATCAAACAATAGCCTGGCATTTCTAAGTTTAAAACGGTCGTTGCAGGATCGATCGGTCAGTAAAGGTCAGTTTGCCGTGTACCTAGATGTATGACGCAACTGTCCCAGGGCGGGTTGCGCAATACGCTGCAATATGAACTAGTTCATTCTAGGGCAGATAGCTTATCAATAACAATGAGTCATATGCATTTCTGAAAAACAGCATTGTGGCAGTATTAATACAGATAACATGACTAACTTAATAACAATGCGTATGATTCTCCAATAGCAGCGACTGAAGGCAATGCATTTTTAGGTACAAAAAAAACATTTCTTATCTCCTATAATCCTTCACGGAAAATAGCCGCAAAAATTTAAATACATAGGGTCAATGTTGGTTTCCGGGTAATTTAAATAGCATACCTTGTAACAAAGAGTTAGAATGTATAAATAGACTGGCGTAACAAGATACAAAATGCATTCAAAGTACAATGATGTAATACAACAGGAACTACATAGCAAGGTTTACCGGAAGATTTGAGCAAAGGTTACATTGCCCGTGCATTTAGTTGATCATGCATCGTAATTGTATTTGAATTTCATAATGCACGTGATGTATCTGGCTGACTGGAAGGCCCTGATATATAAAGCAGTGCACGTAATATCGATCATGCTATTAAATATGAATTGATAATCAAGCAAATTTCCATTGCTTTACAAAACGCAATGTATATAATTTTGCGGAGCAGTTTCTACATCATTAAAAACTTAACTCTGTTAAAATATCAACAGTATATAAATTTAAACCTTTATACGACAATAAAAAAGATAATGAGCATGTCAGTAATGATACATGGATGATACGGATATTGTCAACTGAGAATAATCAAATCGTCATTATCATCTCAATAACGAATATACCATGACGTAGCTTATGTTGATTCCTTGTCTGGTGATGTCATTTGATATCATGATGTCAATGTAATGTTTTACTTACAATATAAATATAATTGTACCTGGTCTAACTTCAAAAGCTGCGAAATATTTTAGTCAAATCTAGTTTTTTTTCAATTGTAGTTTGTCAGTATTACAAGTATTATTGTCATATATGTATTACAGTTTTATTAATACCCATAGACCCATCTTTTCCTACATTAAATTCTAATATACTCTACGACGTACGAGCAAATCTATCAAATCACAGCAACCTGCGTTATAATCGTCAAAAGAATATCATCTCTATAATTGTTTTATGACCAATAGATAGCTCTTCCACTGTATCAGTGACCTATACCTCTGACTAATTCTCCTGAAGTTAGGTACGTTCTTTGTTACTATAATAGAGAACGTGTATCATCTATATTATTATTAAAAATACTAATAAACTACAATTTAAATGGAATTACGTAAGATTTTTCAGGCATAATAACATCAGCGATAATTTCACTGGTACGAGGACAACCGAAGATAACTTGACCTATTTTTTTTATCTCGCTCGCGTAACTAACCCACTTAGTGATGAGTATGTGAGCATACAACCAATTGCGTTTAAGTGGAACAATACGCGTCACTTTATTTTTTGAGGTCCTCGATGTTTGACAAGTAATGAGTAAATAGGACATCAGTAATTGATGTAATGTTTAATATATATGTATCTACATTAGTGAAACTACACAATAAGTTTCCAATGTCAAAGATACGAATAGTTTAATGACGGTATTTCCAATGACTCGTTATTATGTCTCTTAATAATTTTCTAAACACATCAAAACAAAGGTGATTTATAGCAAGATAGTCAGACCATTAAAATTCTGCTGTTTAATACTTCCGAGAAGCGGACTTCTTATATTGCATAAGCAGCTAATAGGTAGTGTTAAATGTAGCACAGTAAATAGGTTAAGTGTTTCTGAATAATCTAGCAATTAGCAGGTGTGGAGCAAGGACTGTAAGTGGGTAGGCAATAAGACAATTGTGAAGGATCTCTCAACTTTATTTTTTTATACTAAAAAAAAATATGAAGAAGAACCGGGAAAAGATTCGGGCCTTGACACATATAGCGTAGACTGAAGTATTACGAAACGCAACCTTGACACCAAAGCATTATCGCTCCGACCGATAGAGGCCGCCCCAAAATAACTCGATCCCGAATTGTTTAATTGGGTCTCACTACGCTCAATGTGACTGCGAAAAATCGGTCAAGTATGCGCGATTTTCAACGAAAAATGCTTGAAACACTTCCAGAAATGCTGACCTTAGACCAAAACCTTCTTCAACAATGTATAGCACAAGGAAGGAGTCACGCCAGCGTTCAGAGACAAAACAAGTGACTGGCGCGACGAAAGTTTACAAAACATTTGCATCTTGACATAATCTATGGCCAATAGACAATGAGCATTCGGCGCCGACCTACAACTGTCTACTTTGATTGACAATAATATCTGAAATAATAATGACTGTGCTGTTGTGCACTTTAAAATTTTCAACATTGAGAATAGAGCTAATAAATAGTTCTATTGCTCTAACTATCATTGGCAGTAAAATGTCAAATCAAAGATGGCGGTCGGCCTACTTTTCCCGCGCAATAAACGTTGTGCGCGTGGAAAGTTACCACTGTACTACTTTCTCTACTTTTCCAAGATGGCTGGCGTTATTTGAAGTAAGGTCAAGATCACACATTTATTTCTGAGTTGGTAAATGGCACTTATATTTATCAGTCGCACTATAGTTCTTTCTTAATGTTTCCTTTTCCTTATTAGTTTTTCTAGAAATTGTATTTTGTAGCAACCTGGAATATTACCAACCAATCCAGTCATTCATGGCCTTCAATATACCGAATATCATGGTGTATTTATAAATCGTGATACGACATTAGGATGTAACTAAACCATGTTTACCGAGAAGACCTCTGAGCCGCTCACAGAGTAGGTACCATATATTATTCCGATAATATATTTTTATCGTATTACTGAATTAATTTAGATACTTCTTACACAATGATGTATATAAATAGCTGTATCGCATGAATAGGTAACGGTCAAGGGCAAAGATTACCGTTTGCACGTCTATTATCAATTAAATTCCACGTTTCGAGATCACGTTGCTGTTTATATAACGGTGTAGACTGTGGAGAGGATCAAACGTGCATCGGCGTCGTGTTGCGCAAGCGTCAACGTGAGGTTCAAGAACGGACACGTGCTGCGGGCCGCGTGACCACCGCGCCACCGGCACGTGTTCCGCCCGCACAGGCGACTGGCAATTGCGCCGGGTAAGGTCACTGTCAGAAAAACAGAAGCATCCCTCGCGAAGCCACAGATTAAGAATGGCGCCGCTAAACGTATTCTTTATCTGCAACACGAACAATACTAGTTGGGCGTCATTACAAAAAAATCGCGTTCAGTGTGTCACTAAATAATGTATTGTGTAATTATTTGTATTTCTTTGTTCCTGACGGCAGATATGTATGATACATTTTATACCTAATCCAACAAATGAGTCAGTCTGGACAGTCTGCGGCTTATCGTAAAAACGTAATAGGTATACATAAGACTTCACAAATTAAAAATGATCGTGTCAAATGTCACGTAGATAAATAGGTTGGATATTGTATGGTACTCTATTAACATGAATATAATAGGATTAATAAAAGACGATCTAAAAATAGACCAAATGTAAGGTTTCCAACATATGGTACGGGCACGATCTACCCTGACCTACGATCACGTGTAACCTCGCGTGTATTGTTCATGAATATCCAACCTTTCTCAACGAAAAACTGTTATATATAATATTCTTAGATAATATTATAACAAACTAGTTATTAAAGGAGAAAAAGCTATTTATTTAAGGTGTATTTTAATTAATTTAAAATTTACAACAAACATTGAGGGTATTACAAAAAAGAATTATTAATACAGACTTTAATCAAACAGATATGACATTCAAATCTTAATAACGATAATAACCGCAAACCGTTACAAAAAAAAAACACATATGTATTTGAAATGGTATTTGCGCTGATTACCAAAAAAAAATACAAATTAACATCTGAGTAATAGTAATAGCAACACCGCTAAACTGTTAATCCATTAAAAAGATTACACACATAAAACGCGCCTTGCCCAACCTAGCCTTGAATCCAAACCAAATAAAACGAGCTTTTTAACCGGCGAAACGATGACGAAACTCTAATAGCTGTTTCATAACAGTATTACAAGTTTTAGAGACAAGCGATGAGCAAAACCGTTTTCGTGGTACCGTACGCGGTGCCAGTTTTCGGATAACGGACCGCGTGAAAGTACCTTGGTGATTAGCAATAACTGTCGATTGTCAAAAAGCACCGCCCGTTTGATTTGTATCCGTTATAAGATCGAATACTTACGGAATAATCAAACAATTTCAACCGTTACCTTTATATTATAACCTTATTTATAATATAAGCTATTCGTGTAGATATTTTTTTTTTCTTTTGTTAGTATAAAATCAAATGGGTAAGGTATTGGTTATTTATTTTATACTTTACTTTACCGTTCATCTAGATTTAAACTCCCTACTTTAAATACTTAATACGTAACTTAGGTTTACATATCTCTTATTTTCTTTTTTTCAAATAACCCATATTTGTAGTAATAATAAAGATTTTTTTTTTAACAAACTGTACTTAATAATATTCAAAAATTATTAGTAGAGAAAAGTGGCACATCTATTCCACTTATCCCTTCTGATCGCACAATGGTAGAGACAGGTGGAAAAAAAATCCTCTCTTATCTCCCAAGGAGGATAGTTGGTAGAGACAGACCTTATTTTCGTAATCTCTTATAAGACAAGGACTGACTACCTGCACACAAATAACAATTATGATTTTTTTCTTTTTTATTGACTGCAAAATGCAAAATAAAGCGTTACAATTATAGCAGTTTAAAAGAAAACACCTAAGATACCTAATCGCGAATTAAATTGGTTAAAAAAGTCTGTAGAACATCACGGGATATTATAATTATGCGGCCTATAAAAACAATTTATAACTGATAAAAGTAACCGCTCAATTTGAACCGCTGTCTAACTGTGTGCTCCGCGAAGCGTCAACATTATAACGGCCAGTTGCATTTTTTACTAATAATCACGCAAGTCCAGCACTTTAATATGGTAATTTTCGATGTCATTATTATATTACTAACCGCGACTTTGGTCGCATAACTAGAATACAGAGTATTCTCCATCCCAAATATTATATATATGCCAAATTTCGTATTGATTAATAAAAGTGCCAAGAAATAAAGAAAAAAAGCAGTCGTCTAAATAATTTCACATAACTACTAATCAGTACAATATTTAAATAAAAAACATATTCCTTTATTATAATATTTTAAAACGTTAAATACGTATATCTTGAACGCAGTTGCAAATTCTGCAACATTAGTGCTACACATTACATGCAACTCTGAACCGGTTCACTTGTTCAGGCCAATAGGCATTACAGAGTCTGACGAAGACTTACGTCATGATACGAAACAGTTATTACGCATTACCATATTCATTTGTCCTAAATAATTGTCCGAGTGGGCGTACACAGTACGGATAAAAAAGTTCTCAAAACTTTATACACAAATCTAACTGTACAACAAGTACTTAATAGCGACGTAACGGAACGTTCACAAATCACATTTATATGTCCCAATATCTGCTAGTGATTTTCCAATGTGCCACATATATGAAAACTTAGCGACCTAGTTGAATTATATTTTAAATATCAAACTATAAATGAATTAATTCTTAATTTATAAACTAGAACCGTTGACATTTCCAACGTCAACAATAGCGGTCAATTAAAACCGCGATTATTTAAACAGTTAGTCTGCGTAACGGGTGCGCTCGCGCATCTGGGGCGACCTACTGACATCGATGCCGTGGAACATCCGTTCCAGGTAGATATTTAACGAAAACTGTTGAATAAAATATAGTTATTAATAACAAAAATATAGAACCATCAGAAGATAAAAGTATCTAAGTATTAAAATCATTATATAAACATTGCCAATACCGACGATTCAATTAAAATATTTTAAAATTCTTTACCGTCTCTTTAAAGACCTATATAGAATTTCATATGGAGTAAATTGAGCATAATTCCATATAATCCAGCCAATCACGTGGATTTTGACGCGGCGCACTTAGAAAAATAGATTCAAATGCTTTTGGAAATGCATAATGTAAATTTAGAAAGAACTCTCACGTTGCTTACACGACCGCGTGTAGAGGAACGTGATCGACAATTCTTTTTTTCTACACGCATGTTGGTGGCACAGGTATTGTTTTAAAATTCGGAAAAGAATCGTTTATGACTTGCCACAATGGCCGTTTTATTGGTGATTTTACCATTGTTTTTCTTCAATAATAAAACATTGATAACATTGCGTTTTTCGTACTTTTTTTTACACTTCCTGTCGTTGTTTAACATTCTTGCTCATAATTTTAAACAGAATCAGATGGTTTACATAAATCAATATCTACTTTGCCACGCATATTAAAACTAAACGGTGTGTTATGTTAGCGTGAGCTTAAAGACATTCAATTAATAAACTTTTATCGATATACTTACTTAATACATAAAAGTGCTGGTCTAGCCAAAAAGCTGGCCCACGTTAGATCCAACGTGATTAACTTGCGCAATCTGAAATCTATTAGCGGAACAAAAGATTCATAATGCGCAAACTGTGTAACCGGGTCATGCTCTAATCTATGTATCTTCAAGCCAAGTTCTATGCGGAATAAGCGAAAAATAGGTAGACGAGATGCTATAATCTATTTTTTTTTTTATTTTTATTTGGATATCCTTCAATTATAAGCAAAATCTAGATAATCAATGAACCGTAAACTTTGTTAACAGTAGCTCAGGAAGTCAGTTTTGTAACGGAAGAAATCCGGTGTAGCCTTAAAACTGATTTTGTGTAACGAACTCGAAAGGTTAAGAAATACGATTTATTAATGAGTTTGGCTAACATGAAGGGAGTAAAAAGCGTTAAATGAGGCAATATGGTTTCACAAAGGTGATCCACGTGCAAAGTTGCAGCGCGGGATCTTGCGACAGCATTTTTGCAACCATCTGTTTTGTAATCGCGACATTATTTAGACAACTGCAACGGTTTGCGTGTTTTTCTGTAACATGCAAAATTAACGTAACTTTTCATTTGTTACAGAACTACAGTGAAGATTCGTGCGGACCCAGTGTTGTCCGCCGAAACATGGTCGCCGAGTTTATTCTGAGCCAGCAACAATTGCTGGGCGCCGGGGGAGGCGCTGCCTTGGGCCCCGCACCCGCACCACCCAGAGGCCCGCCACCACCACGCACACGCCTCTCCGTCTCTCCACACTTCCCCCTTGAGCCACCTTCTCCCAACAATGGTCCTCCCGGGGACCACCCGGACTACCCTGGCAACTTCGATTTCAACAAACGCAAAGAATTCTTTGGACAACGAAAACAGAGGGAATTTATTCCTGATAGCAAAAAGGATGACGGATACTGGGACCGTAGGCGACGAAACAATGAAGCTGCTAAACGGTCTCGTGAAAAGCGTCGTTTCAATGACATGGTCTTGGAACAGCGCGTTGTCGAGCTTTCGAAAGAAAACCACGTTCTTAAAGCCCAATTGGATGCCATCAAGGAAAAATACGGAATCTGTGGAGAAACCCTTATCAGCATCGACCAAGTATTAGCCACTTTACCAACCTGTGACCAAGTACTTTGTGTCACGAAGAGAAGTAAATTGACTAGTAACGCTCTATTCCCTGCACCTCCACCGCCGCCGCCACCACCAGCTTCTCCTCCATCGCCACCACCTCAGCGTGCACCAGAACCATACCAAGAAAGGCTGCCAGCGCCCGAAGCGTACTACCCTCATCCAGCACATTATGAGCCACCTGGTTCAGTACTCAACCTCTCGCGATCTCGCCGTGCCCCTTCTCCCTATGAACTGTCCTCTCTCTCAGGTTCAGGGGATGAAACCACAGAGCAATACGCGCCAGAGAATAATTGCTTGCCGCTAAAACTGCGCCACAAGTCCCACTTGGGTGACAAGGACGTCGCCAGCGCCCTGCTGTCACTCCAACACATCAAGCAGGAGCCGGGCCCTCGATCGTCCCCTTCTTGGGATGGTGAGGGCTCAAGTGATGAGAGAGACTCTGGTATTTCCCTCGGAGCTGAATATAGGCCGCAGCGACCGGAAGACAGGCTTGTAGAAGAAGACGACGCACACTTAAAGGCAGAGCTAGCGCGGCTCGCGACCGAGGTGGCGACGTTAAAAAATATGATGCACCAGAACAAAGCTCGCGGCCACGAGCACTGAGCGCGGCTGCGGGCTCCTGGAGACCAGCCCCGCTGCGCCTGGACCGCGCAGCCGCCCGCCCGCGCCGCAGCCTCGTCGCAGCCTCGCCGCAGTCTCGCCGCAGCCCCGTCGCAGCACGGCCGCAGCGTCCCCGCTCGTTTCGATGACGTGTCGATCTTGTTCGTACAAACTGTCTCCTACCCCTCTCCTAGTAGAAGTTACCACGTTGTAAAGAAATGAAAATAATATTTGTATCATATTGTGCAGCTGTAAACGGCTAAGCCGTATCGCCTAATTGTAATCCTTCCTAGTAGTTTTATGTCGTGGTCGATGTGTCGTGTAGGGAAAAGAGATCGGTCGTCGTAGGCGACGTGAAGTTTTAAATGAATGAGACTTATACAGTTCGGATAAAGACTTTTCGAGCAGATAAAACTTGTCTACTCAGTGATAGATATAAAAAAATGCATTTTTAGTGGTGAACTATGTATGTATATGTATAATATATAAGTGTAGTAGATCTGTTTCATCTATTCGAAGACTCGTTAGTGAAAATCGTTGGCTAAAGACCTTATATCATTAAGTAGTAGATGTAAGATTGATCTAAGTAAAATTAAGTCCAACATAGATTATTTATAAAAGTTTATGTATAGTATTTCTCAATCAGATTGCCCTGTGTAAGTTCCAAACCAAAAAAGTAAATATGATCCTCATGGAATCGCTTGTAATTTTAGTGATAGATAGTGTAACCTAACATGATTCTACCTAATATTAAAGCAGAACGTATTGAATAATCAGTAATCAGATAAGAATACCAGTGCCTTTGACAATACATACCTACCTATAAATAGCTGCCTAAAATAATATTTTTGTAAATTTATTAAATTAATAGCGATTTCAAACAATTTGTAAAGATAAGCCGGTACTATGTGTTTACGGAAATTTGCATGAACGACTTCTGAAAAGGCTTCGAATAGAAGAGACCGATGCAAAGCGTTAACTCTTTTATGAAGTTTATCATTCACTGTGTACTAGTCCAGTTCTCGCGTTTTCGAAAACACGTAGTTGTGGTCAGAGGAATTCAAACAAATATAATCAATACTAAAGTCGAATGGAAGTATTCAATTTGTAAGTTATACTCCTAGTATTGCCCTAAGGGCATGTGATAGGACTGACGGAGTTAAAAACTAAGTATTTATTTATTGTTCGGACCGAGAATGAGGATTTTACAATTTATTATCTTTGTATAAGAAACACTATACGATATAAATAAATTGTGTACATTACAATTATTTAATGAATTTTATTTTCCCCAAACACTCCGCATCATTATTACTACCTTATTAATATCTATTATAAATATGAATGTGAGCTTATAAATTTGAATGTTGTTTGTTTTTAACCTGTTAACGCCTTAATGGCTTAATGAAATATGGTACAAACGTACTTTATGGAATGGAAATGATTATAGGCTACCTTTTGTCCTAGTCAGTGAACATATCACGATCTCACGGACGAAGTCACGGGTAAAAGCTAGTATATTTATAATTACAGAAGAAACAGAAAATAAATTTTATCATTTAGGTCCACTAATGAATAAATAGGACAATGATTACGATTAATGATTGCTGTATATTTATTACTATAGTAAAAATACATATTATCAAATTTCTTATCACACCTACCACTTACATCATCCTAATGATGAAAAGGATGTACTGTAAAATATTAAACGAACTAGACGAGGTTAATAACCTTATTGCCAGTTTGCGCTTATCAAATTGTTGGATGAGGCAAGAACATTATCTTTTTTACCTCATCATTCAATAATTAGATGTACTAGTATGTACATATATGTGACTTACAAGTAAATATCTACTACACTTCACATCAACTCGGCTTCTAATTACTAATTTAATTAATTAGGTTTAAGTTTGCTGGGAAAGCCCTATCAAAAATCACAAGACTTTTAATGAGTGAAAATAGAATGGTAACCCAACCTGCATTATTGATTTACACTGGCGGAGCACCAATGAGAGATGGTAGATGAGAATGAAAGCATATCAGTTAGCCCTTCGTAATTAATTCCACAAGAATTAACCATAACTTAACTCACAGAACACTGATTTTTTTTATGCAACTTAGAATGGCAAACAAGCTGACGGTCCACCTGATGGAAAGTGGTAACCGTCGCCTATAAACATGAGCAGTACCATGGACGTAACAGAGTATACTGTTTCGCCCATGATACCACCCATGCGTTGCCATTCCTGAGGACTCAGGTGTTATTCCTCTGTACCCAGTAAATTCACGCCATATCCCACCCTTCAAACCGAAACATAGCCATGCAAACACAGCTGCTTCACGGTTTAAACACGAATGGGACAGAGGTACCCAAGCAATCGACTTTTGTACAAAGTCTCCCTCTGATTACACGTTGTTAGTACAAATAATGTCATAATTAAGAAACGAAGCCACATCGCAAACATTAGTGAATTCTACTTAGTTCCCTTGTGTTTATTAAAATGCACCTCAAAATGTACCAACAAATGCAGCTAGTTCAGTACCAGTACAATACGAGTAGCAGTTTAGGGTCGGAAACGCACGCGTAATACCTCTGGTATTGCAGGTGTTCATAGGCTACAGTAACCACTTACCATCAGATAGGCCGTATGCTTGTTTGCCACCTCAGTGGTATAAAAAAAAAGAAAACTCGTTGATTACTCAAAGAGTCAATCAAATCAGAAATAATAATTCCTTATTAATACCATAAATACGGTCGCTTTTCTGTTAGTATGTCATCATAACCAATGTTACAATGTTACAATATTTTCGATACATATTATTATTAAAAAAATATGTAAGCGAAAAAAAAAAATAAAGCCTGACCGCGATTGCCAAACCGCAAACGTGGTAACTACTGGTAAAACCCCCAAGGGGGAGGCTCAGTTCAGTACTGTTACGGAAGAAATAAAAATATATAAATAAAATATAAGTAATATATAAATAAATAAAATATAAAAGATGATGATTATTAGTCATTAATCATGTCTCTCTTCTCTCATGGCTCACTTCTGAAGTATTTCCTCAACCTCTCTGATGAATATTGGCGCCTGCCGCAAACATAACATTACTGTGTCATTATAAATATATTTTGCTGATAGAAAAGTGAGTCAAGTCGCTTACATTCTCTTATTTTAGGCGGTTTTTTTAATGGGTGATAATAGAATGGTAACCCCGCCTGCGCTAACGGTATACGCTGACGGAGCACCAGTGAAGGGTGATAAATGAGAACAAAAGGAAGACTTTGAACAAAAACCGTTTGTTTGGGTCCCTTTATCCCATTCGTGTTTCAACCGTAAAGCAGGCATTGAATATATAGGGTACATAGGTGTAATACCTTAGTCCGGAGGGAAAGGGATTCTTAGTAATGGAGATTGAGAATCCCATTGCTATATACTGCAATATACCCGACCTCCTCGCGATTCCCCCTGGAAACTATCATGATTAATTCCTGATTAATTCATCATGATTGGTTAACGGGCCTGTTTTTATCCTCATTGATCACCCTTTACTGGTGCCCCGCCAGCGTATCCCGTTAGCGCAGGTAGGGTTACTATTCCATTTTCTACCAATAAAAATAAAATACCTTAGTCCTCAGGAATGAGAACGCGTGGGAAGTATCATGGGTGAAACAGTGTACTTTGTTATAGCCATGGCTGCTCATGTTCATCATGTGTTTGACAGTCTAAGTTGCATAAAACAAAATATGATAAAGCAGCCAGTTAGGCCATCGTGATGAATAAACCTGTAATTCAACACGATGATTTTCAGGGAGGACCAAGTGGAAGTCGACCTGACAATGGTATAATTTTTTTTTAATGTGTGAAGATGAAATGGTAACCCTGCCTGCGCTATCGGTATACGCTGGCAGGCTACCAGTGAAGGATGACAGGTGAGGACGAATGACAGTGGTATATTCCCATCAATGGTAGTCAGCATTACTCATGTACGTATCAGCCTTAGACAATATAGATAGAGGATCGAGCCTCAAAAACGGGTCAACTTTTTGTCAGCTAATTGTCAAATTAGTTTTTTTATCAGTGTTCCATATACTTACGTACGCGACGTATCTTGACATATTATTTTATAAATAAAATGAATGTTAACGCATAATAAAATGCAGAAATTATAAGACAAAATAAATATAGAAGTTATAAAGGAATCACTCATAACTATTTATCACGCAAAATTGTATGAAAAAATTGACCCGTTTTCTTGAAACATTTGTATGGAGACACTATATATGCAATCTAAGGTATCAACATTATTACTTAGCGGTCAGGATACTGCTTTGCATAAAGGTTCAGTCTCGATACACAGTCGGGCCACTTTAGGAAACGAACATTTTTGAATTGGCTCAACTCTGGGTACCTACTCTAGGTTGTACCACCAAATGTTCATTGCCAGATTTCTCATAATACAAAGTAAATTGCTTGCAGACCAAATAATTGATGTTTTTGTAATTTAAATATAAAAATTACTTCTGAGACTTGTTTCTTTGCAAAAGAGTTATTTTGATATTGGAGTCTGTACTCGTAATAGGCAGTCCTATAAAAAACTGGTCAGTTCGAATCTAACCGATAATAAAAAAAATTGTACTAATATATTACAGTGTAGGTGTATACTGCTTCATTTTCTGGCTAATTCTACGATGACGCAATATGCCATTAACAAATCAATTCTAGAGAAGGTAGTCTTGCTGCCTGTCACGTAGGATTCAAATATATTCGACGAACTGTGACTATATTGAACGATAAGTTCACGACAAAAACAGCAGTCGACAAATATCTCTGACTGGGGGGAAAGGGATTGTTAGTAATGGAGACTGAGAATCCCATTGCTAGCAATATACCCAACCAGGTCGACCTCCTCGTGGTTCTCCCTGGAAACTATCATGGTTAATTCCTGATGAATTCATCATGATGGACTAACTGGCCTGTTTTCATTCTCATCTATCACCTTTCACTGGTGCTCCGTCAGTGTATCCCGTTAGCGCAGGCGGGGTTACCATACCATTTTCACCCATCAAAAAAAAAATGTCTCTGACTATCCCATCTGGGATTATAGTAGTGATCATATCCGTACTAGTATTATATCTTAATAGTTCATCTGAAAATGCATTTATTTGTTATATACGCTTTAACAATTTAATCAATCACTGTGAAATTTGGTGTGCACGTACTAAATGAGGAAGAGAAGGATATAGATAGAGTCCTTTTTATCCCGGTCAGTAAACATATTCCGTTTATTCTGTTCACGCAAACAAAGTCACGGATAATATTTTTTTTCTATTTTTTATAATTTTTTTTTTTTTTCTTTAAATAAAGGACAAATGCATGCATGCTTGATACAACTCACGATGGTAAGTGATTATCCTTTCCTATAAAAGCAATATTGGAGAAATAGAAGATGTGTTGTTGGTCTTTTAATAAAAAATATGCTCTTTTCTTGAAGGTTTCAATGTCTATTAAATGATTTTAGCATACTAAATGGTAAAGGTGAAAAAGTCTGTATTTATCTTAGTAAGTGGCGACAATATAGCAATATTTATACTGCGAGATAGATAAACAGAAATTCATGTACAAATTTATAAGCTCGAAAAGGATTTGGTGGCAGTTATAAACAAAATAAATTTTGATTACTACATTTCGATAATTAAGTGAATATTTAGCTGTTTAGGATCATGTGTTGTCACTAGATTAATTTAGTTACAATACATATGCCTTAAGGAACACAATTCCAATCTTGCTGATTCTCAACTTCGCATGATCCCGAGCTAATTTAAGAAATCAGTCCTGTAGAATAATATGGGTGAGATCTCAAGAAGTTGTCAAAATTGAGCGGCAGTAGTTACCGACTCATTCCTTACTTAACTGAGAACAAAGATGAATTACCGCCTTTAATGATAGCAGACGATTTGAATTTAGTGTAACTAGTTTTTGTCTCGTCTACGTGCTTGCATTTCCAGTTTGTTAGTTTGTACTTTGTACTATTGTACTTTGTCTATGGTCGTGACGCCATTGTTCAAATATTTTTCGAATTATTCATAACGTAATTACTTTATAAACAATGACGTCCAATTCGTACTATATGTTTAATACAAGTAATAAACTGTTCTACATTCTCGTACACAGTACGTATTGTATTAATTCGTCACAGATATCGTGCCATTTAATTGTTATGTAAACATATAAATTCTTCCATAATCGCAGGACTTTGACCGTTCTATTCCTTGAATAAACAAAGGAAAACGTATATACTGTATGCGTTTCATTGGTTTTCCCCACCGGAAGAATACAAACAATTTTAACCGCATTTTGAGTGGTTTTCCCCTTGATTTAGGTGCATAATTACTTGATCAAGTTCCAGAGTGGTCAAGTGTGTGTAACGTAACTGTGGTTGTTGTTGTTGTGTTATAATTTACATGTAATTTGACATCATTACAAGGTTATTGTATAAAAAAACAAAAACTTACTAGAACTTTTAGCTACTGGCTGTTTCTCTTATCGTGTGGTCCCGGCAAAGAATGGGCCACCTCTTCCTTTCTCGTAGGTGTCGTAAGAGACGCCTAAGGGAACTTAATAGTCGAGGAATGGGCAGCAGCGTCCCTCTTCAAATATCTATAATATCTAACTGCGGTTGCCAACCCGCAAGGCAACTACAGGCCAAACCCCCCAATAGAGGGAGATAATGGCTAAAATGATGATGATTTATTAGTTATATTTTTAAGACAAACATACAGCTTTAAAAAACACATAAAACACTTGTATAGTTAAACAATTAAATAATTCATTAGCCAATAAAGTTTTCACAGATACAGGTACTTAGTACAAATGAAGAAACACAAAAAAAATATAAAATTAAATTATTAATTATTATTATTAATTATTAAAATTAAAGCAATTTCAAAACTAAAGGTGAGGTAAAATAGAAAAACGTCACAGATTATATTGTAACCTTTAATTACACTTAGTGTATAAAAGTTTTTTATATTTTGACAATTTTGTATTTGTAATCAAAATGTCAAACTAAGTCTAGATAGGTATACCTTGTGAGTATAAATAAAAATTTTACATTAAATTTTTTTAAAGACTATCATATAGTCTACAATTGTTAATTTGTTTATATATATAGAAATACATATAGTATGACTCAAAACATTCAACTCCGGAGTCATCATTATTAACCTTTGTTTTCTATCAAAGTATTACATTCATGTACAGTTACATGTATGACAGATATCGAAAACATTAGCCATACGTACAACTATGAACATAACCATATCACCTTAGATTATATAGATAGAATGTCTCCATACAAATACTTCGAGAAAAGCAGGTCAACTTTTTCATATAAATAGTTATGAGTGATTTTTTTATAACTTCTATATTTACGTTTTATAATTTTTGCATCTTTTTTACGCCTAAAAACTCATTTAATTAATAATTAAATATAGATACATCAAGATACATTATGTGCGTAAGTATATAGAACACTGATAAAAAACGAATCAGCTAATATGACAATTAGCTGACAAAAAGTTTACCCGTTTTTTGAGACTCGACGCTCTATCTATTTAATAAGGTGTATCATTTACCTACCTACTTAAAACTGTTTATAAGTAGTAGTACTTGATGCTCTATCTACAAGTATATAATCTAAGATTACCACATAATGAATTAAGACAGAAATTTCATAAATCGAAAATTTAAAAACAACAAGAAATACATGTATATTATAAACATGCCTACACGCTAGCTTATACTAGCTAATAATTTAAGATTATTTGAAAAAATTAACAAAAATTAGTGAATTTTAACTAAAGTTGAGAAAACATAATTATGATCTCCGATATTGAATGGTCCAAGTTGCATGGTATGAATGAATTTTCATTTTCTCACTAACATTAGTAAAACTACGAAAGTATTTCACAGATAATTATAAATTAATTTTTTCTCTAATGACAATAAAAATATTTTATATTTTCAATGATAAAACAACATCGAGTTTTGATATCATGACCCCAACAAGTATATCACAAAAAAGGATTTTGTCACACATTGATTAAAAATGTTTATAATTACAATTACATATTAACAAAATTAAATTATCACATACAAATCCATTAATTTTCATTCAATATACACCCAATATTAAATAATAGGAAGGTACCAATATTTTCGTGAATACTGTTCTGTAAATTACATCTCACTTCATTTTCACTTTCACTCCATCTAATTTTCATATTCTGTAAACTTCGCCAATAACAAATTAATTGAATACAGAAAACTAAAGTGAGTTAGATGGTTGAATAAGTCGAAGTATCAATTTATATATAAATAAATTCGATCTTTTTCGACATTAAACCACGTGCAAATTATTCGCATGTCTACTAGTGGTATTCGAGTTTTACTTTACAGAATAGCATTACAAGAAAATATATCAACTATTAGAAAAAACTAAATATATATAATTAAGTAGGTAACTAGACATGGGTAATATCTGTACCCAACCAATATCTATACATTGAGTTCCTCTCGACATTAATGGAGGAAAAAGTCGCTTAATTAAAAAAATTTCAATACCGCACAAATTGATCGGATATTCATATTCATTATATTTCAATATTATATATTTGATAACAGATACTTAATATATTCATTGTTGGGCCAATATATAGATATTGTAATCAATATATATATATATATATATATATATATATATATATATATATATATATATATATATATATATATATATATATATATATTCATAACAATAAATAATATATAAATATTACTCACTCCTAGTAGATACAACTATAAAATCAGTAAAATAATGATATTTACATAAAATTACTAAAGCTTTGTTTGTTAAATCAAAGCCAATTACAGAATAATTCACATTATACTGTACTTATAATTTCTTCTTTGTTGATATATTAACTAGCTTTTGTCCACGACTTCGTACGCGCGACTGCAATAAATAATAGCCTATATCCTTCTTCATCCCAAATAGTACTTATATATTAAATTTTATTATGATTGGTTGAGTCAATCAGGCACCAAATGATAACAAACAATTTTTTTAAAACAAACACAATTAATTTAGTAAATTCACAACTATAATATTAGTAAGGATTTTACTGTAATACAATATAAATAACAATATATTTCTAGAATAATATTTTGTAATTACTTTCAAATTGTCACTCCATCTTGTGCCCTTACAGCGCACTAAATGCACATAAAATCTCTCACAATAATTCGATCACTTGGTTTATAAACTCAGTAAATATCTTTCCACATTAATATAGTTTATAATAATTTTACGCATACATAATAATTTTAAGTATTATCAACTTTATCGTGAACAATAATAAAGTACCATATGTTATGATAAGTCCATTTACACTAGACTAGAACTCGAAAAATTTCACCACTTCACTACAAGAACGGACACAATTTATCATTATATATCTCACACTTTAAGGGCTAATACATAATTAATAAATTATATAAATATAAAAGAATAGTTTTAAATACTATAAATGATATTTAGCGAAGTGAGAATTTTGCGACTTTTTGTGTGTTTTTATTGAAAAAAATGGAATAAACATTACCTGGGTTGTCTACAAAAAACGGCTGCTTTCTGCATAACTAACTTTAAATTTTTTTTGTAATGTAACGCTTTATATATTAAACTTCTTGAAATAGTTTTTAAAACTGTTATTTTTATACATGACTTATATAATTTATATTAAAGTAAAAACGAGAATTTAATGAACTTACTATGTTTGTTCTTACTGACAAATATTTTGACTTCATTCGAAAATTCTTCAAAGAACGATGAAATTAATTAATATAATAATATATACATTTAATTTCATTTAATGTGTAAAATACTCTGCAAAATTGCATTTCATTCATTTCCACACTTTATCTATGTATTGAATGAAATCTACGTTTTCAAATTTTATTTATAGATATATTGAATTTGTGTGTTGCCATACTTTCATTTTAAAACTACATACTTTAAATGTGAAAAAGATATAGTTTATAATATAGATTAAAGTTTACATTTTATTTAAATTTATTCAATATCATACCTGTACATGTAAAAAAATGTCTATTTACCTGAATTAAATAAATAAATAATGAAATAAAAAGAAATAATAAAAGTATGTATCTTTAAACAATAACTATTGTAATTGATAATAAATTATGCCTATTTATATCGCCTATACTCATGTATTTACTAATATTATATTAAATTACATAAAATTATATTAAATTTACTGTATCTGTAAGTAAATGAATGTGATCGTGCAGCGCCTAATGAAAACCGCATAGAGTTAATGCATTAATTGGACCTTAGAATGATTCTATTATAATTTAGCATAATAAACAAATAAAAAAAAACTATCGAATCCAAAATTAGTCTGGCAACACCGAAGACAAACGTGAGTAGAGCCAATATAAATTTATTTATAATACAAGCAATATTGGTCAACTTAGCCCTTAATTCAATCGGTACCTCACATTATCATTCTGGCAGTGGGTTAGGTTACTTCATTCACTCGCCGGTGTTGGTAACGTCTCCCCGCAGTCGAGGGGTTTTGGTTCTGGAGCGAGTTTAGGGGCAGACGCGCCCCGAAGTTTGGCTGAACTCAGTTCATTGCTTTGCACCCAGAGTTCCAACTAAAAATTGAAATTTAATTCTATATCAAAACCAGAAATGTGAATTTAAATAACTTTGTAAATATTTAATGCTGCTGGAAATGGTAAATAACTTAATAGCCACCTGAATAGAAAATGGTAATCGTCGCCTAAAAATACGAATTGACATTATAGAATACTGAGTAATTAATCCGGAATGGCAGCGTATGAAGTGTTGCCATTCCGGAAAATTAAGAAACGTCTCAATACCCTGTAATTTCACTGCTATATCTCACCCTTCAAACCGATATACGACTCTCAGAGAATTGACAAAAATAGAACTACATATTAGTACATATTTTGTAATTCTATTTAATACAAAACTCGGTTAATTTAGGTTACAACGTCTTAGGTAACCAAAAATTATGTTAATGATGTGCGTTTGCGTTTTGATGATGAACGGGTGATGATGACGATGGTGAATAAATACACCTAGTATTTGAAGCGGTTTAACTAGGGTAAATAAAAAAATAATAATTTTGAAGCGTTGATGTAATATAAATTTGATGTAATGCGTAGAAGTTTTATAAAATCGAAGCATGTAGTAATTTGAAATTATATTTGGATTGTCTATCCCTTTCAAAATACTTATCATTATCACAACCAATCCATCGTTTAGTCATCATTTCAATCATTATCTGTCAACTGCTGAACATAAACCTCCCCCATAGACTGCCATAAGATCCTGAGCCACCTGCATTCACTGACTCCATTGTCCAATGCTACACATATATGCCCCCCACCACACACTGCTTGCCTGCAAAGTTTACTCCACAGGCTTTAGACTTAGGCTTGACTTCTCAGAATCGTCTCCGTATTGCAAGATATATACTAATATGTAATCAGATTTTAAGATTCTTTTTGTTTAACAGTTAAGATCATTTAGTTCCCTGGGGCCCTATCTTAGCTATTTAATGAGCGGCTGACAGTGAGAGTAGAGTAAACATTGTTTAAAAGAAAATTTAAAGATTTGTTACAACACAAAGCATGTGGTTATCGAAGCGAATATGCATCCATATCCACTATTGGATACAGATTATGGAATATATGTTTGTTAAGAAGTTGTGGAATAACAATTTAGGGAGTATTTTTAAGGTGATATGCATATTTCTTTAAATCGTATTAGATTATGTACATATTTATACTTAACGATAGAAGTTGAGGTATGACAAGGATAGATCAGATAACAAGGTCGTAACTAGACCCAAATTTATGGTAGGGCAAAAGAACTTTTTGGTAGGCCATAATTAACTTCGAAAAAGCAAATCTATCTAATTTTCTTAGGGTCTTTCAGTTTAAGGTAGAGCATTGCCCCTCAATGCCCCCCCCCCCCCCATTTACGGTCATGTCAAGTAAGCAATAAGCAAGTGGCAATATGAGGTTTTTTTTCTTCGATACGATGAAATTAGTATAATACAATTCTTTATTTGCCTACCTCTGGAGGCATCTTCTCTATCGGCGGATGGCAAGTGCCTGAGCAATGCAGCTGCAACAGCAACTCCACTATAGCCGAAGCTGACGTGTCTATGATCCTCTGCCGGCACACCGCCACCGCGTGCACGAATCCACCGGGACCGATAAACTCGTGTTCCATGAATAACGTCTTCTCATCCCAGTATATTACCTGGAATTCATATTTATTTCCTCATGATCCTCAAAATTTATAAAAAAAAGAAACTGATCTGTTCAACTGAAAGATATACGCCATCCGAGTGTTTGTACAGGGGTTCCTTGTCATCCTCATCACAACAAGCAGTCTACTGCAATCAAATGCTGGACATAGGATCGTCCCAAGACACACCACTGAGCATAATCTTCGGCTCTTCATTTCCAGTTATTACCTATATCCCTACATACATCCTCGCTCCACCTAACCGCAAGCCATCCCAGAGTAGTGTAGGATATGACATTATAATATAAGGAACCCCATAAAGCATAAGCTATATATATTAATATTAGAAGTAATAAAAACAGATCGAAATTGACCCTCTCTTATGAGATTTGTCTAAATGTTTTTAATAATTGTTTTATTTCGTTTCTTTTTTACAGCTTAGAATGACAAACAAGCTAACGGCTCGTCTGATGGAAAGTACTAACAATCGCATATAGACATGAAAATAATGACATCATTGACATAACAGAGTATACTGTTCCGCTCATGATACCCGCCATCCGTTACCATTCCTAATGACTAAAGTGTTATACCTCTATACTTAGTAAGCCATAACCCACCCCTCAAACCGAAACACAGCCATGTAAACACAACTGCTTCAAGGTAGAAATATAAATGGGACAGAGGGGTACCTTTGTACAAAAATCGTTGGCTTGCCCAAGCAAGTCTCCCAAGCAAGTCTGGTTGATTTATATTTCTTCATTTGCTTATATCAATTGGTAAGAGCAGAATAAAAAGTAGATGTGAGGTTTGCATAGAGCTCCCTTCCTATAAACTTAATTTGCTATGATTTCGCTGTAAATATTTAACTAACCTTAGAAGTAATTGTGAATCTAGTGAACGGTTTCAGGTACCGCCTGTACCGGATGGTGGAGGCGGCCTGCGCTAAAGCACCCCCTGCCGCCTTAATGTTAAGGAACAGTCCCGTACGCTCGTAGAAGTCCGCCCGAGCGAAGTCCAGCTCGCGGAGATACCGAGCATTATTCATATGGTATAACAGTGTATCTACATCGTTGAGCAGACACCAACCTGGTGAAATTGGAGAGAAGGGATTGTTAGTAATAGGGAGGTTAATCCTCGTTGCTATCAATATACCCTATCAGGTCGACCTCCACGCAGTTCCCCCTGGAAACTATCGTGACTAATTTATCATTGAATTTGACACGATGGGCTAACTGACCTGCCTTTCATCCTCACCAATCATCCCTCACTGGTGCCCGACCAGTATATACCGATAACGCAGATGGGGTTACCATTTCATTATCATTCCTTAAAAAAATACCTGATGAAATTAAATAACTATAAATATGAAAGATAGTCGTGTAGTCCCTGCATAAGAAGGTCACCACCCCTTCCTTGCCCGTAGGTGTTGTAAGATGCGATTAAGGGAACTTAATGGTCAAGGGATGCGCATGGGGATGATGAGGCAGCAGCGTCCCTCTTAAAGCATCTCCAAAGCCTAACCGTGGTTGTCAACCCGCCTGCCAAGCGTGGCAACATCTGGCAAAATCCCCCAATAAGAGAGCTATGTTCGGCACTGGACAATTAACGGCTAACGGCGAATTCAGGTCAACTGGCTCATGGTAACGAATTAACGACGATAATTTCAAGGGCGAACCGCGTAGAGGACGATCTAACGGGGGTTAACAACGACCCCATGGTTAGCCAACAATGGAATCGTTGCTAACAATCCCTTTCTCCAGGGAAACATTTTTATTGAATGAAAATTAAACGATCCATGAAATCAAGTCAGTTGGCCTATGATGACGAATTCACTAGAAATTAACCACAATTCTTTCTTGAGGAAATCAAGGTCAGCAGCCCTATTGCTAGCAATATAGGGTATATTGCTAGCAATAGGGCTGATCAGGTCGATCTCAGCGTGGAGGTTAGTATAGTGGTTAATTCCTGATAAATTCGTCAAGATCAGCAAACTGACCTGACTTCGTCTTCATCTGTCAACACTTTTCTTGTTTCCCCAGCAAGGGCGGAGTTTTCATTTTATGTTACATCTCGTTAAAATTACTAACAATTCCTTCCTCCTATCAGACATATACGGGTAAACCCATATCACAAACCCATATAAAGACAATATTAATAATTTAATAAATAAAACTTACAATTAACTTTCGTGGTGTCCAGTATGCAAACTTTCTTCTTGAAGTACCTTGCTTTGGCAACAGTATACATCATTCTAGCGAAGTAAGCTACATCTATGGTTCCGTACAATATCAGCGCTCCAGCAGCCACCACTGAAACCCATCCTGGCATGCAAACCGTCCACATCTTCCCTGGAAATGACAAGAAAATCAACTGTTTTAGAAGACTTAAACACCCCAATAAACTCCAGGGAAAGGAGACATAACACTTAAGCCTTCAGGAATTGCAACGCGTAAATCTTATCATAGGCATCACAGTATATTTTTGTGATGTCCATGGTACTATCATTTGCGTATTTAAGATTATACTCCAGGAAGGACCTGACCGCCTAAAAAGATGCCTATGTGTTCTCAGACATGTCTTTACGCATAGCTAAAATGCTCCAGTCCACATTAAGAGTAAATACGTTCTACCAGGTCTCCCCTTAAATACGTCTACACGTGTCGTTCAAGTCTGTAGGCATATTTATTTTACAATAGGTGAAAATGCGATGGTAACTCCACACCAGTGACTATAAGTGAAGATAAAACCTGGTCAGTTCCATCCATCGTAACGAATTCAAACTAAACCGACCACGATATTTTGCAAAAGCAACCGCGTAAAGATCGACGAGATGTCTTGCTATATAGGATATCTATATTTATATATTGGATATATACATAGATATATATCCTTTTAGACTCCATTACTAACAATCCCTTTCTCCCTAATATAGGTAGTACTCGCACGTTAAAATCATTGGAACCGCAGTCCACTTGTTTTTTTTTTATTTAGACGTAATTGCAACATGTATAAGGAAAAATAATCAAATAAATATTGTGAACATATATAAAAAATAAAAATATTACAAACCATTTAGGATATGTTTTTATGATATTTAGAATGGCACACAGGCTGACGCCCTTTAGTCTGCATTACTGACAATTCCTTTCCTACCACTTACCACTATACTTCACGTCAGCTTGTTTGACATTCTAAGTTACACAAATAAAACCTACTTGTTTAATGATCGTGAGAGGGGGGGGGGTGTTAGTCACATGGAGGTTAGTACTCATTGTTAGCAATATATCCTTTCTGGTCTGTATCGTACAACCCGCTACAAACTAAAGTTTCATCCCAATCATCTGGATGAGTAGCGGTCTTCCTCCGTGCGTTTTTCAAGGCACTTTCTCCCACGCGCAACCATTCTTTGGAATCAACTTCCAGCAGCAGTATTTCCGAATCGATACGACAACATAACCATCAAGAAAAGAGTATATTCCTTTTTAAAAGGCCGGCAGCACACCTGCAATGCCGCTGGTGTTGTGGGTGATCATGGGTAGCGGTAGTCACTTACCATCAGGTGAGCCGCATGCTCGTTTGCCCCCTGTGTTATAAAAAAAAAGAAATGGTCCACTCGCAGTTCATAACCATTGTGATTTATTTCAAATGAATTTGTATGAACGGCTGACTTGACTCTAACCTCATCTATCAGCCTTCGTTGGGACCCTACCAGCGCTTACCGATAGCGCAAGTTACCATTTTTATTCAATTTAATTATCTTACATTCTTTTCGATTTAAAAATACCTATTATAATCAGATAGTGTCGTATTCTATTTCTGAGGGCTCTCCCTCAAGAGATCAATAACATCTGATACAAGCGTGCATGGATGAGACGAGTTAGGAAAGTGGATGAAGAAAAGTTGTATGTAAGGATAGTGGCCCTTCAAGCGGTTCTTCCTGCCCACCAAAACAGAACTTCATGGGAAAAAAATAGTTTGAATAGCTTAAATGTTTTAAGAGCGTCTAAAAAATGTGCCGTGTGGTCGCGTGATGTGTGGTTTTTAAAGACGACTAAGAAAGCGTTAATGGTCGAAATTTGGGCGGCAGCGTCCCTCTTAAAACATCACCAACCCTAACTATGGTTGCCAACTCGCTTGCCATGCGTGGCAACTACTGGAAAACCCCCACTTATGGTGGAGGGTTAGATTATCTAGATAGAGCATCGAGCCTCAAAAATCGAGCATCTTTTTTCGATCTCTCAATCGATCAGCTAACTCGTTTTTTTATGTGTTCTATATACTTACGCATACAATGTACCTTGACATATTTTTTAATAAATATAACTAAAATTTATGCTTTAAAAATATGCAGAAATGATAAGACAAAATAAATATAGAAGTTATAAAGGAATCACTCAACTATTTATCACGTAAAATTGTATGAAAAAGTTGACCCGTTTTTCTCGAAGCATTTCTATGGAGAAACTATCTATATAATCTATGGGTGAAGGCTTATGTTTAGTAGTAGGCAATTAACTGCTGATATGGGGGGAAAGGGATTGTTAGCAATGGAGTTCGACATTGCTAGCAATCTAAACCCTATCAGGTCGACCTCCACGTGGTTCCCCCTGGAAACCATCGTGAACAATTCTTGTTGAATTCGTCACGATGGGCTAACTGACCTACTTCATCCTCACCTATCATTCTTCACTGGTGCCCCGCCGATGTATACCAATAGCGCGGGTGGGGTTACCATTCCATTATCACCCATTAAAAAAAAAACTGCTGACATGATGATGATATTCAATATATTTTAAGTCCACTCTGTGTAACGTGGAAACGTGTTGGACCACGTTTATTTCTACGAAACCGCCATAAACACGACACCAATAGTAATTAAATACACATAACCATAGATGTTCACGCGCCATGGTGTCGTCCTGTTGACGCAAGAGAAACCCAATAACAGTAAACTAAATTGGAAAAGATGTTGATAAGGTATGTGATGATTACAAGTTTCATTGAATCAATACGAGCAAACTGTACAATATCTCTAACTAGCGATGCGCCCCGGCTTGCCACGGGTAGATAGCTAAAAATTTAAATTAGATCGTATACAGCTCGTGTTACTCGCTCGTAATCTGGGGGCCTACCATGAAATGTTTTCCGAAATTTCGGAGCCAAACGAAATAGAAGTTTGATGTTAAAATTACATAATACATGCCGTTTGGAAATATTACAAAATGTTAAAATATTGTTCCTTTTGACTTTTGTAATAGGGTGTATGACGAACGAAATGTTAAACTCCATTTATTGGTCCGATTTTGGTATAAACAAAAACACGAAATTGAGTCCGAAATTTCATTTCATGGTAGACCCGCTGGTTATCTGTAGGTGAAAGAATTTTTAAAATTCGTTAAGCATTTTTTGAGTGTTTCCAATACAAACAAAATAAAATTATATACTTTCCGTTTTTAATATTACTTAAGATATACGAGACTATATCTGTACATTGATGGCATGTTTTATTTAGTGCCTGATAGTATAATGTTAGCAAATAGTTTCAATATTGTATATAAAAATATTAAATACCATATTACGACCTTTTTTTTTCTATGGTATGTCATTGGTAAAGAATTAGGGAGTCATTGCAAAATTTCAGTTTTAATCAATTTCAAAAAGAATGAGTTTCTTATTTTTTTTATATATATTTCGTCATACTCGTAGAATACTGACGGATCTGACAAAGGTTAAATATATTATATATATATCCGTCAATATTCTACTACTATAACGATTTATATCACGCCGATTTTGATATTATTTTTTTTATCGAAAGAGTTTACTCCGTGCCTTAATAATTAGAAGATTAAAGTCATTTTTTGTAGTATATTAGAAATTATTGTACCTAAGGTTGGCAACATTTGAAAATGTAATGAAGCTCTCTGTCATGGCGTCCTTCAATTAAAGTGCATATTCATTTTATAAGCAGTTTTTTTTTTTTTATTATAAAGAAAAGTTATTTAAGCGTGCAAAGCACATCTAATGTTTTACAACATTATATTTTTTAACAAAAATTTTTAACTGCAACGTCGTCCACGTCATTTGGATATATTATTGACCAGGACACATATAATAATAAAAAAGTAACATACATAGTGTATGTAAGTGAATAATGATTAGTTGAACAGTTAAGGTCCTAAAAGATAACAAACAAACTTACTTTCATAGATGGGCAGAATTGTTAGTAATCTATCCAGCGTTTCCATCACTAACTATAACCCTGTCAGGTCGACCACCACGCAGTCCTCCTGGAAACTAACACGTTTTATTTCTGATGAATTAGTCGCGATAAACCAACTGCCTTGCCCTGGTCCTAATCTATCATCCCTCACTGACACCCCAGCAGCGTAAACCAATAACGCAGACGTTTATCATTCCATTTAAGTACGTTAAAAATTTACTTTTCCATTTTTTTTTTAATGGGTGATAATAGAATGGTAATCCCGCCCGCCCTATCGGTATACGTTGACGAGGCACCTGTGAGGGATGACAGGTGACGATAAAAGCAGGTCAGTTAGCCCATCGTGACGAATTCCACTAGAATTAACCACGATTGTTTCCAGGGGGAACCGCGTGGAGGTCGACCTTATAGGGTGTATTGCTAGCAAAGAGTCCGTTAGACCTCATTACTAACAATCCCTTTTCCCCATTTATAATTTCAGCACATAGGTTTTTAAACATATTACACGTGTATTAACAAAATTGTTCCCAAATGCGGAAGTATGTAATATAGGACTGTAAAAGATAATCAAGTGTTTCTAATTTATTATTATGATTTGTATTGATAATTGATACCACTTTAGAGGTCACATCTAAGTATAATTATAACACGTGTTTAGTGATAATTATTAATTAATGATATCATAATAGATATAATTAAATTTAATCATGACATCGCAAATAATCTGCGTACTTTGGTAAGCATTAATAAAAATAAATTGTATTTCATATATATCGCGACAGATAGTCCAAAACTCTTTTATTGCATTATCAGGAATTACCTTATTATTCGTGGGCATATTTTTTTTAATGCGTGAGAATGGAATGGTAACCCTGCCTGCGCTATCGGTATAAACAGGCGGGGCAGCACTGAGAGATGATATGTGAGGATAAATGCAGATCAGCTGGCTTATCGTGACGAATTCTACGAGAATTAACCATAATGTTTTTTAGTGGGAACCGCGCGGAGGTCGACCTTATAATGTATATTGCTAGCAATAGAGCTAACATACCCCATTACTAACAATATACAAACATATAACAATGTTATATATTATGTTTGTATATATACAAAATATAATGTTAACCACAATTCATTTTAAACATAATGTACAAAGGCGAGCTTATCTCTAATAAGAGATTTCTTCCAGCAAATCTTTTCATGTAAATTGTATGTTATTTTGTTCTAAAAAAAAAACTACCCAAATATTTCAACCGTGACAAAACTTTGTATAGAACATAAAAGCAAACCCTTTCGATCGTAAAATAACCACAAAATCGAAATAACATTGTCGAATATATTGCATCAAGTACATAAAAAATACCTACAGAAGAATTGTGAAACTTTTTATTTAAATCAATTAAAAAATTTACTTAATAATTCAATCTTTACTCTTAGTCATTCTAATATGAAATATGCAATTTCGGAGTTCGAAATTAGGAGATTTATATCCATTTGTACACCCTATTTATTAATCCTATTAATATCATAAATGCTAAAGGTTACGATGGATGGATAGATGAATGTTTGTTACTCTTTCACGCAAAAACTACTCAACGGTTTTGAACGATATTTCGTACACGGGTAGGTTATATCCTAACTTAGCACAGGATATTTTATACACTGACTCACGCGTGTTAAGCCACGAGATATAGCTAGTTTTATAAAAGCGAGTTTGTAACAGTGGATATAGTTAATTGCACATACATAAAAAAAATCAGACTATGGATATTTTATCACAAATGGAAATAAAATACACAAAATTTGTAATTTTTTTAAAGTTTTTATATTCTAATATTAAAATTAAAATTATTATTACCTATATCTATTTTTTTTTGTTTTTTTATTATTCGATTCCCATTCAATTTCACTGGTAGAAAATTTCTTCAAAAAGATGCTAATGATTAAAAAAAAAACTATAATTTATAACATTATCTAAATAGACAATTGTATATTATGTATTCATTCACCTAATTACTTACTTGAAATCACCTCCGACCTCCCAACCGGCTGTCACTCTCAGAAGTACAAATTACAACGATGATTTGTCAAATTCAATTATCAATTTCATCACAAATTAAATCTCGAGTAAACAAAAAAAAATTAAAACCATATAGAAATTTAAATGAAGATAAATATAATATTTTTTAATAGAAAGCAAGTAAAATAACTCCAGGGTGTCTGGTCAAGTGAATTTCATCGAGTATCAGATAGAAACGTCAGACGTGCTGCGCGCGCAATTAATCAATAGAAAATGAGGCAATGAGGCTTGTTTTCAGTTACATTTTCGACTCGTTATCAGTCAGTCAATGAAAATCATTATCACATGTTATTAAATATTATTCTTAAAATGTTTATCTTGCTTGGACCTGTTCATTATTGATTACGATCATTAGAATATTGTGAATGTGAACATTGACCGTCACAGTCCAAACTGCGTGCCATTTATTTTATCAATATGATGACTAACGGGTGGAATTACAACATGACTCTCATTAATATGTAGTTGTAGGCCCATATTGAACTTCCGATGGCAAATAAATTGTCGATCCACCTTATAAAATATAGACGTAGTGTAACGTACTATAGAATAACCGGTATTTTTAGTAACGTGGACTCCCAGTCCCATTTTTAGTAATGCATCCTGCCAGGTCGACCTCCACGTGAAACCATCGTGCTGAATTCCATGTGAATTCATTACGATGGTCTAACTGAGATACCTTTTCTTTCTCACTTACTATCTCTTACTGGTGGCCCGCGAGCGTATAGCGTTAGTACAGGCGGGGTTGCCACTTCATTATTAAAAAATCACCCATAGACATAGGTATTATAAAAAACACTGACGTCCAAAGTATTTCATAAGCATATATGGCCTGGCGCTAAACAAATTTTAGATCACCGCTACAGTGCTCTTAATGTACTGTCAGACATTGGAGCATAGTTAAAAATACCGCTCACACCCTAGAGTGGGCACCAGACAATTCTGGTGGGCACAGCTCACTCGAACTCTCTCCCTCTTTAAATACGTTATAGCGTCCCTTTTAACGTCGAAAGAAATTTGATGGCGGAAATGGAATGATAATCAATCATTTCGATGTCACCCGCGCTGGGTTCGATGTCTTTGTAGTGAACACTAGTTACCATATTTACCCTTCAAATTGAAATACAGCCATGCATTTCTGTTCACGGCATAGTAATGTATCAAATGTACAATTTTTTCTCTAGTATAATATTAGAAACTACTCATAAATCATTCACACGTTCACAAATTAATCTTTCACCAATCACGAATTGACCCTTTACTAATCATGGATTGACCCTTCACCAATCATGTATTGACCCTTTACCAATCACGAATTGGCCCATCATCAGTCACGAATCAACCGTTCGCTAATCACAAATCTACCCTTTACCCAATCACGAATCGACCGTTCAGTATGAATTGATCAATCACCAAACGTATACCAAAAAATCTTAATCTTACATGAGATATAATTGCATAAATTATCTCCAGTGTCTAAAGGTTATGCACTAAAATAAAAGTTATCAAAAAATTTAATAGGTAAGTTTTAATGATCATTTCTTCTGTAGCACTTTTAAAAATAATGTTTACATAATCACGAAACACAATTTGTTGCATCAAAAAGTAATGAAGTAACCTCTAAACGTTAATTATTAATTTTTTTACAGCTAATAAATTTAAATTTCTAAGTGAAAAATATAACAAAACATCTGCAATACTGTATGTTTGACAATAACATCGAAGGCAATGGATACCCCTCAATATTTTTCGAGCAGTAACAACATACTTGATCGTAATATAAAAAATTTAAATCCTTAGATTTAATAATGGCGAGAAGTTGATTTTCCAAAAACAAAATTTACTCGGAAGGGATGCGGGAATGTGGCGGATAGAACGCATCAATCGTCCATTCCGGATTTTATTAATTTTAGTGCCTTTAGTCAGAATTTTGAATACCATTGTTTGCATAGCCCCTGAAACTCAAAACTAACAGGCACAACGTTAGTTGCAGAGTTTACTTCTTTTTATCTAATAACTCTATCTTACAGCTACATGTTCTGAACTATTGTTTATAACTCCGACCCAGTTGAGTGCATAAAATGTCCAATTTCACTATAAAACGGCCGTTGTGCACGGCTCAACTTACTAAATTCACTAAAATTTAAACCATCCGTTACTATTTACAAATTCGGAATGAGTATACCACGGGATATTTAGAGATCAATACCCGCGGATTGTGACAGTAAAACATAAGTCCACTTCGAGCTTTATGTACACAAGCGGGAGAATACTGCACGAAACAAAATAGTAATCATAATCGGCTTTAAGCCACTCAAGCCAACGAGGGTGTCTCGGAGCCCACTGGGTCTACAAGACATCATTAAACTCTATTATCATATAGATTTTAGTGACTAGACAGTCCCCTAAACAGTCGGGGACAAAAATTGTATTTACATATAAGTTCTATGGATATCAAATTCACACTAGCTTAACACATTGCTACTATTAAATGTTATATAATTTATTTAAATACAGAAATAACACCTTTGGAAAATTGAAGCGCTAGTGCCGCGTCAAAGAGTTACCATTGGCACGGAATAATTATGGATAAACGCGTTCATAAAATACAGCTCGACGGCCCAGTCCCGTACACAATACGTCCAGTCAATCATTTTGTGCAGTTCCCGTGGAAGTTCGCTTATAAAGTTACGCGAATATTATTATAACAATATACAAATGAATACAGTACAAATATGTTTCGAAAAAAATGGTAACGCACCAAGAAAAATGTCCTCAAATTCAGTCTAGCATTATTATGAAGGGCTGTCTCAAATTAAATAGTACATCTATAACTAGAGACGATTAAATTTATATTTGAGTATGGCCTGCAGTCACTAACGTAAACACTTACCCTACATCGGATGTAACCTAGAAATACACATTTATTGTACAATTATATATCAATACAGTATGTATATGAATATATTACACGAAGTAAAATTCAACAATTAAAATAAAAAAAAGAGTCGCTTTTCAATTTGAACTTATAGGTGATCCAGTAGCAGCACAACTTAAGATAACTAACTATAACACCTAAAAGGAACTGCTAAAATCGAACGTAAGTAAACATCAACAAAATAATCCAATTAAAAAACCAGTTATAAACTTACATATCAGTTTTTTTTTACTTATTAAATTATATACAAAACAATTTTAACAATTTATTTATTATACACCTAAATACAATGCGATTGAAATAAGAATAGGAATGACTGTCGGCCATATTGGAACTGTCAAAATGTGTAATCTTAAGACTTAGTTAAACAATTATACAATTTCAATAAATAGTTTTAATTATTAGATGCAGAAAAAAAGCCTGCATAAAAATTTTTTCGCAAACCGTACTTTCGAGCGACGACCTTGACCTTGTCAACTATGGGTCAAAGTCATCGATCTTCCTATTCATATTTTAATCGCACGTGTGTAACCTCGACAATAGGAGATCGTAGGTCAGTCAGGCGCAAAGCGCGTTATAGCTCTAGTCAGCGAAATCCATGGCGGGCTTCCTCTGACGGGGCTTTTTGGGTCTCGGTGGGGCAGGTTCGCCGTTGCAGCAGTGACACCCACGCTTGACAACGCCCCGGCCAGACGCTCGCCGGCGCCGGTCCGGCGACCGTTCACCGGCACGAGTCTTCCCGGATAGGCTACGCTTAGGCGGGTAAGTTCGCAGCGGCGGCGCATCGTCCGACGAGCCGTCCGATCGCGCCTCCCTTATAACTGACTGTAGTCGAAGTCGTGCGCCAACTGCGATCCCCTCCCCGACCCCCTGCGTGACCCCAGACACCCCAGTAACTAGCCCTGGACCGGCGACACATCCTGGGCCTCCACTGGAATCCGTTGAATTGGTCTCGTCACACGACGGACTTTTACAGCACTTGTCGCTGTCACTGCTGAAATCGAGCGGCCGCCGACCCTCTGAACGTTCAGACGCGGAGTTGGACTCCCAGAAAAGCTCGGCATGCCGCTCGGGGGATGAGCCATCGTCTGCTATGGACTCCAGGGTCGCGTCCCTGGAACTGTCCTCGGCTATCATTTTCGCGTCGTCTCCGGCGATTAGGGCGTCCGGCTCATCCATGAGGAACCTAGAATCTCGTTCCCTCTTGTCATCATCGTAGCACACTCTCCTGATCACCTGGGTGGCGTTGCCCGCTGAGTGAACTATCGCGGAAGCCGTATTAGTCAAGTGTAGTTCTCTAGAATCGTTCAATATGCTGTCGAATCGTGTCAGACCATCGTCTTTTACAAGTACTGACGACAAATTAATATTATTGGTGTGACTTGAAGGTAACGAATGCATCATGTTGTCTATGTCGGAGTATTTAACATTCTGAGCACTGTTGGACTCGGCAGCGGCTTGGGAGATGACAGTGGTCTGCGGTGCGGTCATGAGGACCGTCGCTGGTGCTCGGTTCGAGTGGAATATCGTTGAAGTAATATGACGACCTTTAAGGCCAGCTATCGTAAATGGATGAACCTGTAAAATACGATGATTCATTTGATATTGTTTAAATTTATATTATAGTACTATAAATTAGTACAATGCTAATATAACTACTAACTACAACAATGCTTGCCTTCCCTTAATGCTACTTTTGAAGTTATTATACAACATTAGCCATGTAAACCCCGACATAGAACGGGCAAATCTTTCCTTTCCCGTAAATATGTCGTAAGAGGCAACTACATGAGCTTATTTGTGAAGAGATGGGCAGCAGCGTCCCTCTTAAAACATCACCAAAAGCCAAACTGCGGTTGTCAACCCGCCCGCCAAGTGTGGCAACTACTGTCAAAACCCCCCTTATGGGGGAGGTTATATTCAGCAGTGGACAGTTAACGGCTGATACAACACTAGAGGGAGACTTTGTACATAAATCGTCTGTCTCTGTCCCTCTCGTGTTTCTGGCACCAATTAGTATGGCTGATTGAAACGGTAATGCTAATGAAAGTTCAAGATTCTGCTGACTAAAATGAACAAAATTTTAAAGGATCTAAAATATATTTAAAAAAAGAATGTTACTATTTCCATTAACTCACCTCTGCTTCATCGGTTGGTTCGCTGTGAAACGTAGTGTTGGGATGCGATCTAGCAAACTCTTCTTGATCGAGTGCGATCGTGGCTTGCATGCCATCCTCGCTGACTGTCACAATGCCCACATCCTCGAGCCCAAGGTTCAGATCTTGTCGTTCCATGGGCTCTCTGGGGAGGAGTTGGTCAGTGGCTATCTGATCGTCTATGTCCGGTTGCGGTATACCGCTTTGGTTTAATAGTGTTGGTTGCGCTGTAATTATACATAAAATATATATTAAAAACCGAACGTGATACATAGTTAATTAAGAACGATCATTCTGACACCTCAATTTAATTATGTAGAATTAGTCCCGGATGGCCTTAAAAGATAGTCAAATTAAAAAGATTTAAAAGTTTTCGGTCGTTACAATCATTTAAGCTATATCAGACAATTAATTTCGTATATTATTTATGTTGATATCTCCGCAAATTCTGAATCGATTTTGAAAATTCTTTTTGTCAATTGATAAGGAGAACCTATAGTAGCGTTTAATCTCATATAAACATAATCAGGGCATCCTGGCGTCGAAATCCATTCGAACGGCTTCTAATTATGCTCGAGTTCGTCGAAGGAAAATTTTCCTTGTTCCGCTGAGAAAAATAGAGCGGACAAAACTAGCTCCTCTTCATCTAGCATCGACTTTGCTCAACGGTCTCATGAGCCAGTATCCGGACTTATAAACTTGTAGACTTGTCGAGTTTTGCAAAATAGAGAAAAGTTATTTAGAAAGCGTCCAGTAATTCAATTTTACTGTTTGCGTATGTATATTGTGATTTCTTAACGAGCGAATTGGGAAACTGACAAGCTCCCTTAGTTGGTGATTATAATAAATAAATATAATATAACACTAACGCGTATGCGAGTGGTGACCGTGGTCTTGCGTGTGATCGTGTGCGGGCGATGCCGCGAACAAAAGCTCCGCCTCCGGGAACAAGTCTGAAGCGGACGGCGAGTCTACGCCCAGGTCCTCGCATTCCTCTGATAGCGATTTCTGTACATACGACAATCATCTCATTCAAAAAGTCGCCTATGCGAACCCACTTAGCTAAATAACCAATCTTCTGATCCTCAAACTAGGAAATCCGAATACATTATAACTAATTATCAGTAAATATATTACTAAGCAGTTTGAATCAAAGATTTTGAAATTGAATAGATGGAACGCATAATCCATATAGTGTTGCTCGTTGTATTTATGACATTGCCAATGCGTTAGAGAAGGATAGACATATAAAAACGCATCTGTCTTTTGAATAGTGCGTAGAAGTTAAATTCATCAGAATATGTCCAACTTGGTTTTATTGGGCATATAACCCTACCAAATTCAGATACAACCTGTTTGCATACTTTCTGCATAAACAGTATCGAATAAATAATTTAATTTTAATTAGAATTTTACAATTTTTTATAAAAGTTGTAATTATTATATATATTTCATAGAAGTTGTAATTATTTTTAATAATCACATAATATAACAAAATCAAAACTCTGCAAAAGTTATTTATGTGATTTTCTGTGAAATTCCATAACGAAGTATCATAATATAGAATTCCGCATAGTGTTGGACTATTCACCTGTATCTATCGACTATATCTACCTATTGATATTAATAATTAATATTAAATTATTATTTCCGTTAATACCTAATACTTATTTTGGGATTTCCCAAAAAATATTTTTTAAAAAAGGGATTATTTGTTTTTTTTTATACCACTGAGGTGGCAAATAAGCATACGGCCCACCTGATGGTAAGTGGTTACCGTAGCATATGAACACCTGCAATATCAGAGGCATTACGCGTAATTAATGCTTTGTCGAGCCACCAAAAAAAAAATGGAAATTGACAAATAATGCACGAACATGTAGAAAACATTTTGAACAAGATGATTATTCTGAAAGCTCAACAAATTATAAAGGTTATATACATATGTATGTAAAACCTACGTAACAACTTCTAGTAACTAACCTATGTAGTACCTTCGTACATAACTGTATGACTCGAATTTAATGAATTTACAATGTCGACTTAATACGCAACTTTTTTGTAGATAAGTACGGTACTTTTGGTTAAATCCTGTCAACTAATATATAATATATCAAAGCCACTTTTATGAAAAAAAATTGTATAAAATTGTGTTCAAAATCTCACCTGAAGTCTCAGTTCATGTTCCAAAATAGCATATTTATGCCTCAGAGCTGCCGCAGATACATGCGTCAATCTATGTTGCCTCTGGGAAGAACCGTCCTTCTTCTGCACAACCTATATGATATACATTGCATCAGTTTGCTAGTATAATCTTTATATTGATTTTAAGAACATATACTGTTTTTAACACTTATCACAATTAGAATTAAATTTAAAATAAATAGTTTAATAACATCTTGTTATTCAAAATTACATTTACCTCAAGCAAAGCTAAATTGATGATTCATAATCTAATGTCTACAAAGGATGATGGTTCAGCAAAGTAAGTTGAATGACCGCAACAAAGCAAGCTCGTTACGATTCAGAGTTATCAATTTAGTTATTTAAATTATTTTTAATAGAAATAAACATTGTTTAAATATAATTTTGATATGAAAAGAATAAAAATTTTGATATGAAAAGAATAAATGAAGAATAATATTTCGATTACGATGAGAATAATGACAGGGACATGCACGGTAATGATGCAGGATTTTACTCGACAATGGGGACAGAAGACGATCCTTTAACATGCAAAATAACATTTTTTCCAATTTTAAAACTAATCGACTAAGAGAATTAACCCAAAGTAAGCTCCTATTAACCCTTCCGAATGGAAACGGTGTCAAATTACAAAAAAAAATATACAGACTTAAATGAAGTGGAGAGGCGGGAAGTAGAGACCTAAACAATTCCGCTCCTCGTTCAGGTGGAGGTATGCCCACGGAAATTTAGACGCGACATTTTTGTAGGATTATCATTCATCGACTCACTAAGCGTATAAAAATAATTGCATCATTGTAAGCAAGCAAGCTGTGTTGCGCAGTCTAAGCGACGGACAGTATTATTTTAATATCAACGTGAGTAAATGTCGCATCTACATTATTCGTGATAAATCGCTAACCATAAGGCACGTCAACACCGAACGAAGACGAGAGCGGACAAATAAAAATCGAGGCGTGCAGGACTACTAAAGAGGCATACTAAATCTGAACGATCAGCGTCAGCTCTACGAAAGATCACCTGGTGGTAGGCCTTATCGTCGCAATCTGACGCGTCAATATCGTAACCGCCTCGCGGCGAATCGTCGTGTGAATCGACGATGTAAGACTTTTTCGAGTCTACGTCGAACATCTTATCAAATATCCTTTGCGCTTCCATATCGGGACTGTATCGATCTGGGATCGGGTCCTGAAGTTTCAAAATGTGTATACAGACAGCTGTCTCTCGAATACAATGCGTTGGAAATGTCAGCTTTCAAAATATACAATTTAGGGAGCGTTTTAATACTTGGTGACTTAGATATGAATAAAAAGTGTAATACTTACAAGAACTGTTCTATCCATGTTGTCAGCCCTCACAGTCTCCTCGTATGTGTAGTCGTGTGGATCAGCCGACGAGGGAAGGTTCCACGGCTCGGAACCCTCCGGACTCGAGCCCCTCTCTGGCTTCACTTCTTGCGACTCCCGGTCAGTCCATGGTGAACTATTTGCCCTAGTCTCCACCAGTTCAGGAGGTGTAGCAGCCGGTGCCGGAGACGCTGTACTATCAGGCGGCTGGACAGTTGTAGCAGAAGCTAAATTAAATGTTTGAAGGTTGTGTAGCGCTGCTGTTGGTAACCTAACATGCCGCACACCGGGACGTGCCAGTACAGGTTTCAATCCTGCTGGACCGATCAGTCGCTGTAACAACAACGCATTGGTCGCACCTCCTTCTCCACCTCCAACAGTCAATAGTTTTGGCCCGCGGTTAGTTACTATAGCTATTTGTTGACCGCCTTTGACCATTGAAACTGGCAAGATGTAATTTGCTGGCATCAGCACAGCCGTTGCTGGTTTCCCCGCTGTACCACGGGCAACAGTGATAGTCTGCCCATCCGCTACAATAACGTTTCGCTGCGGTTGCGGGCGCGGCTGTGCGGCCGGTGTCTCCTGTTCAAATGTGAGTTTCCGTACTACTTTGCGAGGACTATCTTGAGGAGAATGACTCTCTAGGCAACTTTCATTACAATCGCCCTGCGAAGTTCCACAGCTGCTGTCTTCAGATCCCATTGTACGGCATGTATCGTCTCCATGAACAGGGCTTAGATCGCGAACGCCAGGCCGGCGGGAACCACTCGAACTTTTCTTTCGTTTCGATGATCCCGATGGATTGGATGGAGGATTAGATCTTCTACGTGGTGCTGGCTTATCTTTGTCAGGAGAATTCTCCACTTGTTCCTTGTACTCGGCCAGTATGTAGAGAATTCTTTGTGTTGTCTGTTCGTCTTCTAACGGTTTCTGTGCAGATGTCTTTGGTGGTACAGTATTTATTTTCATCGAACTAGGAGGATGTGAAGATTTGGGCCTAGATTTTGATTTAGAGCCAACCTTCGCTGGTTTAGGTTGGTTATTCGTTTCATTTGAAGAGGTCTCCGCGGTAACAGTATGAGGTATCTGTACATGAGACGAAGATGTAGGTGAGTCAACAATACCTGACGAATCTGGCGATCGTACATAGGCTGATGTAATAGGAGTGGTCACTGTAGCTTTTCTATTAACGTATGCTACGTTAAGTGGTTGGTTATTTCCAATAGAATAGAGTACTTGTGTGGGTTCTGTAGGGGTAGAACTAACTGAAACGGCATTATCTGTGGTATCAGTTGATGATGTATGCAATTTAGTAAAACTGCTATTCGAAGTAGCACTGGGCTGTACAGTGCTCCTTTCTTTTACTTGCTCGAGAACCATATCAAATTCTCTCAATTGTTCAAGTGTAGAGGAGCTCATTTGAGATTCCGTCGATGATTGACTTTCCGTAGGAACTTTAATTTGTCTAGTAACTTGAGCCTGCGGTAATCGTATAGTTTGTTGGCCAAGCGGAGGAGCAGCAGTGAGTACCAATTGCTGATAAACAGGTTGATTTGCACCCCCAATGACATTTCTTTGTATCTGGAAAAATGACGGTCTTACGACTCTTGCTCCGGACACCATCTGTGGAGTTTTACTTAACATCGGTAATTTTATCCGCATTTGTGTTAAAACTGGCTGGGGTTGTGGCTGCTGATTTTGCCCAGACTCGTTAGAAACACCCATATGAGCGTTGTTATCATCTGTAGAAATTTCAGAATTAGATGTAGATTGGTTTTGAGGAACAATCTTGATTATTGATGGTTCTATTTCTCCCTGATTAACAAATTTGACATCAGTTTGTTGCTTTTGACCTGAGTCATCTATTAATTCAGTGCTAGGTACTGTTATTAGATTTATCGTTTGTCCACCACCGATGTTAACGGGTATTTGTCGTGTATATATAACTCCGCCATGCATTGTTTGGATATTCATTGGGGCAATAGTTTGTTTTAATTGCTGCACTAAATTTGGTTGTGCCTGCGAAGTCTGAGCAGGTGATTTTCTCAACAACAGTGGTGGGCTACTTATTTGTCCCATATGCTCTAGATTTATAGAATTATCTGCAGCTGGTGGGCAATCTGCATTTTCTGAACCAGTATTTATAGAAGAAAGATGAGTATTACTACTATTTATTTCAATTGGTTTTTGATTACCATCTTGGAATACAGGTTTACCAAACGCTTGATTAAACTTAGGTAAAGTAGTTGATTTTTCGGGTACAGTGGGTTTACTAGATGAATTCTGTATAAATTTTGCATAATTCTCTTCGTATACTGAACGTGACTTTATTTCTTGTTGGGCGTTAATATTATCTTTATTAGTTAATGCGCTGGTTACTGATTGCGATGTATTCAATTCCTGCGGTTCAACTGGTTTTGATGAATTTGTCTGTACATTTGGAGTCTCGATGGGTTGTAGTCTGAGAACCATACTTCGTTGGTGTGGAGCGTTCAATTGAATAGCTTTACCGTCTGCAGATTTACATACGAATTGCACCATCTTTTGATCATTGGAACTTTGAACATTTGCAAGATTAGTCAAGAGGTTGACTCGTTTAAGAAGTTGTCCAGTATTACTGTTTTTCTGATTTCCTGTATTCACAATATGCAGAAGTTGATTTCCTCCTTGTTGGAGACCTGTATCGACTAATGATAGACCACTGAAAGTATTTGGCTGAGCTCCAGACCCGCCATTTGCTGTGGCGCTTGGCGTACCAGTCTTATTTTGTACAATATGCAATACAGGAGTCGCACTAGGAGTACTTATTACAGATTGTTGAGTATTATCTACTAAAGTTATTTGACTTCCCGATGCATTTTTGCCTTGAACAATATGCAAAACTTGAGGTGTCACTTGAGTATTTGATGTTTGTGTATTATTTTCAGACATATTTGTCTGATTTAATGGCGGTGGTAAAATTTGAGCTAAAGCTTGCTGAAGTGCCATTGCATTTATGGACGTTGCTTTAGGATAATTATTTGTCGTGGACTGAGTATTAGTACCAGCCACTGCACTCTGGCGAATTTTTTGAGATAATATATTAACCAACGCATGTGCTCTAGTATTAGCTATAGTTTCTGTTGCAGTTGTTATTCCAGCAGCGTTCATAGCATGTGCTATTTGGTCTGTTTTTTCAGAAGCACCATTATTTAGATTTTTTTGAGAAAAAGTTTCAGAAACATTCTGCTTTTCTCCAGTATTATATATGACTTGAATATTAGGATCATCTAAAGTATTACTATTATTTGTATCATAAATATAGTCAACATTATTTATATGTTTATTAGTCAGGTTTTGTGATTCACTATTTTCATGAGATTCCTTTGTCTCATCTTTATCTTCGGGTAGCTCTTCCACCAATTCGATTTTTACTACGGATTTTATTTCAGTTTCAATTGGTATATTTTCATCAGTCGTTTGTAAATTTGATACATCCTGTGATTCCATTGATACAGATTGATTATGTTGACCATAATCCTGGACTAGAGGTAGAGTTAAATTAGCTGTGGTCAATTCCGTGTATTCAGTTTTAATAGCAGTCTGTGAGTCATCGCGAGGACTGTTTTCAACTGAGCATTGTGATGGACTAGCATTGGATACTTGAGTAACGCGTGGATCACATGTTACTGGATTTTGTGCAGCAGCGCTAACTGGCAGTTGTCCCACTTGTACTACTTGCACTACTGCATCTATTGGAGAGGGGTCCATAAAATCTTGAAAGAAAAAATCGAATGAAAAACCTGGAGCTTCAAACTTATCTTTATTATTTTCTTTAATCCAATCATACTTCAATTCAACTGTTGTTTTTCTAAAGAATGATTGTACTTTATCATGTAATTTGATGTGTGATATATAGCGATTTATTTTTTCTATTTGATCATTTTCGATTGTCGTTTCCTTAAAGAATGATTGCACTTTATCATGTAATTTGATGTGAGAAATATACCGACTTATTTTTCCCATTTTATAATTTCTTGTGTAATTTTCTTTGCAATAATTGTCCACGTAGTCGTCATAATCTTCGGAGAATACAAACGGCTGAGGTTGCTTTACGTCCGACAGAGTCGCAGCCGAAACTTTTGAATAATCACCTATTTCTTCTAAATTTTGTATGACTCTGCCGGACCCCTCACCAAAACCCATTTTGAAATTTATTTCATTCTCGTTAATATTAGGAGTACTATTATCATTATACTCAGTAGCAATCTCTTCAGATAATGTTTGATTTAAGGGATTATAAAAAGTAGGCGCATGACCAGTGTCTGAAAACAAACAGCAGTCTACCGTATCTGTAGAAATATCAGCGTTTTCTGAACAAGTTCCTTCTATTGGCCAATTTTTAATCATATCAGATACATCAACATGCTCTTTGAGAAACGCGCGAGAAAAAGAAAATTTTAAAGAGCTACAATAATCAAACAATCGCTTGTATTCTTTACTATATCCAGATTCCATAATAGCAGCTGCTGTAATTTTCGGATAATCTATATTTTTTCCTTTTCTATATTTCTTTCCACTGTGTTTTCCGTCTGCCAAATCAATTTTACGTTTTAAATTCCGTTTTAAATGCATATTTTCCGTAGACGTTTCATCTCCATATGTTGCTTTAGAATACGTAATTTTTGGAACGATGACCTCTAAATTTGATTCACTATATAAAGTTACATTCTCGTCAGAATCTGAGACATCCTCATGCATAATTTCGATTACTTCTTCATTACTATAATTCGCCCCATCATTTCCACTACTTACAGATGAGTTCTCGTCAATAGGAAATACGTAGCATGTGCCTACAACAGGGTCTTCATATTCAACTCCTTCAAGAACTACACTTTCATCTTCGCCATATAAGAGCATTACTTTCTCTACACTATTCTTATCATTGTTATTTTGATTAGTTTTAGATATTTTATCCTCACTCATATACTCTTTAATGATTATTTTATTAGACGGCTCTATTTTACATGTTTTTATATTTTCAACCACTCCAATATTTTTTTCTTTTTTCTTAATAATGTCTTCGCTCTCTCTTTTTGAAACATTAAATTTTTCAGTATATTCATGGTCTAATAATAAGGAATAATTTTTTTCTATTCGGGATTCCAGATATTTTGGATTATGTTCGGTATCCAACGACGTAATTTTATCATTACATATTCCTGGCTGCATTTCTTCTCTGGATGCTTCAGTGAAATATTTCAGAGTTTCTAGTTTACAGTTTGGTTCTTTTATATTAGCAGTTTGGACTGGTGTATTTTGAGCGTTATCATGAATTTCACTATCATTCAAGGTAGTTTCCTTGGTCATATGTTTTAATTTAGGAGAAGTTTGCTCCGTATTTATTTTATTTTCACATAACTCTGTTTCGATTTTTTCAACATTTACTTCTACAATTATTGTACGATCACATTTTTTAGGCTGTGTACTTTGGAATGTGGATTGATTTATTCCTGTATTCGTAGACGAAGAATTTATGTTATAATCAAAATTCATATAATCTTTAATTTGTGTGTACATTTCGGATAATTTTTCTGCATCCTTATTTAAGGTCCCCTCTTTTTCATGATAAAAACCTTTTGAAGGTTGGTCTGTACAGGCATTATAACTGTTAGTTCCTATAACATTATTTTGAATTTGTTTAAAATTACTTGTAACATCATCTTTTAAGACATTAGTGGCATTAGTGCCCTCACAATTTTCTTTTTCTTTAGTTTTTAACGAGTTTCCTATGTAATGACTTCTTAATATTTTATCAGAAAAGTTTACAGTAGATTTCGGATCTTTTACAGTATTTTCATGTTTCTGATAAAATATACCATTTTTTATACTGTGTCTACGCTTCCAAGACAGATTCTGATTATCTGTACTTTTTAAGAGTTTGCTGGCAACAGCGCTACTCTCATTGAAGCCTGATTTTCTTTTGAGACTATGTGTACTCACAATTTTTAAATCAGAAATGTGTCCTATTAAGTGAATAATAGGATTATTTTGAAAATATACAGCCAGAAGTCTTTTTAGAGAAGGTATCTCACATATTACAGATGAATTAATAATCCTATGTTTATCACTAGATTGAATACTTCCATTTTTTAAGTCAGTTTCACTCTTTTCCTGTAAGATTGCAATGTGAGAAAAAATTTCATCGTGTAACTGACGTTTTGATAGAAACCACTCACATTCCCGTTTTACATTTACACGGTACTCAGGTAGTTTCTGGTCTCTATGAGAAATATTTGATACCATAGTTTCAGCATTATTTTGATTAATATTTATTTTGAACGTATCCTTACATTGTTCCTGTAAATTTATATTCGAAAAACTTCTCAAATGAAGCTGGGGTTTTGAAATAAACCATTCACTTTCACAAGTTATGTATGCTTTAGGGTGATCATTTTCACTGCATTTTTTAGTAATGTCTACATAATCTTGAAGTGCTACTATGGTTTCAAAAACATCAATAACAGGCGAAGTGCAGACTGATGTACTAATATCATTTGGTTTATTACACATACTATTTAGAATTGGCAAAGAGTCATCATACACCATTTGGGAAACAGACAAAATAGTAGCTGGGATAAAGTCTTCAGCGTCCATTACATCACAATTGGTATTATCAGTAACAGTATCATTAGCACTTGACGATTCCATATTTTTATTGGACTCATCGCATCTGTAAAGCTTAATAAAACATTTGCGCTTATTTACATCCAAATACTTATTAACAAGATCATCACATTTCTTAAGTGATACGACGCAATCACGTGTTTTTATTGAAGATAGGCTATTGTCTTCTTCGCTGGGCATCGATTGTACACTTGTATTGTTTTCAAGTAGATTGTTAGCCACAATGGGATTTATATTTTCTTCAGATTTGTTAAGAACATCATTGTCGGTAACTTCTTTAAATTGATTTACTATATCTTTTGCAACTGTTAAGATATCTACGGGAAAATTTGGACAATTCTTTAATATATCTATACTATCGTTAGAAGAATCATCAATTTCTATTATTTCTGAATCTTTATTACATATAGAATTATCTGTACATTCGTTAGATATACAAATAGGTGCTGGATTGTCAGACATACAGTTGGTCAGCGTTTTGTGACTATTCGTGTCGACATTTCCATTACAACTTGATGATAAATGGACCAAATGTTCATCCAAATTATCGTCTAATACTTTAGGAGCATTTTCTGTTGGTACATAACGATTTAATTTTACAAAAGATTTCTGATCAAATCTGCTTTGATGTTTTTCATACATATTTCTATTTGTAAATGATGTTTTATAGCTACCGAATTCAGTTCTAAATACAAAACATCTTATATCATCTTCATCGTCACTAAGTAAATTTATCGTTTCGACTTTTTGCGGAACCCCCTTAGAATACAAATAATTACCTTCGACATATGGTTTTGCAGGTTCGATTAGATTATCTACTTTTGTCGAAACCCATTTAGAATGCAACTGAATGTCTTCAATATGTGTTTTTGGAGGTTTACTTGGATCTTTTTCATTTGGGGTAGTAACTTGTTTAATATTTAATGTATATCGTTTATTACACGACATGTTATTCAATAACATAGATTTTAAAATTGGATCTGAAAATAACGATTCAAAATCGGTATATAATTTTCCATAAATTGTAGCTTTAAATACTCTGCCATTAGGCAACTTAATACGTAAAATTTTCTTATTCGAATCATTGACATTTTTATCCTGTATTTCTTCAATAATAACATTTTTTTTAAAAGACTCGGGAAAAGATGATACATCTTCAACTATTAAATCTGAATTTTGTTGGTTGATTTCATTTATTTCATTACGCGAATGATTATTAGAAGTAGATAAATTTTCGTGAATAACAGGTTTTACGTTTTCAGATTGATCGGTTAAATTTCTTGTATCTTCGGTGATGCAAAGCGTTTCAGTAAATGTATTTTTCTTTTGAGTAATAAGTAAACTGGGTCGATTGTTAGATGATCGATTACTTTCAATAAGATTTTTCTTCGACGAAGCAGTTTCAACTAATTTCGGCTGAGTGTTATTAACCAATTCTGTATTAGTCATTTTCGCTGTCTTATCATCAGATAAGTTATTTTTTTCTGGACACTTTAATGAACCGATGATATTTATTTCAGCTGATTTATTGTCATCATTTTTATGAGATATTATATTATTTTTATTAGATATTTGACAATTCTCAATTTTCGCAGAGGAAATTTCATGCGATTCTAAAGACATACAATCAATAAATTCTACAGTAGTTCTGTTAGTTCTATCCTCATTAGTCAAGCCTAATTTTTTTGAGCACAATAATGAAGAACTATTATTTGCAACTGAATTAAGACTAACATTACTTTCAGGAATTCTATGCCCAACAACTATTTCTTTATTTTCCACTGATTTGTTTTTGCCATTTTCTTTCGCTAATTTCGCCGTTTTATTTTTTAGTTTTTTAAGTCGAGGTAATCTTTCATTTGACATTTTAATTTTTGGTTCTTCAATTTCCTCAATTAATGATTTAGAAATCATACTGGTATTGTCTTTACTCACGCGTCGAACTGAAACCGTTTCTGGAAGTCCTACTTCTTTAGGATTCACGAAATGATCTATTTTATTATTTTCATCACTGGACACATTTTTTCTCTGTTTTTGCTTATTTTTAGAACCTAGTGCATCATTTCGTGTCAGTATTTTTTTTACTCTATTAGAGCACTCTTTTTGAACAGCGTTATTTGACGCTGCAATTGTTAGATTTTCACATTCAGTTGTTCTTAAATTCTCACGTAAGTTTGAGAATTCTATATATTCCCTTGGTCGTTCCATTAAATTTTCATTATTTGTTCCTTCTAGTAATAATTTAGTTTTTATTTTCAACTTTATACATTTTTCCTTAATTTCATTAGTATATATAGTAGTAGTTAATTCTTTCATTGTAGTACTTTTAAATTTATTAGATGACACCATATCTACCGGTTGCTGTGTTGATAAGTCCGGTCCAATATCTATCAATTTGATATTTTTTGATGTTTCATTTGGTATTTTAGACACTAATAATTCGTCTTCAATATCAAGTACATTAGGTACATCGACATTAAAATCTTGCGTTTTTTCTGTAACTGTATGGTCATTTTTGGATAAAATTTTATTTAATGTGACCTTTTTAGAGATTTGAGAAATAGCATTAGGTTTCAGTGTAGACTTTTTGCTCAATATTCTTTTTGAAGTACGTTTAGTTGTTACTACCTTTTCCGTAATAACATTAGTGTTTCTTTCATTTTTTTTAACAATTACATCTTGAACAATATCTCTCATATCATTTTTTAGTCTAACTTTTCTTTTCTATCTTTGGTTACGTTTAAATTAGTCGAGACGGTTTCTATATTTTTATTGGATGAACGCAACAGAATACGACGACATTCATTTGGAATAGATTTATTTTCTTTATAAGTTTCACTACCTAAACTTGGATTACATTTTTGGATATGGTTGAACGTATTATGTATATTCGTACAACATTCTTCCTGTATATCGGACTTAAGGGCATTTTCTTGATTATCTTGATTCTTGTCGGTGACAGAATTACTTCCATTTTCTTTAATCAAGGGAACATAAGATAGCGGAATAGGTGGATAACAACAACGATGATTTAATTCCCTGGTTGTAATCGCTAAACGTTTCTTGTTTAATCTCTCAAGATTTTTGATATCCTTTTCAGAATGTTCTTTTCTCTTCGTAATAATATTTCTATTTTTCAGGTCAATATTTTCATGATTCATTGAAAGTTTTATATTTTCATTAGAAGTAGATACATTATGACTTTTTGTTGGTTCTTGGGCATTAGTCTTGTTTTCGTTGCCATTCAAATCAATAGAGGACCTTTTTGGTAAATCACTTACAGTCGCTTTTTGGTTTATTGGAGTTCCAATGGCATCGTCACAAATTTTTGGAAATTTTAATAATTTATTTAAAGGGAAATCTTGATTTGAGATTAAACTCTTTGTTATTACCTTAACATCAGTCCTCTCTTGCTCATTCAGATGCTTATTTTTTAAATCCCCATCAACTGATATTGTTTCATTCTTAGATGTTCTAGTATTGTCATCAATTTCTTGGCCTTTAGTTTCTCTTATTATGTCATTATCTACTGATATCCACTGACTTTTTATTTTACTACAATTTTTTTCTATGGCAGCAAATTTCTGTTTTTCTTGTACTTCAGAAAGTACTTTTCTTTCACAGTTCCTATTCGAATTGATATCCAAATTCACTTTATTTTCCAATTTAGGACTCGTGTTTACATGTAATAGGCAATCATTTCCCGACCTGTGATTTAGTTTCAAGTTGATGTTATTGTTCTTGTTCATGGCCTCATTTTCTATTATATTTCCATCATTCAAATTTGTAGATATTGTTAAATAAGGTTGACTCGAAAAATTACTTGGAGAATTATTAGATGTCATACTTACAGGCAAATGATTTCCAGACCCATGACTTAAGTTAAAGTTGATATTATTTGCCACATTCGTCATTTCATTTTTAGTCATATTTCCATCATTCAAATTGGATGACACTGTTAAATAATTTTGACTCGAGGAATTACGTGGTAAATTATCCGAGGGAATCGCATTACCAATAATAACTGGATTAACAACAGGAGCCGCAAATTGAGTTGTGTGATACAAAGTAATATTCGGTGTATTGTTTGGTACAACATATGGAGCCACACCACCTAAACGAGTTTGTACGGCAGAATAAGGGTCATAAAACATATTTGATCCTATGAGTAAGACATTCTGTAAAGCAGTCTGTGTCTGCTGAGGTATTGCAGTAATATACATATTCCTTGAATCCGAAACAAGATTGTTGGCTATGTCATCATCCTTATTAACATAATCACTTTTATCACTATTCTTATTGAGTACAGCTTCATTACATTGATGACTTATTTTATTTGACAAAATAGGGACATTACTAGAATTTGTATTGACCTCTGTTCCCAGATTGTGAAGAGAAGCGTTTTTGTTCGTTAAAGGTGAGGAGACAATTGTTGATGAATCTAAAATCGTCTTGGTGTGATAATTGCTTTTTGCACCCAGAACTTTTGTAGTTGATCGATTCATCTCTGTAGAATTCTGTAATCTATTACATACATTCTGAGCGGGTCTCAAATCTACTGCTCCATTTTTTTCTTTTTGATGGCATGGTATCGACTGCTTCGTGACATTAACATTATTCCTAATGCTTGTGACTTTATTACTTTTTTGTATTGACGATCTACAATAGGAGGAGGAATCATCATCAGAGGATAATTCTCCGATTTCTTGACGTAACTCATCATCCATCAATTCTTCTAAAAGATCGTAATCTGAATTTTCTAATCCAGATATAAACGGATCTTTTTGACGAACAATTTCATGATTGGATTGTTTTTTCTGTTCACCCGGCAGTTTTCTTTGTGCGTTGACATGTGCAGCAATTTTTGCATTTTCTTTTGATTTTTTTGATTGTCCAACTGAGAAATTTGAGTAATATGCTTGGCCTGGACTGTAGGACAATTACTTGGCTCAGACTTATTAGGGGAGAAATTTTTATTTGGCGGTTGTTTAATGTGACAGACATTTGGAGTCTTTACATCTTGAAGTGTAGTAGAGGAGGTAGTTCTCACTATTCTTTGATTCCGTAAACTATTTTCAGCATCTTTTTTCAATTTAATTTCAAGAGCAGTCGGATCTCTACTTGGTGTTTTTTGTGCACGAATAGCGTTCATGACACTTTCCCAGTCCTGTGGTGATGAAGTCGACTTCCCAAGATGTTCAAATTTTACAGAATCCGATTTAGCCTTTAATGGCATCTTTTTAGTTACATTCCGCTCATCATTAGTACTTTTGGACATATTAACCTTAATTGCCTTATTTTCTATTATTTTAATAGAAGAATTATTATGTATGTCAGAAATGTTGTTATTTGGTAATGCTGCAGTTTTAACCTTGTGCCCCACATATTGCTGAACAGTGTTGATCTGGTTGCCATTTATAGGTTTATAAGAAGCAAAAGATATGGGATTAGTTTTTGTAATCATATCATTTGTAGTATTAATAGGGGATCGTAAATCATCTACCGTTTTAGATACACTGGTTTCTATCTTAGGCATTGGTCTTTCTAAATTTTTTCGATTCTGCTGTTGCAATAATAATATTAAATCCTTCTGATCTTCTTCTGAGAGATACGATCTCTTTGTAGGTTTGCTTACTGTAACTGACGATTGTTCCATATGAGATGTTGCAATTTTTATTCGATTATCATCTTTAGTGGCTTGCCTACTTAATGGAACCGTAAGATTAGATTCTTGTTTTGGCTTTGATTGTAGTATATTAGATATTACAGGATGATCATTAATTATAGATGTCTGTTTTCCTGTAGTTCGGTTACAATGCACATTTGGACTATGCTTTGTATATTGAACAGGAGTATCTACACGTGAAATTTCTGTACTACTTTTAGTTTGAGAGTACCTAACATTAGTAAATCTATTTTCAGTGATACTCCGGGATAAGTTCATAGAGGTTTCTTTTAACAATTGTTCTTGACGATTGCTCATATCGTGTTGTTTAAGTTTAGCGTCACTATGTTTATTTTTGTGCATATAACTAAGACGTGAGAAAGTATTTGGTGCATTGTCCGTCTTCTTTTGATGGCCTATTTGTTTGGCACATGATGGATTTACAGAGCGCTCAATTTGATTACTAATATTAGGAATTAAAGGTGTGACTTTGCTCATAGGTCTTATTTCTTTTTTAGCAATAACATTTGAATTTCTTACTGATGATTTTTCTACTACCTTATTGCCTGTGCCGGCATTTATACTTTGTTGTAATTCTTTAAGAAATTCTTCAAATGTTTTCTGCCCTCCTGATTCAGCAAATGGAGAATATTGTTGATTCAAAGCACTATTACTTTGGCTGTGTCTACTGGGTGGTTTATTGCTGTTCGATACATTTGTCTGATCTGAAAAACTACTAGGAACAACCTTGTTTTCATAAGTACGATTTTTCGTCACTTCTCTGTGATTCATTAAACTTGTTGCAGTATCTATACAGTTACTCTTTATTAGTTTATTTGTGGACTTAGTTACATTCTGTGTAAGGTGTGTTACAGAGCATCTTTCATTTTGCCTAAATTGTTGCTTTTCAGTATTTATAACATTATTCATATTAAGTACACTGTTAATTTCCCGCTTTAATTGATGTAACTGTTGTTCTGTTTGTTTTTTGTTTATATACACTTTAGGTATATCTGGAACTGTAACAGCTTTTGGGCTAACGAATGATTGTGATGGGAACTCTGGAGAAATAATAGCTTTTGCTCTTTGTTCTATGTTATCATTCTTATTATAGTGAGTTTGATAGTAAGCAGTAGCAGAATTGAACATATCCTCATTGGCAACATTTTGACGTCTGAAGTCCAGTAATTTTCTAATACTTTTCGTAACCTCTTCCCTGACAGCATCAACATGAGCTTCTTCAGCTACAGTACTAGATGTGGGTTTTACTATTGATTTTGTAGGAATATTCACACTATCTAATGACTGAGCTCTCTCAATACTAAGTTTTCTAGTCACTTTTGAAGTTGTATTTACAGCTACTTGGCCATCTGCAATACTTAACTCACTGTTCTTTATAAGTGGTTTATCAGTCAGAAGATTATTTTCAGGAGATTTGTAATCGTCCATTGAGAATAATCCATCAAAAACAACATTCATATTGTTCCCTTCCGAATTGATTGACGTTATTGAAGATTTTCCTTGACTGTCATAATCACTATCAGTTATTGCCAATTTTGTCTCAGTTTCATCCTTCTTTTCAGTACCTGATTTGAATACTTTCATGCCAATAAGACAAGAAAGAGAATTTGACTTCTGTTCCTTCGGAATCTTTTCTTTTTTTGACTTCTTTTCTTTTTTCTTCTCTTTACTTTGACAATTATCTTTCCGCCTTTCACGATTAAATTCATTATCTTCATTATCTTCATGATGTTTTTCAGATTTCTTTTTTCTGTGTTCTTTACTTCTCTCTTTGCTGTGAGGTCGTTCTTTCTTCTTTTCAATTTGTTTAGTTTCAGCCACAAGACTCAAGGGATCTGTATCCTCTTCAGATGTTGTTAAAATGTGTTTTTTCTTCTTACGCGGTTTTATTGTTACACATTCTGTTTCCATACAACTAGAAGCACTTTCTGTTCGTTCAGGATCAAAATGCCACATCTCTTCAGGCTCTTGAAACTCTACTAGATGCTCGTAACCTAATTTAGTAGATCGAAAAAAAAAAGTCTTAATACTTGTATAAAGTTGCATAAAAATCATTATAATTTTTCATAAAAATTATGATATTTTTATCAGACTATTAAAGATAGGAAACAAATTTTTTGTTAGGTATGTTTATATTTAGCATAACCTACAGCCACGATTGTTTTTTTATTTATATTATTTATATATTGTTATATTCACCTTAACTGAGAGAGCAGTGGAGCAACATGATAAAAGTTTAAAGGAAATATAATCATAATAAATCTAAATTTTATACTAGCGTGGCCAGCTACTTATTTTAACCAATTGCAAATAGAAAAAGTCAAAGTTTTTTTAGCACTCACATTATGTAATATCTCCAATTCTGTCATTTTTAAAGTTATAGGATGCATCTTATGTGAGTCTCGTACAAATTTTGTTTTAATTGAATCAGTGTATGTAACAAAATCTTATATGTAACGCTGACTCAGATAAACATAATTTACCTTTTTCAATTCCATAATATATGTCGGTCTCGTCGTCCTCCTCTTCAGGCAAATGCTCGTAGGCACTGGGATCCAAGTTAAGATACTTTAGCTCGGTGGTGAGAGCGCGTGTGCCGCCGTTTGTGCGCTCCATGTACGACCGGCAGTTCTCTAACAATTGTTCCCTGAAATTGGGTATTATGTAGTTGTAACGATAAAACATGAAATATATCAGCTATTGTAGGCTTATAGGTAAAGCATTTTCTTTTACATTAAACAAAATTAAAATATTTCATTTTTCCATAATAAATTTTGGATTTTTTGTCATCCCATAACAGAAGATCAACAATGCCACATTGCATATTTACTTATGTAATTCATGCAACTGAAGACACGCTGAATATGGCACTAGGTGTCACAAGTCTAATCAACTATCTTATCCATGCATAGTAACCAGGAAACACTGTCACTTTACAATGATTTTTTGCAACAAACTTACTATATGTGGATTGATATCAAATTTAATTGTTGAAAGTTTCGTTAGAACACTTTACATTTTATTGTAGTAGGTACCGGTTTAACTGACGTCTAATTAGATTCTTAATCATGGGCGACTGTGGCGCGTTCATGACTACCTCACATTCATGTTAAGGATCACGAACTGATCCCGAAACTAATCGAGCTTTCTCGATCTAATTACACGTAGTAAACCAGTAGTTATTGTATTAAAATGTCAACAAAGTTGATTAACTGTAATTGAACTGAAATTTAACCATGAGTAAGTTGACTTGATATTAATATTAATAATTTTTATTAACTGTTGTTCAAGAGTTTACCAGGAATGTATGGTTTGGGCATTGAATATTTAAAAAATGTATTATTATTCAATAAAAGTTTACCATGAATATATATCTGGTTGACCTTACCTATCCATGTCCCACGAGAATGTTTTAACCCTGGGCCCCGAAAGACAGACAGTGAGATCCTGACAGAGTTCAGCACTAAGCCCCAGCGCCTCTCCCTCTGAGAATATCGCAGTCGACAGCACGTTTGCTCGCTGCTGCGTTTGTTTCAGATTCAACGTTTCCGAAGTCTTCACAAAGTTGGTCTGTGTTCGGCTATCATTCGCCCAGCTCCCGAACTCTGACTTGACCTCTTCTTTTGAATCATCATCCTAAAAATGTAATTACTATGCTTACTATTAACTTAATGAAACACAATGAAGATAAAAAGAATACTTCTCCTTCTCATCCTACTATTAAAATAATCTTACTTCATAACAGTAAGTCCAATTTTAAATATAATGGATGACTTAATATCTTATATAAATGATTGACTTATATATCTTTAAGGAAAATTGCAGTTTTCTTGGAAAAATATTTGTACTCCATTGACAATCCTTAAGTGGCTTCAATTTAAATGTATATTATTATTAAAAGATGACTCTAAATTGATTAATTTGCTTTTAAATTTTATTTTGTACTTGCCATCAAATACAAATTTTTATGGATAAATTAAATGAAAAAAATATATCAGGCTTACTCTTATATAAAGCAAGTTTTAAATTTTTAATAAATTCGTCATAGTCGTAGAATACTGACGGATCTGACAAATATTAAATATATATATATATATATCGGTCAGTATTCTACGACTATGACGAATTGATTCTTTTTAAAGTCTATAAGACTTATTGTTATACCATATCAGTCTATGTGATAATATCATAGTACAACTCAAGGCTACAGCTTAAAAATATAATTAAAGGTGTGTCAATTAGGATGTAAATTGTATGTTTGCGTGTGAGTGTACATGCGTGTATGCGTGTGTGCGTGTGTGCGTGTGTAGGTGAGTGTGTATGTGTGGAGGCGGCATATATTAGTATGCGTAGTGTACTGACGAGGGCGAGCGGCGGCAGCACGGGCGCGGCCTCGAGGGCGGCGTACATGGCGGGCGAGGGGTGCACGGAGAAGGCGGTGAGCGCGCACTCGCAGCGGATGCGCGCGCTGGCCGCCAGCAGCGCGCCCAGCTGCGACAGCCACGACGACAGCGTGCGCTCCGTCGCCCGCGCCTCCGACTCCTGCAATTGTGTTCACGCACGAAAAAAAATCATATTCTTGAATGATTAATTGAATTTTAGGACCGAGATTTGATATCAGATTATTAGGTTAATGAATCAAATGCACTGTTAGGCATGAATCTTCCATTTATCATCAAAATTATATCGGCCGTTAACTAGCCACTGATGAACACAAGCCTCCTCCAGTTATGTCAACAGTTGTCAAGATTGAGCAAGCAAATTAGTAACAGCAGTTAGGTTTTTATGATGTTTCAGGGACACAGCTGCCTATCATTCGACCATTAAGTTGCCTATAGCCTCTTACGACACTCACAGGTAAAAAATAGGTGACCCTTTCCATACCGCCGCATGGCATCTTTTATCATAAAAAGTGGAATAAACAGCATTGCTTGAAAGGGATATACTACTAGCGAAACTAAACATTTTTAACAATAAAATATGGATCGAAAAACCACAAAAAATTTTGAGCTTACAATATATAAAAAGACTAATTTTTTTTTTTTATTGTAGATTTTGTAAATCTCGAAATATATAATATATCGTAAGATATTTTATAGCATGTGTAGATTCTTTTTTGAAAGAAATAACAATATTTTAAAAATATTTTTAGTTTTACGTACCAGTAACAATTTCACATTTTTATCCTGTACAACTACCATTATTACAGTTCTTATTATAAAAATTGCATACCTTTTCAGTCTTCAATTTGAGCTTCTCCAGTTCATTCATGCCGGCTGTAATTGCTCTCACATAGAGTTCGCATACAAATGGCTTCATCTCCTCCGTACTCTATAACAATTATAAAAATATATATTTTAATATTTTGTCACATTAAAGAAGTTAAAAAAAAAAATGTAAATGTGCATACTACATAAACAATGTGAGGCAACGGGAACACACTGTAAGTACAAAGTTATGGACTAATAGGTATGCATACTTGTAATCTAAAACTGCATATAACACTTTTTGTTTACAAAGTTATAGTCCTTCCAATCTTTACGTATGAATAGTAGACTCTGTACAAAACGAGTGTAAAAACATTAGACTTTTCCTTTGCTTTGTCTGTGCTCGATCCTATATGGTATGTGAGCAAGGTCATGTGTACATGATCATACGATTTTTTTCTTTGTGGCTCTTCATCACTGCGGCATATCAGGCCAACAGATACTCCACACTACACATGTGTAAGGTTATGTTAATTTAGAACTTAATTTGAACTGACATTTTGTCAGTAATTCCTTCGCCCACCTACATAAAATCATTATTTATTTTGAATATGTTAAAAAGATATATCAATTAATCAATCTAAATTACGTTATAAATATTATATTTTCATATGTAATATTGGCCACCAGCCGTGTGTGTGGACACGCGCTGATGCACACTAGTGAGTGTGTATATAGTGTGGGCGGGGTACCTGCGCGTGCACGGCGGCGGCGAGCGCGTGCGCGCGGCGCGCGCGCGGCGGCGGCGGCGGGCAGGCGCGCGCGCGCCACCAGCCGTGTGTGTGGACACGCGCTGATGCACACTAGTGAGTGTGTATATAGTGTGGGCGGGGTACCTGCGCGTGCACGGCGGCGGCGAGCGCGTGCAGGTGCGCGGCGGAGGCGGCGGGCGCGGCGAGCGCGGCGGCGGCGGCGGGCAGGCGCGCGCGCGCCACCAGCCGTGTGTGTGGACACGCGCTGATGCACACTAGTGAGTGTGTATATAGTGTGGGCGGGGTACCTGCGCGTGCACGGCGGCGGCGAGCGCGTGCAGGTGCGCGTCGGAGGCGGCGGGCGCGGCGAGCGCGCGCGGCGGCGGGCAGGCGCGCGCGCGCCACCAGCCGTGTGTGTGGACACGCGCTGATGCACACTAGTGAGTGTGTATATAGTGTGGGCGGGGTACCTGCGCGTGCACGGCGGCGGCGAGCGCGTGCAGGTGCGCGGCGGAGGCGGCGGGCGCGGCGAGCGCGGCGGCGGCGGCGGGCAGGCGCGCGCGCGCCACCAGCCGTGTGTGTGGACACGCGCTGATGCACACTAGTGAGTGTGTATATAGTGTGGGCGGGGTACCTGCGCGTGCACGGCGGCGGCGAGCGCGTGCAGGTGCGCGGCGGAGGCGGCGGGCGCGGCGAGCGCGGCGGCGGCGGCGCAGGCGCGCGCGCGCCACCAGCCGTGTGTGTGGACACGCGCTGATGCACACTAGTGAGTGTGTATATAGTGTGGGCGGGGTACCTGCGCGTGCACGGCGGCGGCGAGCGCGTGCAGGTGCGCGGCGGAGGCGGCGGGCGCGGCGAGCGCGGCGGCGGCGGCGGGCAGGCGCGCGCGCGCCACCAGCCGTGTGTGTGGACACGCGCTGATGCACACTAGTGAGTGTGTATATAGTGTGGGCGGGGTACCTGCGCGTGCACGGCGGCGGCGAGCGCGTGCAGGTGCGCGGCGGAGGCGGCGGGCGCGGCGAGCGCGGCGGCGGCGGCGGGCAGGCGCGCGCGCGCCACCAGCCGTGTGTGTGGACACGCGCTGATGCACACTAGTGAGTGTGTATATAGTGTGGGCGGGGTACCTGCGCGTGCACGGCGGCGGCGAGCGCGTGCAGGTGCGCGGCGGAGGCGGCGGGCGCGGCGAGCGCGGCGGCGGCGGCGGGCAGGCGCGCGCGCGCCACCAGCCGCGCCAGCGCGCGCGCGCAGCCCTGCAGCGCAGCGCGCACCACGCCCGCGCACCGCGGCACCACCATGCATCGGGCTATTATCACCTGCCGCACGAACATACCATCATTCCTTCGATACAACACCCACCAACTACTACACCATACGACGCTTCCTTCCAATTCGAAAAGTGAATCATCACTATTGATATAAAGCCACAAGTAATCTATAATTTTATAACAATACATACTTTAAAGTCAAAATCAATTCTAACAATAAACACTATGAATTCGAAAAGTGATTACAGCAATATTTTGATGTCGACTAGCAATTGGCACTTTAACTTTGAAATAGAGCAAACAACACAGTCAATCTAACAATACTGATGAAAACATCTAAAATAATGTTTGACCAAATATCATTGTCTATGATAATGAAACTTGCCTCGGCGCCTTAAACAATTTTTTTTTAAAAAAAGAACAATTAACATTCCTTTAAATCAGTGATCAGAATTCAAAGTTCGAAATTCAAAATTATTATAATAATATGAAAATTTCAGACTTCGCCACTACACATACATTTGAGTACATTATTCGAGTCTTTATTTATAATATGCTATTATAACGTTAGGAAGAATTTCTAAAAAAAAAAATGCTCCGACTCTGAACTTGATTTACTGAATTTTTTGTCTAAATAAAATATAGTAATATTAAGTATTATTTTGAGTTTAAATAAATAATCCAGAGCAACAATTTTTACTAGTTAGTGCTTCACAGCTACCCACAAAAAAAAAGTATATTAATTTGTATACTCTATTCTCTCAATTCAAATTTGAAAATCACCCTGATTTGAGAAATGTTTAACCTAATTGCTTGCAACACTGGAAAAAACGAGTTTGTTTTGATTAAAAAAAAAAAACATTAAGTCAGTCAATGACTGATGTTTGGCTGACAAAAAGATGTCCTGTTTTTTACACTTGATGCTCTTTCTATATAATCTAACCCCTTTATTCATAAAAACGACAAATATCTAATAAAACTATTTTAATTATTGAACTGTTTTTCTCTTTTTTATACACTATGTTCCAAATTTAAATGAAAGTGACTAAACAGAAATATTTTAGTTTTTATGAATAAGGGGGTAAGATTATATACTAACTTAACACATAGGTCAATCTGTGTACTGATACACAAGAATATTTACTACCTACAACAAAAGGTTGGCTTTGTAAGGTTGTTACGTGGTTTTATAATCTACACTAATACAAACATACATGAAATATACCAACTGACAAAATCCAAAATTACAGTATCAAATTTTTGTTTCGAAAGAAGCGAGAGGTTTGTTTGAATCGAAGCATTTGGTGTTCCATTGTTTCTGCCTACCCTAATGAGAGACAGGCGTGACAGATATGTATGTATGTATGTATTTTTTTTCCGGTTGTCTTCAAATAGAAGGAAGTTCGCAATTTGGTTATATATTTTTTTATTTGTTACCTTATAAATAAAATACTTATAGATTGGTCCCATAGAAATTTGATCAAAATTAGATTAGTTCAAAAAAAAACTGGTTAGGCCTCAAATGAAGACACCTTTTTTTTGAAAATCTTAATCTTAAATTATAATTTTAACAAGAATATTTTCTTTATTAACCTGCGCAATGAGGGTAGCAGTATCTTTACTATTCTTCCACAATTTCTTCTCGCGGGGCGACGTCTCCAATCGGCAGCGAAGTCGCTCAACCAACTGGTATCCCTTGCGGAGTGGTGTTTTCTTCGCCTTTAACAAATACAACTGTATAGTATACCTAACGATATATCTAATCTATTTAAAATAATAATGAAAAGCATTTACAATCTATCTATATTCTCAACAACTGTCTAGTAGAATTAATAAAAATATCAACTCTCCTGGACAAATGGTAAAAGGAGTTTTAAAAATGCATGGTGTTTGGGCACAAACTCTATTAAATAAAAAGTGAAGCCAAGCCTAAGTATTATCCTAATATAACACATTTTTTATTGCAATTCTGCATTGATTTCTAATTCACAAAATTGATTACGAATTCAAAATTTACAATACCAAGTCAAACATCAAAGCAATTTTGACAATAATTATAAAAAAGACTCGATGTAGATTACTAAATAATTGTCAGATATGACAACAAGATTTGGAGTTGACATTATAAAGATCACTAAATATATAAATATCTAAGATATAATACCTGCAAGATCTTATTCATCATCATCAACCTGTCAGCCATTACACGTACACTAATAAATATAGGCTTCCCCCTATTGGGGGGAGGTGGGAACGGTTGCCTCTGCAATTAAGCTTTGGCTATATTTTAAAAGGGAGACTACTAATTAACCCTCGAACATAAAAATCCCTTAGTAGCCTCTTATGACCAGAGGGAGACTTTGTACAAAAATCGATTGCTTAGACACCTCTGTCCCATTCATGTTTCAACCGTGAAGTAGTTGTGTTTACATAGCAGTGTTTCGGTTTGAAGGGTGGGATATGGTGTGAATTTACTGGGTACAGAGGAATAACATCTGAGTTCTCAGGAATGGCAACGCATGGGGGGTATCATGGGCGAAACAGTATACTCTGTTATGTCCATGGTACTGTTCATTTCTATAGGCGACGGTTACCACTTTCCATCAGATGGGCCGTCAGCTTGTTTGCCATTCTAGGTTGTATTTAAAAAAAGCCTCTTATGAAACCCAAAGGAAAGGAATATATGGCCCATTCTATGCCAAGACCACCAAGCAATATTTACGCAAGTTTGGAATTTAATATTTAAATTTTTTTTTTAATGGTATCTTTTTATTTTATAGTTTATGCATTGCTTGGAATTGTTTTCAAGGATTGTTAGTAATGGAAAGGTAAGTCCTCATTGTTATTAATATACCCCTATCAGGTCGACCTACACGCAGTTCCGCCTGGAAACTATCGTGACTAATTTATCATTGAATTCGTCACGCTAACTGCTAGGTTAATTGACCTGCCTTTTCATCCTTACCTATCATCTCTCACTGGCACCTCGCCCGTGTATACCGACAGCACAGGCAAGGTTGCCATGCCATTTTCACCCTTAAAAACTTACCAATGTGATGCACTGTGCCTGTTTGTCCCATTTGTGCAAAAGTACAAACTCCAAATCTGTGATCAGCTCCCACACGTCGATTGTAAACCCAGCCTCTCTGCTTAGCAGATCCGCGAACGTCGGTTCTACGCCTTCAGAGGTGGTGTTGTTATCTGTACAGAAATATACATGTCCTTATTTTTGTTAATTGCCTCTATAGACTATCAAATATAACTTATTTATGAAATGTAATATTTGGTTTCCGACCCTGGAGATCATACTTCTTTCACGTAAACTGTATATTTAATGCTAAAAGCATTCTCTCCCAGTAAACCTTAGGAAATTATCAGAATATTCGAATGTAGTAATAGTAATAATTGATATACATACATACTAAAAATACATTACATATTTATTTTATTGCAACAAACATTTAAAATTTAAATACCGGATTCAAAGTGCAATAATCCCTTATTTATTATAATACAAAATGACGCCCGACATATAGACAAATAGTAAGTAATAATAGAAAGTAAGGTTTTGATGTAATATGACACATTTCTATATTAGAAATGCTATGCTTATTTATATATTTATGAAAACATGTATATACCTGCCCAAGAGTATGAAGAATAATTATACCAAGTTTTGTTAAAATCCATCGAGTAGTTTTTATTTCTATAACGAACAGACAGACAATAATTTTACTGATTGCATTTTTGGCATCAGTATCGATCACTAATCACCCCCTTATAGTTATTTTGGAAATATATTTCATGTACAGAATTGACCTCTCTACAGATTTATTATAAGTATAGATTTAACTTAACTAGGTGTTATCTTGTGGAAGCCCATATCACTGGTTATTTAAATAAAATAATTTTGTTTAATTTCGCAACCAGTGGTAGTAGTAGCGAAACCAAACAAATTAATTCTAATCAAATAACCAATATTTATTACCTATTGGTGCTTCAACGATTTAAGAAATCGTGACAAAGTTTGGGAAATATAGAATGGAGGAAATAAACAACTTTTATTCCAATCACGTGGACATTATAAAATATTACATTATTGTATGGATATGATGTTAATTATAAAATTACTGTTATATTTTTTATCCCCACACTTCAGTTTTGAAGATTTTTATTTTACCTGTACTTTCAACTTGAACTCGAAATATATCCTACACTATATCCTGATCACTGAACCCTGAAGTTCAATTTAGCTACTTCTGATACATACAACACCATCTGTGTAACATATGACATATAGATTCCATCTTAATCAGTGGAACTAACCTTTGGCTTCCTCCAACTGGTCCACATCACTGATTTCCACCATGCCAGCCCTAACTCTGTCCATGACGTTACTGGCCAGCATCAGTGCCAAGTCGTCGCATTTGGACGCGGATAGCTGTCGCAACCGCGTCACAAACATCACCCCGCGTTCCTCTTTCAGCCATTCTAGAACTGGGAGTAAGCATTAAAGACATAAAGTATGACAATTAATTAATATGATGATTTCTATAGAATCATATAATGTAGAGATATCTTATTAATATAATAAAATGGTATTAACAATATGGGAAATATTAAAAAAAAATTACAAGAGAAAGGAAGCAAATGAAGGTCTGTTTGAATCAAAGAATTTGGCAATCCATTGTTTCTGCCTACTCTAATGGAAAACGCGTGACAGGAATGTATTTATGATAAACTGATGTCTGAGTCTGACGATAAACTGTCACTGCAGCCTATGGACACCTGCAACACTAGAGTTGATTAGGGGGAAAGGGATTGTTAGTAATGGAGACTAAGAATCGTATTGCTAGCAATATACCCAACCAAGTCGACCGCCTCGCGGTTCCCCCTGGAAACCATCATGTATAATTCTTGTCGAATTAATCATGGTGGGCCAACTGACCTGCATTCATTCTAACCTATCATGTTTCACTGGTGCTTCGTCGGTGTATACCGATAGCGCGGGCGGGGTTACCAATCCATTTTCACTCATTAAAAAAAACCACTAGGGTTGTCATGTGCGAGTTGCCGACTCTGAAGAAATCTACACATATGAAATAGCAGGCAAACAGCTTTTTTTTTTTATTATATCAGCCGTTAACTGTCTACTGCTGAACACAAGCCTTCCCCACAAGCTGAATTTTGTCAGTAATTACCACGCTTGGCAGTTAGGTTTTTACAGAAGTTTTAAAAGGGACGATGCTGCCCATCCCTCTACCGTAAGCTCCCTTAGTTGCCTCTTACGACACCCACGGGAAAGGAAGGGATAATCTATTCTATGCTGGAATCGAAACGGCCACCGGTTATTTTAATCCAGGTCATACAAACAAAGTCGCGAGACAAATAGTGCTTCTAAGATCTTGAATTTCCTACTACTAATACTAGGATATGACAGATTCATCAACACAACAGAATTTCCCAGAGTGAATTATATTGTCAATAAGTATTGATATTTACCCTCTTTGTCGCTAGGTGGCGTGCCCTGGGGGTCCAGGAGCACCTTAAGTACAGGGTGTCCCCAGGGGTTTGGTATGATCCTCTTGAACCACTCGCCTCGCTGCAGAAGTTGGCTCTCCCATGGCGGACTGATGCCATTTCGGCAAGCGATCGCTGTCTGGCACTCTTGCACAAATGAATGGATAGCCTCTTCGAGGTTCGTGTGTTCATCTTTGCTCTTTGGCCATTCCGTCTATAAGGTTTTAAAAATTAACACACATTAATATTTTTATGTATTTTTTTTTTATATACAATTTAGAATGGCAAACAAGCTGACGGCCCACCTGATGGAAAGTGGTAACCGTCGCCTGTAGACATAAGCAGTACCATGGACATAACAGAGTATACTGTTTCGCCTATGATACCCCCATGCATTGGCATTCCTGAGAATTTAGGTGTTATTCCTCTATACCCTGTAAATTCACGCCATATCCCACCCTTCAAACCGAAACACAGCCATGCAAACACAACTGCTTTACGGTTGAAACATGGATGGGACAGAGATACCCAAGCAAATGACTTTTGTACAAAGTCTCCCTCTGGTAAAATGTAATCAATATACTAAATTAATTTGATCTGCAAGTACCGACAGTTTCTTTATGAAATAATTTTTTTTATGCTACTTAGAATGACAAACATGCCAACAGCCCACCTGATGGAAAGTGATAATTGTCGTCTATAGACATGAACAGCACCTAATCAGATACAATCGACAATTCATCTGGTTCGAAGAAATATCGACGTTACAGGAAGGATCTATCTATAATCTCTAGTAAAAAATTTGGTAATTAAAAAGAAATTATAGAAGTGGTATTAATAATAATAAAAAAAAATAGGTGCATCCAAATGATATGAATGCAGTACTCACATGCAGGACAGTCCTGGCGGTGTGCCTCTGCAGCCAGCTGAGCAGGTGCGCGTGGGTGGTGGGCGCCGAGTGCTGGCACAGGCTGTGGATGCGGCGCCACGCCTCGCAAACGTGTTTGTTACGCGCGCGTACGGAGCTCTCCTCGTTCAGCCCGGCCTCCAGCGACTGGATGAACAAAGTTGACCATTATACCTCGAGTGTTTGTAATGAAAAACTACATTTAGGCTAGGTTTACACTATAATGTCATCAATTACATATAAGGACATGGTTCAATCTCGATCAAATCTTGGTCTGATAAAATATCATGTAAGAAACAATATATATATTTATGCTATTTATATATATCAGACCCCTTCCACTCAAATCACTTCGATCAATTTCAAAGTATTTCTACTTCATAATATTTTATCAGTTTCGACAAAGAACAACGAAGAACTGTGATTGACCCTATTGAGTGAATTTAATCTTACAAAGTAAATAACATACTTAATAAGTACATTTACACTCCAACATACAAATATCATAATACCAATTGGTTTCGTGTTATATATAATCAGAATATTAATGTATTAAAAGATCTAAGTTCTAATCTAAAAGTTGGAAGTCTCAGAATATAATGATAATGACAATATTTGTCAGATTTTTATATTTACCACTTTTTTAAATAGTCTAATATTTTGTTTTTACATAATCACTTGTGTATTTGTGCTCTGACTAAATAGAAGTCTCTTTTTATTACTAAAAAAATCTTTCACCAGGAATTAACACGTTTCGGAAATATCATAGTTAATTTCTGGTGAAAATTTATTTATTTAACTCTTTATTGCACCATAAATAAAAATATACAATGACAAGTGAATAATTCAAATGAAATACAGTAACATAAATACAGATTAAAATATACACATAAAGGTACAAAAGGCGGTCTTATCGCTAGGGCAATCTCTTACAGACAACATTCCATTATCATCTCTTAAAAAAACCTATATATATAAAGACTATAATAACGCAAGACAATGTCTTTCTAGAAGACGTCATCCTATTTATACACAAATTACACCTGTATCGTTTCCTGTTTATAACCATAAGATGCCTACTATTTTTAACTTCGCAATACTTACTATCCTTACTAATATTAAAAATGTGACTATGAGTCGGTTTATTACCTTGTAGCGCCTTAATGGCTTAGGCAATCCATATTAAAATTAGGTATACACATACTGTATGAGATGGAGAAGAATATAGACTTCTTATTTCATTGCTATTCATCAGTCATAATGAATTGGGGGGAAAAGGGAATGTTAGTAATGGAGACTAAAAATCCCATTGCTAGCAATATACCCAACCAGGTCAACATCCTCGCGGTTCTCCCTGGAAACTATCATGGTTAATTCCTGATGAATTCATCATGATGGGCTAACTGGCCTGTTTTCATTCTCATCGATCACCCTTCACTGGTGCTCCATCAGCGTATCCCATTAGCGCAGGCGGGGTTACCATTACATTTTCATCCACCAATAAAAAATTGTTGAGATGAACGTATAGGGTGTCAAGGAATGACAGAATAAGAAATGAGTAGGTACGGGGAAGTCTAAAAGTTGCACCAGTAACGGAGAAGTTGCGAAGTAATAGAATGTCTTGGTATGATCATGTCATGCGCAGAAATGAGCCATGTTTTAAAGTTACGTATGAAAGTGGACTGTGTGAAAGATGATATGCATAAAAGAGAGAACCCAGAAGTGATAACTGACAGGAATTTGTGGAAGAAGACATATTGCGTTGACCACAATTAAATATTAAAAGGTAAAGCAATGATAATGATTTATCAATTTACAACCACGATAAAGAGAGGTGGGTCGCTATTTAAAAAAAAAAAACGAATTACCTAACTTCTCTTACCTAATAACTACTCTTAGTAGAACCTATTCTTAGAAGTCGGTTTAAAATACGTTAGACAATGGGATGGATGCGACCTGCTGCTTTTTTGTTGTCCCTATATCTACACTAACAACAATGTAAGTGTATTTGGACACTGACAATAGCAGACGCTACTGTTGTCACGAGTGTTGCCACTTACTATCACTAATAGAAGGTATTTGCAGAAACCTTTTCCGTACAATCCACGACGCAAAATAAAGTAACATCAAAATTAACACTGTCTACAACATAAAATAAATAATGCCGTAAGACCATACAAAGTTATCCAAACCTCTTTCCTCCAATTTGGTTCAGTTAAAGTACTTTAGTGAATCAAGAATACCAAACAAACACATTACATTACAGTATTTTGACTGTACAATTGCTATGCAAAAATTAACCACAATCATTGTACCTATATTACAAATATTCTTAGAAACTTGTTATCAAATATCATATTCAAGTCAGAATCATTTGTCAGCAGATGAAATTCAGAGAAATCAAAACAAACAAAGCTAATCCCTACGACTTTGTATGTCAGATACCTATAGCTACTCTGTACACCATATATAGGATAAACTAGCTTTTACCCGCGATTTCATCCGCATGATAAGGAAATATTCATTGAGATAAAAAGTAGCCTATATCCTTCTCCATCCCTTATATTATGTATATCACAAATTTTACAGTGATTTGTTAAGCCATTATGACGCTAAAAGGTAATAAATAAACAAACTCACTTTCTAATATTCAAATTTCTAATATTAGTAAGAATGCTCAAATCATAATTTTCAAACTGCAATTTCAAAAGTTTGAAGTCCCAATTTTAATATTAAAGTTAAAAATAGATCTTATATTCCAATAATCTAAAAGTGAGGAGGAAAAACAATATAAAATAATGGGATCAAAGGGCCCCATTACTAGCAATACTATCAGATTGATTTTCGTATGGTCCCCCCTAGAATATGCAAACTAGGTAAGCATGAAGAGAACCTGACTTACCATATTATTCATAATAATGTCCAATGTTCCATAAACCTGTTTTAGCTATTGAAATGTTGTTTTCTTTTTAAAATTCTCAATTTGAAAGACAATGATAAAACATTGTAGTTAAAATAGGTATGCAGGTTTTAATTTTTATGAATAATAGTGGTTATAAAAATGTGAATATTTTAATAACAGACTTAAAAAGTGTCTTCTACCCTCATGAACATATTTTATTCACATGTATGTATGTGTAAGTACATAATTATATTTATAATTATATTTACATAAGTATGTATGTATATAAAAATAATATAATTGGCTATAAACTTGTTTTGTTTAGTTCTTTTTTTTGTTTGTAAACTGTCACTGTACTGTACACTGTTATGCCTGCTGATAATGATGCTTCTTTCCACTTTGGGTTTACTTGCTATCATTTGCTTTCCATTGCCATGTTTCTGTATATTTTATACTATACAAATAATAATATAATATAAAAAACAGTTTACATATATGTACCATAACAAAGGCTAGTTGAATTTAAATCAGTATCATAGAAACGACCAAAGATGCAACCAAAGATTATAGCTAGTAAAAAATAATAATATAAACATAGGGACAAATATTGGAAGAGAGGAAAACTAAGAAAAAAAAATACACCAATACCTTATTTACTTAGCCACCTTGTTAACATCAATAAGCTTAAGACATCAAAAAGGGAAATAACAAATATAATCATTTTCATATTTTTTAATAATAATCAGTAAGAATTATATATAAAAATAGAATTGAAATTTAATATAACAATGATATTCCTTTTCATTTTGGGTCTGCTGGAGGAGAACTTTTAGAATTAAGCTTGCCTTTGTACATATGCTTATCTGTCATATTTGTTATATATTACTATTATGTACAATCATCATCATCTTCCTACCCTTATCCCAATCATTTGGGGTCGGTGTAATATGATTTTATCCATATTACAAAAAGATTTGGTTTTTAGTTTTACAACCGAGCACCTGCCTGACGTCAACCCTCTTTGGGAATGTACAATACAGTAAATACAGTAATGTACAATAAAGCATAAATAAATAAATGTAACTATACATAGGTTAAGATAGTTAGAGTATGTTTTGCTGGAAAAAATCTCTTATTAGAGATAAGCTCGCCTTTGTACATTATGTTTATAATGAATTGTAATTACCAGTATGTTTTGTGTACAATAAAGAATAAAGAATAAAGATAAAAAAATATCCATCTTAGAAATATATAATAAAGAAATGTTTTTTTTATTAATGACCAACATATGACAAAATACATATAATAATAGATTTCAATGTCTAATTATTAATGTTAACTAATAAACTATAAATACCTGCAACATCATGGGTGCTACTTACCCCTGAGAAACCTTACTATTCTATTTTTGAACTTCATGTTATAATCTGGTATCACAAACGTAAAACCTCGATAATATTAAATATAAAGAAACTTTCAATAATATTATAAAATTAAATAGTTACATACTAAGTATACAATAAAACTGATAGTTAATGATATATAAATACAAATAAATAATTTTGATAAAAACTACTATTATAATAGGCATAATAGATAATAATTTTCCAAAGATTTTATACAGACTTCAGATAAAATTAGTGTATGACCAAAAGAGTTGTAAATACTTTTTTTCAAAAGAAAATCCCAAAAATTGCAACAGTTAAAAATATTGCAAACATAAAAAGAAATTGGATATGATATCCTTTTAGTATTGTTGCTTAAACCTAAGATTACTAATTTAAAACTTATGTATTTTAAATATAAGTTAGTATATACAAATTAATTAATATGGGATATGTCCCATATCTGTGTAAAATTTTATTTAAATGTGTTGAGTCATTCAAGCATGACTAATAACATCCTAACATTTCTACAAACTATCATATAATACTATATTAGTATTGTTTGATTTGGAGAGACTTTTAAGTACATACAATTTGCCCAAAAAATTTTTGACTGATTAAAATAATTATCAAAATCTAAAACTAAGGACCCAAGTGAATAAGTCCTAACTGATGTTTTTTTGTTCACTATACCACACACATTCATAATTAGGTGCATAAAAACAGGTAGGTAAGAACATGTATGTACAACCATAGAAATAAATATTATGACATCAGCATGAAAATAAATTGGTTGACAAAACACCTAGCCCTTAATACAAGTGGGATAAAGTTCAAAATTAATTATATTGAGTGGATATTTGAAATAGGTATTATAAAATCTACAATATGTGTGATGTTAAGATGATACATAGGTAAATAAGATCTACGTGACTAAACTGAATCAAGCTATGGCTGCATCATGAAATAACTTTGCTATAACCCAATCACTGACCATCATTATACATGACTTTAATGATATATGCGAATGCTGTTAAAAACTAAAGTCTTATCACCTTTAAGAGGTACTTTATAAGTTAAAAAATCAGTTTTGTAACAATTCCATAGGTATATGCGGAAAATTTCGGAATTTCCAGTGACAAAATAAAGACGACAACATACTCAAGTTACATCATAGTATAGACAATTTTAATATTATTTTTACTTGATATCCTTCAGTTATTATTTCCTAATCGCATTTCATCTTATATTATTTGGAAATAAGCCGAACTAAATGAAAACAAGAGTGGGATTTAACAAATATGGCGGCCATAATGAACATCACGACCACAACGGCGTCTCACAGTAGGAGATAATCTTGATGATTTTTAATGTTAAACTTACCTTATAAAGCTCAATATAATATGTTTTGCCTCTTTGGCCACTTGTTTGATTACTTTTCACGTCTTTTCCATCATTTGTAGAAGTCATTTCTCAGGAAAATATCGCGGGGAGACATTTATGCGCTTGTGTTTTCCTAATGGTGCTGTCAAAGTAGTCGTCAAAATGGGTGTTGCAATATAAAAAATAGACGAACGAAGAAACTTCATTTTTTGAGTTCTGCTTCATTTTTAATGAACTTTAAAGATAACATAAGAGCATTCATAACTTAACGAAATGCGGAAACGTCGCAATTAACTGTCAAGTTACAAAAATAATTTAATGATTTTTTAACGTTTTTCATTATTTATTTAAAAAGTAAAAAAGCACTTTTTCAACTAAAATTTTAATAATATACTTATTAAGTCGTTACTAAAAAAATTTATTTTCATGACAAAAAAATTATTACATTAATTTCCAGGGGGAACCGCAACGAGTAAACTTAGGATATATTATTGCTAGCAATGGCGTTGCCAATCCTCACTATTATTAATCCTTTCTCCCACATGAGAATGAAGTTTTTTTTAATGGGTGAAAATGGAATGATAACGCCGCCTGCGCTATTAGTATACGCTAGCGAGGCACCAGTGATAGATAATAGGTGAAGATGAAAGCAGGTCATTTGGCCCATCATGAAGAATTTGACAAGAATTAATAACGATGGTTTCCTGGAGAAACTGCGTGAAAGTCGACCTGATACGATATATTGCTAACAATGGGGCTGTTATTACCCATTACTAACAATCCCTTTCCCCCCATGAGAACAAAGTTAGGTTAATATATTATGATAATGAAATAGTAATTTTATCTGTGCTCTCGATATATGCTGACGGGACACTTATAAAGGTTGATAGGTAACGATGAAAGCAAATCAGCATTTTATCATAAATTCAACAAGAATCAATCACGATAATTTCCAGGCGGAACTGCGTGGAGGTTGACCTGATAGAGTAAATTGCTTACAATAAAACTATATGACCCATTATTAACAAGCTTTTCCCGCCTAATAAAGCCAGGTTAGTTAGCTAATCCTGGCGCATTCACTAAAAATTAATTACTATGGTTTCCAGAGAGAACCACGTGTAAGTCAACCTGATAGAAAATAATTGCGATGCATCACATTTCGATAAGCTAAAGTTATGAACGCTCATAGCAAATGTTTCTCTATTTAATTTGTGCCAAAACATAAGCAAACAATAATGTTATAAGCTCTTCATCATTCAGACTTAAGTAGAATTAATGTATAAATACGAAAATAAAAAACATGGACAATGTTTCATGGCTTTTATATTGAAATCCAGTGGGACTGATACACAATGAAAGGATATACTTAATATTTCGTGTCACATGTTCTTTCACGCTGATCTTAAAAATCACTTACCGGATTTTAATGAAATATTTGTAACTGTATCTATCTATCCATTTAAGAGCTGCGCTCTTGTCGGTCTTTACTCAACGATTTTCGAGTCTCTTCACCTCTTGATACGACACGACACCAACTCCTTCCTTGAACTGCCTGATGTAACTATTTCTCGGTCTCCCTCTCCCCCTTCTTCCTTCTATCTTACCTTCTATTATAATGTTCAACTGTTGTAACTGTATATTGCTTCAAATCTAAGAGATAATTTTAATCCAGATAAGAAAATGTATTCGGTAGATGGTGATGATACCAAAATAATTATTAGGACGACTAGTAATTCATAAAAAGTGGTTATGATTGGTTTAAACCTTAGACTACGAAATATATGTTTACTAAGTCTATGGTTTAAATTGAATTGTAGCAAATAGTAATTATAAAAAAAAAAAAAACTTATATATTATAATATTTCAGAACACAATAAATGTTACTTTTTTTTGTGGCAAATGCAATTTAAGATGTAGTGTAAAAAAGACACACTAATAGGAATAGACTAAGGATAATACCTGTAGAGAACTAAAATTTTTCACTCATAACCTAGTATTGGCTTTTAAATTGCTTTGATCTGAATAAAGTTCCGAACTGTCTTTATGCTATAATGCAAAATGGACAAATTATCAAAAATGAATTTAATAGCAAATGGTTGAAAATTTTGAATCATTATAAAATGTATACTCTTTGGTTGTAACTTTTTGCACTTATAAGGAATAACCCTAGTTAATCATATAATATTTGTTATTTTATGTATTACATTGCATGATTAATGTTGTAGTTTGATAACAATAACTAAGCATTTTTGAATAATCAATCAGGAACTTTATTGCAACGTTATGGTAGTCCATAAAACAGTAATTACTCGAATTAAATTCAATATGATACTTCAGAATTTATCCCAATGATTGGTAAATAAAGATTAGGAATATAATTTTAGTACTTGATAGATAGCAGTAAGATGCCAAACACAAATTATAAAAAAGTATTAGATATTTGACTATAGCACTTTATTTGCCATAAAGTATTCAATATTTATGTTGGCTACCCTGCTTTTAGTACAAAGCAAAAGAGAGTTGTGTCAAGAATTAATGCGTTTTCATCCCCTATTTATTCTCATTAGAATGTACAGATATCTTTATTGAATACTTTTTAAGATCTTAAATTTATGACCAAAAAAATAGAATAATGTAATGTAGTGAATCATTGTGAAACTTCTGCGTTGCAAATATTAGAATCTGTCGTGTCAGTGTAGGGCTCTACACAGGCATTTAATTTAATACTCGTTATTCCTAAAACTAGAAATGTCTTTTATGATTTTGTTATCGTTTTAAAAAATAATGCCAAGTTATAGATAATGTTTTATATTAGGAATTATGGAAATAAGTTGGGCGTGCATTATCCGTCGGCACATCTGGTGATCATACCAACCCTAGATTAGACCCTACTTCAATACCTTATAATTTAATCTATGTTGATATTGAAATATAAAATCTTTGTTTATTTATTATCAGTTTCTTTAATATTTCAATTAATTCTAATTTTGCAGAAACGTGTTTAGGTATATTTACCAATTTCTAAGTCAGTGAAGTCTGATTAGTGTTGTGATGTGTGTACTAGTTGATACAGTGGTTTTGTTTTATATTACCTTGTTATCGAGAGTTGATTGAGATGGCAAAGAAGTCGGATAATACCGGCGGCAAGCTGGTCACAGTGTCGGTGGTGGGACTGTCTGGTAAGTTATTGATAATTTATTACTATTTTAACAAGCAGCTGTTCTGCTTACTTCGTTTAAGGCAGTTAAATGTTTGCACGCGATAATTATGCTCTGCATGTTATGACATGGTACTGATGACAAATTACTAAACTCATAAAAACACTGTTAGGTGTCAATTGAACTTGCACAAAAATTGCTAAAAATTGCTAACAAGTTGTTAAACTAATTGCTATATGTATTGTTTAAGTGCAATAAAGAATATATTTATAAAAATGATTAAAAAATGGTTTCATAATGTACAAATGAGCCCCTTTTATATGATACCCCATTTGAACTAGTATAGTGTGTTTGGACAGTGGATACTCTTGTTTCAACAGAACTTAATGAACATGTATATAAAAGAGTAATCGAATCAATCATAAAATAGTCTGCTGATGTTTAATAGTAATTCAAATCAGAAATTGAATCATTGAATGTTTCATTTTGTTATTAATTACATTTATTATTTTTGTAACAATATTAATAAAGCTTGTTTACCTCTTTATTAAGGCCTATTTGAAACAAAATAGAATAATTTTGAATAAAGATATTGGATTTCAATCAAAGAATTGATTGCTATATATATGGGTCAATGATATCAAACACTTCTAAATTTTAACCCCTGTAGTCATAAAAATTAAAGCAAACCTATTTTAAGTTTTACATTGTTTTGTCACTTTCTTTGAAATTAGAAATATAGCACTAAAGAAAGAGACAAAACAGTTTAATAGCTAAAATGAGTTTATAAGGGGTTTGTTGTTTTTATAAAAAAAGGTGGTAAATCAATAACATTTGTAGTTGGTCAGATAAAGTACTGTGATAGACGGAAGGATGGTCACACCAAAATGGTATAAAGGGACCCTCTCTTTATACTATTTTGGTACAGAACCCAACTTATAGATTCAACAAAATGTTTTATGAGAAAGTACCTATCTGTGTTGATTATTGGATTGATTATGACTTCAAAGTTCAGCTGTCATTCACATTATACTGTAATAAGTATAATATAGCATCAAAATGATTTTATATTGTCCTTGGAGATGGTATTATAAATTACTACAAACATTCTTTATACATTACTTATATAGGGAATATATGTATATTTATAAAATAATTATAAGTTAATCTAGTTTTAAGTGTATATTTACGTGTTTATAATTACTCCTCTCCATCCAAAAGTTGATATGAAGAGATCGCTCTTAGAGATAAGGTCACCCATTGTTTTCTCATTGTGATTATTTCTTGTAATTATTTATATTTATAATATGTTTACTATTGTAATTTTTTGGAGGAAACAATAAAGAGTATCTATCTATCTATTTATATCTATGTGTGATACTGCTCATGTCTATAGGCGACGGTTACCACTTTCCATCAGATGGGCCGTCAGCTTATTTGCTATTCTAAGTTGTATAAAAAAAAATATCTAAACCCTTGTTATATTATTTCACAGATTAATAGTAAAGGATATTACATAAACACATGGTATTTGTACAATTAATTATTAATTATGCAAATAAAAAACTATTGTATAATTAGATATGATGTAAGTAATATAAGTCATTATATATAAAGATATAACAAATACCAGTCAATAAAAATAGAGGATAAGTACACAAGGATTTTGTATCCCAGCATAGAATGGGCTGTCTCTTCCTTTCTGTGGATGTCATAAAGGTGACTAAGGAAACGTAATGGTTGAGGGATAGGCGGCAGTGTCCTTTTAAAAACATCTCCAAAACCTAACAGCATTTGCCAATCTGTCTGTCAAATATGGCAACTACTGGCAAAATCTCCCCTTATAGGAGAGGCCTATGTTTAGCAGTGGACAGTTAATGGTTAATATAAGAATGAATACAAGGGATTTACTCATATATCAGCAGTACTAATACTTTCTTTTTGTTAGACACTTCTTTTTTATTTTAATATTTATTATAGATAGGAAAGGGATTGTTAGTAATAGGGGTCATCTACATTGCTAGTAATATATATGGTTACCACATTCCATCAGGTACGCTGTCAGCTTGTTTGTCATTCTAATTTTCATAAAAAATATTCTACCAAGCCTATCTCTCTGTGGTTCCTTCTAGAAACCCTAGTGGTTAATTCTAGGCATTTGAGCCTTGGACATTGGGTTTTGGGCCAAATAATTATTGTATACTCATGTAACAATTAGTTGAGTTGTTAAGGTGCCAATAGGTAATGAATGAATAAACTGGTTATCATATTTGAAATATTAGTAAAGATATCCTGTATGATGTATTAAAAAAAAAATTGTCTAAGTAGAGTGTAATGAAAATGTAAACAAACTAATAATTGACCAGATAATAAGATAATCTGATCTTCCAATAAGAGTATGAAATAAAATTGAGGAAATTAAAAGAATTTGTGTTTAAATCTCGAGATGCATTTTGTTAATATAGCCATATTAACAAAATTATATTTATATTATTTTAGTTTTTATTTTAGTATAATATATAACATATAATATGCCTATAGTAGTATGCCTACGTTTTACTATCGGAACACGCTGGCAGGGCACCGATGATAGATCATAGATGAGGATGAAGGCAGGTCAGTCCACCCTTTGTGAAGAATTCTACAATAATTAACCACAATTATTTCCGGGGGAACCCATAGAGATCAACCTGATTTGAGGAATATACCCTATATTCCTAGCAAATAGGGCTGTTAGAACCCATCACTAATAAACCCAAATCTTTTCTCCCCAGTAGGGCAGTTTTTTTTAATGGGTGAAAATGGCATGGTGCTCACCTGCACCATCTGTATACACTGGCGAGGCACCAATGAGAGGTGATAGGTGAGGATGAAAAGACAGGTCAGTTAGCCTATCGTGATGAATTCAGCTATAAATTAGTCACGATAGTTTCCAGGGGGATCCGTGTGGTGGTCGACCTGATAGGATATATTGACAGCAATTGGGACTTCTCATTACTAGCGATATATTCTATCAGGTCGATGGTTCAATGACACTGCACAAACGTATATCGCTAGAGCGGAGGAGGCACCATTCCATTATCATCCATTAAAAAATCTCATAAGAGTCATATTAGAGCAAGGTGGACCTTAACCTAACTGGCGGACCTGGCCAAGTTTTTGATGGTGAACCCTGTAATCTGCTAATCTTTTTTAATCAAGTTTCAACAGTGCCCAACATCTCCTCAAATAAATTTAAAGTGATTGTTAATTGAACCTATGATGTCTCTCTTAGACCTTTTCGGGTCTTTGAATGGGAGGGAATGTGATTGTGGGATTGATTGGAATGCGGACTACATTGCTAGCAATGTAAACTGTCACGTCGACTTCCACGTGCTCCATCCTTGAAACCGTCGTGCTGAATTCAAGATGAGCATCTTGAATTCAGCACGGACGAGTTTCATGATGAGCAAATTGGCCTGCCTTTTCATTCTCACTTATCATCCCTCATCGTTAGCACTGGCGGAGCTACCATTCTTTTATCATCCATTAAATAGAAAAACCCTCTGTTCTTCACATCCGTGAGTATCCACTAATAACACGCTAGCGTATACCGATAGTGCAGTCGTTACCATTCCATTAACAAAAAATACAGACGAACCGAGAAGCATTTTTGGAAGTCATTTAAAACTGTTCAAAATCATTTCAATGAGAGGAAACACTTTCAATTCTAATGGCGTTACCAATTGTGAATGGGCGTCGGTACGTACCTACCGTGGATTGTTATTTAATTTCGTTATCTATTATGAATGCTTCCTGTTATCGTACGTAGGTGTGTTTGTGTGTGGAGAAAGCAAATAATTTGTTAGATATATTGATCATATAGTAGTCTCTCGTAGGTCTACAATACACTACAGGTGCTATAGTAGATAAAGTGGTAACCGTCACTTATAGACATGAGTAGCGCCATGGACATAACAGAGTATGCTATTTCGATTAAAGATGATAGATAGATAGATTAAAGATGTAAATTAATAATATTAAAATAAAGAATGTCAGCTCTTGATTCGTTTTATCTACCGTCTGAGAGCCTGGCGTGAAGATATAATAATAATGCAATATTTTGTTCACAGGCACAGAGAAGGAGAAAGGTCAGCTGGGCATAGGGAAGTCGTGCCTTTGTAATAGGTTTGTCCGGACGCACGCGGACGACTACAATGTCGATCACATATCCGTCTTGAGTCAGGTATGTCTTAGGCTAATTGCGCACTGTCAATTTTTTATTGTATGATTTGTATTTGACGGTTTAATCGGATAATGGTAAACACTGCGTCTAGTGTCCTAAGTGAAGCTAAGTCTCTGAAGTTTAAATTTATTTTTGGATTATTAAGAAATGATTGCCACTTGCTTCGTCAATATACACTAAAGGATAGACTTAAAAAAATCTTTATGGGTACTCTTGCTGGGGAGCACACTCTTCTGTTATTATCCCCAAACAATACATCTGATCATAGTGCTTGACTGATCGCAGATATAAGTGGGGGGGTGGGGGGATAAAAAAGCTTGCTCCGTGCTTGGGAGGCCATAAAAATTTGTCGTCCATTAAGCCACGTCACGGGCCTTCATGTACAAAGAATTTTGCCTGAAAATTCTCGACACCAGAGGTTATACGAATGAGGATGTCACCCTTACAAGAGGAATAAACAAACAAATTGCACTATTTTTTCCTCACATAATTTTATTACGTACGAGCGGTATCCCGCGACTTACTAAATAGCGCGAATCAGTAAATATATGCTAATTTAAGATATAACTTACCCGTGTACCAAACATTCAAATTCCTTTAGCAGTTTTTTCGTGATAGAGTAACAAACATAGGCTACAGTAATCGTTTACCATCAAAAAATTGGCTGTATGATTGTTTGCCACCGTTAAAAAAAAAAACATCCATTCTCCCATCGTTGCAATTTTTCGCATTTGTAATAGATATTACTAGCGACCCGCCCCGGCTTCGCACGAGTGCACATCACATCACATTAGAAACCTAAAATTATCAGAGTTTCTGTACTATATTATGCATGTATTATACATATAAACCTTCCTCTTGAATCACTCTATCTATAAAAAAATGTAACAAAATCTGTTGCGTAGTTTTAAAGATATAAGCATACATAGGGACAGACAGACGGAAAGCGACTTTGTTTTATACTATGTAGTGAATTAATATTACGTATAAGTATATACATCACTTTGAAATATTCTATTTAAAAATACATTAACATTTACCTACTTTGTTTATACATAGATGTCTTATCATTACTTGTATTTTAAGAGATGTGAGACAAAAACAGTGTGGTCCCTTCTATGCCGGGACCACACGGCACTACCAATAGGCCATCTTCTTTTCTCGTGGGTGTCGTAAGAGGCGACTAAGGGAACTTAGAGGTCGAGGGATGGGCTACAGCGTTCCTTTTAAAACATAACAGGCTAACTGCAGTTGCCAACCCACCTGCCTAGCAGAAACTACTATTAAAACCCCAATTTATGGGAGAGGCCTATGGTGAGCAGTAGACAGTTAACGGCTGGTGTGTTGATGATGAAACAAGAACGGGACAAAATACGCAGTAAATTTTCGTTATCCAGAAAAAAATATATGCAATTATTTTTTAAGTTTCTAGAAGGTCTTTTGACTATTTGCATCAACGGGCTTACATTTTGGTAACCTTTGGTACAGAACAGTAATAAATTTCAATAAAACAACAGTATAGCTAGATAAATAAAGTGGCGATATGAAGTTTGGTGTACGTTACGCAGATAAAGGAATGCGGGCAGTAGTCGGCGGTCAGCCGCGGTTGATTATAATGAGTCACATCTGAGATCAGTGCGAGAGTAAACGTTTGCTTTCAATAAATTTATTTACCGAGTCAAAAGGCTCACGGATCGTATGATTATTATATATGCGAGAGTTTGTAACGATGGATGAATGTTTGTTATTCTTTCTTGCAAAAACTACTGAACGGTTTTGAATGTTTGAACGTGATTTTGTTCACGGGTAGTTTATATCCTAATTTAGTACACAGGATACTTTATGTATTCATTCACACAGTGTTTTTTGAATAGGTAATAATTAAATTTAATAAAAAAATATATTGGGCACCAGTGTAATAGATGATAGATGAAAAAGAAACAGGTCAGTTGGCCCTTAATAACTAACTATTATAATAATCAAAATGGTTTGCCAGGGGGAACCGCGTGGAGGTCGACCTGACAGAGCATATTGCCAGCAATGAGACTGGTAGTCCTTGCTAGCAATGAAACTCTTATACCCTAATATTAATAATCTCCCTGGTTCACACGGGTAAAGATGTGGGATACAGTTAGTCAATTATAAAAAATTTAAATCTTTAGTCGTAAGGTATATAAAACTAAAAACCAAGCTTATGCAACAAGAATATACCCATATAAGGGTAGAAATTTCCGAATCTTAAATTTAGAAACGACAAAAAATATTTGAGCCTCCAGCTCTAATGCAACAGTAGAATCCTTAATTATCAACATGAACTAATTTTCTATATAGATTTAAGCGTAAATTATTATAATTTTAGTTTATGATTTATAGACTATAAAACGGTAAATTCGCGAAATTATCAAATTATAATATTAGGTTAAGAGATAGGTTTTAGAAAAGTTGTCTTAGAATTTGGCCTCACTGTGATGTACACAGTACCTCTCATTTGTTACCATGTTTGACTAAGTTGTTGTTATGCCTCCTTACCCTGTTATTTGTTGTTCTTTTTTTAATTCATGATAATGTAATGGTAACCCCGCCTGCGCTAACATTATACGCTGGCGGGGCACCAGTGAGGGATGATAGGTGAGAATGAAAAGGCAGGTCAGTTAGCCCATAATGATGAATACTCCTGGAATTTAACATGATGGTTCCCAAGGCGAACCACGTGGAAGTCGACCTGAGCAATGTACTCTATATTGCTAGCAATGGAACTGGTAGCCCACATTACTATCAATCCCTTCTCTCCTTGTAATTTGTTGTTACCCCTTAATATTCGTTGTTCCAGTCTGACTTCAGCGGCCGGGTGGTGAACAATGACCACTTCCTGTACTGGGGCAGCGTGCAGAAGGAAAATGACGAGCAAGAGTACAGGTTCGAGATCATCGAGCAGACTGAATTCGTGGACGACGCTTGTTTCCAGCCGTTTAAAGGTAAGCTATTTGAACTTGTTACTTTTACGCTCTCTCGTTTAGTACATATTGTATGTGTTTTAATAACATTTCCAATATAGGTTAAGTATTAACTTATCTAATAATAATAAAGTAACTATAGCATGGCAAACTTTTTTTATAACAAAGGGTATGCGACTTACTTGATGGTAAGTGATTACCGCCTCCCATAAGTACCCAAAAATTTGAGAAATTACAACTATGATGCCGGTCTTTAAGAATGAGTATGCTCTTTTTTGAAGGTTTAAATATGGTATCTGTTCGGAAATAACTAATTGTTTCGTTAACAACTATAAGTTGTATCTATTATTATTTTTTATAATCTCGCAAATCTTGTAAATTCAAGTATAATAGCACGTCATGTCCAGCGCATATTTGTATGTCGGTATTACGTGCTCTCGCGAGCTCTATATGATTTTTTTTATAGAAGGTAACCTGAAACTGTCACTAGAGAATATCTCCATTAATACCAGTATAGTAGTAAAAGTGATCATCATGCCATCATATCAGCTGTTAAGTGTCTACTGCTGAGCGTAGACCTCACCCATAAGAGGGATTTTGCCAATAGTTGCCACGCTTGGCAGGCGAGTTGGCAAACGTAGTTAGCATTTGGGGATGTTTTAAGAGGGACGCCGCTGCCAATCCTTAATTCCAATAGTTAAAATAGGTTTTAATGTTTACAATTAGGGGGGGACAATAAATACAAGCGACTAGGGAAATCCGCTCCTCATGGAATAATGGCTGTTGCAACTTGATTACAATAATAGATTTAAATTTCGTAATAAGTCAGTTCAACAACCGTCTAGATTTCATTAATCATTGTGTTAATTAGATTCTGATTAGACTAGACTTCTCCAACACCACGATCTAATGATAGTCGTCTAATTAATCATTTGTATACCGAAGGTTAGAAGCGGAGAAAATGGCACGATGAACTGTTTTAATTGATATTAGATGTAATATTATATGTACTTAGGTATGTGTACGGTATTCATATGATTATTTGCATATGTTTTTTTAAGACAAGTTTATTTTTATTAGATATATTTATTAAGTCAAATAGCTACCGCCTTTTTTTTCTCCTCTACGCAAAGGTTGTCTGGAAGAGATTGGTTTAACGATAAGACCGCCTTTTGTACTTCATATGTGTATTATATATTACACACATTCAACACATTTTTCACATTAAAAAAATCCTATCCATTTCCATATCAGCTCTTAACTGCCCACTGCTGAACATAAGCCTTCCCCTTGAGGGGTTTTGCCAGTAGTTGCCATGCTTGGCGGGGGTCTTGGCACAAGCGAACAAAATTATGTAATGCGTTGTCTCATAGGCGGCTAATTTGGATGTCATTAGAATTACCAGATGATGATTACGGGATTTTATAAATATTTTTTATTTCTACTATTAAAATATATTCATCATCATCATATCAGCCTTTAACTGTCTACTGCTGAACATAAGCCTCCCCTTTGGGGAATTTTGCCCTTGGGGCTTTAGAGGTGTTAAGAGGGACGCTGCTGCCCATCCCTCGCCCTCCCTTAATCGCCTCTTACGACATTCACGTGAAAGGAAGGGGTAGCCTATTCTATGTCGGATCGAAGTTTAGTTTTTTAAACTTGTGACTTCATTATCTTCATATCAGCCGTTAACTATCCACTGTGAAACATAGGCCTTCATAAAGGAGGGGGGGGGGGGGGTATTGCCAATAGTTGCCACGCTTAGCTGGCTGGTTGGGCATGGGATTTATGACTTACTCGTTAGTATTTATTATTGAAACTTTATCAAAATCATTTCAGTAATTTAGTATTTAAATCAAAATAACTGGTTTTTTTCACAATTGAAGTCGTTCTTTTTTATGGGTATTTTATTATTTTGTTACCTTATAGCCTCTTAATTACTTAACCAGTTACTATGAAATTTGATATACACATACTATACAGCACGGAGAAGGTCAGTAAACATGTTCCGGTTATGCGGACGAAGTCGCAGGTAAAAATTAGTATGCTATAAATTAATAGAAGACAGCATATACTGCAGCTCAATCAATAACAAAACACAAACTAATGACTTACTAATTAGTATTTATTATTAACATATGATGGGTCACTGACGTAATTTGCGGGCGTTCAAAATAATTATTTACGAGAAAAAAATAATAATAAGACAAAAATAGGAAATCGAAACCTACTAATATTTTATTAAAGTGAATGTTTGACGAGAACTTTGGATATTTGAATCCTTATTACTCGGTCATGCCTAAGTATTTTAAATTTACGATTGGGACATAACGCGATGCGATTACAGATTTAAAATTAACCATGCCAAAACGGCCAGACGAATTTGTATAAAATTTCTTATACAGGTAGTCTAATGTCTAAACTTAGTATATAGGATAGTTTAAATATTGATTCACGCGGGTATATCCGCGGGAAATATTTAGTAAAAATAAATATAATAAAGAAAAAAGTATGTCGATACGTGTGATTGTACACGATATAAATATAGTAACAATAATTTGGAGTGTTTTTCTATTCTATTTTATGTGGCTTGATGGCAGCCATTAAGGCACCAATGAGTGATAATATGTGATAATTCACAACTCACCAGAGGGAGACTTTGCACAAAAGTCGATTGCTTGGGTACCTCTGTCCTATTCGTGTTTCAACCGTGAAGCAGTTGTGTTTGCATAGCTGTGCTTCGGTTTGAAGGGTGGGATATGGCGTGAATTTACTGGGTACAGAGGAATAACACCTGAGTCCTCAGGAATGGCAACGCATGGGAGTATCATGGGCGAAACAGTGTACTCTGTTATGTCCATGGTACTGCTCATGTTTATAGGCGACGGTTACCACTTACCATCAGATGGGCCGTCAGCTTGTTTGCCATTCTAAGTTGTATAAAAAAAAAATAAGCATTTCAGTTAGCTCATCGTAATGAATACGTTTAGAATTCAGCACGATGGTTTCCAGGGGGAACTACGTGAAGGTTAACCTGATAAGGTATATTGCTAGCAATGACACTGGTAGCCCGCATTACTAGCTATCCCTTCCCCCCAATTGTTATATTACCGCGTATGTATTAGAGCTAAACGCAACGCTATTTATGTAACTGTGTTATTAACAGTTCAGTTAGCTAGATTAGTCACGGGTCAGGCTGATGTGACCTAAATGCCAAAACTAGTCTGTCAAATACGAATCATGTACGGGGGCCTTTATGTATTACTACACGTGTTTGTATTTAAACAACTTGGAACGGGAAATAAGCTCCGACTCTCCTGATGTTATACGATATCCGTACAGTATATGACACTTTCTCAACCTTATTTTACCCACCTTTGCCAATTTTTTTTTTTCTAGAATCCCCCGTCCTTATTAAATTATTAAGTCTTTTATTATTAAAAGACTTAGTAATTTAATTAGGATGGAGGAAAATTATTAAAAAATATCGTCCAAAAAGTTAGATGGTTAATAACATCTGACTTTTTTGGACGAAATTTTTAATTTGCTTATGCCCTCTCTGCTCCATCTCGATGATGAATAATCTCATTTCTCGCCATCTAGTTTTCTCTGGATCTTCTACTGCATCCTCTAATAGTCTGAAACGCCCACGAGAGGCGCGTTATTGCCCACGTTGGGTACCTATGATATATACCATGTGTTACCGTTCCTGAGGTGTTACGTTTCCGTCCTCAGTGATTTCACAGCCACATCCTATTCTTCAAATGAGTCACCCTTATACAAAACTAGCAGTTTTGTGGCAAAAACACAAGTGGGACAGATGTATCCACATAGACGATAATTATATTAAGTTCATAGTAGAATAGAAGTCCATATGGACTTCATCAGCCTATGTTTATCTGATAGACGATTAGTAAGGAATCAAGTTTAAAGTCTCCAGAACCGACATGTATGAGACTAGTCATGAAAGTGGAAGACGCAAGACATACGTTAGAATAGAGGCTTTTAGAATTTTTTTCAACGTATTTCAAAAAGAAGGTGCTTCTTAATTTGTTTTTTTTTTTTTATAATTGTTACTATATAACTTCGTCAGTTTATAACCGATTTAGAAATGTCTTTTTTTTATCTGGAAGGATGCACATACACATTAGTTCCATAGAAATTTTATCAAAATCGATTCAGTTGTTTAGTTTTAAAATCAAAATAACTGGATATGCTACAATTTAAGTAGTTTTTTTTTGTAAAACACAATCATAATTTCCTTGTTTATTCCGTAAACAACTTCGTGTTAAGGTAGACAGATATGTTTTCTTTAATTTCGTTGGATTTATTTATCTTAACGTCTGAAAGTCGAGAGAAATTACTGAAACTAATTAAAAATTAATTGAACAATTAATTACTCAAGGTTTGTCTCGGTAAATTAATTATTGAACTTCATCGCGAGATAAATAATAATAATTATATTTCTCGTTACTATTTTTCTCTGTGAAAGTATATTAAATGTTACAAGAGGTGTGTTTTTTAAGTGATGGTAACGCAATGGTAACCTCGCCTACACTATTGGTGTACGTTGGCGGGATATCAGTGTGTAATGATAGCTAAAGGTGACATCAGGTTAAAATTAACTACGATGTTTTACTGAACTAGATGTTGCCTTGCCGAAGTCCATATCACTGTTTATTTGATTAGAATTATTTTGTTTAATTTCGCCACCATTAGTATGTGTGCGACTGCCAACACTCGAAAATTACCCACCACTATTACTACCACAACTCTTAGTTTCGTATTAGCCATCAATTTCCGTATGTCATTTTGTTCACGCACGTTTTGCGACACGTATTTCATCTCTAAACGAGGCATTTTTAGGCGAAATAGATAACTATAACGGTTTCCAAGAGGTGCTAGCATTCTGTCCTCCGTATATGTAATGATAATCCGCAAGGGCTTGAAAATAGATAAATAGGTTTTATATTTCTTTATCTTCACGCTATGTTCATTGCAGGATAGGCAGAGAGAATTGAGTATCAAAGACTTTTATAAATACTCTACCTGTAACTGAGACTATTTATCGTCTAAAACTGTTTATTCATAATTTCTACTATTTTTCATCACATAGTTACATTTCTGTTTTTCTAAATGTTGACTGGTATTAAATTAGCCTTATATACCTACCAAGCATTTTTTTGTTAAATTTTTTTGTGTAAGGCCTTGTAGGTCCCGGCATAGACTAGGCCACCTATTCCTTCCCCGTGGGTGTCGTAAGAGACGATTTAGGTAACGTATGGTGCAGCGTCCCTCTTAAAACATTATATCATCAAAAGCCAAACTACGGTTTCCAAACCTGCCAACTGCGTGGCAACTACTGGCAAAACCCTCCCTTATGGGGGAGGCTATGTCCAGCAGTGGACAGTTAATGGCTGATACAATTTTTTTTTATAATGTGGTCAATAAAGAATAATGTAATAAAATACACATTTTTTGTTCATTTATGTTAATAATAATTTAACGTCTCTCTCTTTCTTTCGTTTAAAAATAAATATTTATATAGGAGTCCCAAAGAGGGTTGACGTCAGGCAGGTGGCCGGTCGTAAAACTAAAAAACCAAATCTTTTTGTAATATAGATAAAATCTTATTACGCTAACCCTAAATGATTGGGATAAGGGTAGAAAGATGATGATGATTTATATAGTAGTTGTCGCGAACTCCTTAGTTATTATTTAAAGATTTTATTTTTATTGTATTTTTATACTTTTGTTTTTACAGTTGTCTCTTTTGCTCTTTGCTGTCGTAGTCTATCTTTCGTAGTTTTCTTTATTATAGTTATTTTCCTTTTAAACCCATTGTTTGATTACATCATAAACATCAATATACAGTCCATAATATCGCCCATAGTAGTGTTTGTTTCCTGTTAAGAGATTACTTATTCATCTATATGCAAATTAAAATATTCATTACCTACATTAGGCATTGCGATTTAATCATTGTATTAATAGTGATCGGTTACTATCTGATGCGAGTATTAATTTGATGACAGTATGGTGTCGAACGTTTGTCAATTCTGATTAAATGTTCGCTTCTCAGTAGCTACTTAGTCTTATTTTACCAGAGGGAGACTTTGTACAAAAGTCGATTGCTTGGGTACCTCTGTGTACCCATTCGTATTTCAACCGTGAAGTAGTTGCGTTTTCATGGCTGTGTTTCGGTTTGAAGGTTGGGATATGGCGTGAATTTACAGGGTACAGAGGAATAACACCTGAGTCCTCAGGAATGGCAACGCATGGGGGCTATCATGGGCGAAACAGTATACTCTGTTATGTCCATGGTACTGCTCATGTCTATAGGCGACGGTTACCACTTTCCATCAGGTGGGCCGTCAGCTTGTTTGCCATTCTAAGTTGTATAAAAAAAAATTATTACAGTTTCATTCCTTCAAGCAAAACAAATTAAATCATCATACGCTATAACGTTTGCTTATACGGAGTCACTCCCATCGGTTATCGTATCTTCGAGTTAAATAAATAAATAAATATTTTCAGAGGAGTTTTACGCTTAGGCTGTAGAATGAGTTCCCTGCCGAGGTTTCTTAGATACTACAGTATGTATGGGGTTCTTCAAAAAGAGTGTATTAAGGTTTCGTCAGAGTCGGCAATGCGCCTGTGACACCTCTAGTGTTACAGATGCCCATAGGTTACAGTGACCGTTTACCATCAGATGGCTGTATGCATATTTGACCACCTTCGTTATATAAAAAAATATGGATCGGCCCATTTCTACTTCAGTTTGCTATCCTTCTAATTAATGAATAATCAAATCTTGTATTAAAAAAAGGAATTGCAAGTGTATTTATCACGATGGGCTAACTGACATGCCTTTTCATCCTCACCTATCATCCCTCACTGGTGCCCCGCCAGCGTATACCGTTAGTGCAGGCGGGGTTACCATTACATTGTCACACGTTAAAAATAATAATAACCTCCCATGCGTTGCCATTCCTGAGGACTAAGATGTTATTCCTCTGTACCCTATAAATTCACTGCCATATCCCACCCTTTAAACCGAAACACAGTCATACAACTGCTTCACGGTTGAAACACGAATGGGACAGAGGTACCCAAGCAAACGACTTTTGTACGAAGTCTCTTTTTGGTGAAGTAATGTATATGTAAACATACATTATAAATTAATACGTAAGTCTAAAATCAATACGTTTTTTTGTTCACAGTGGGCAAAACAGAAACATACGTGAAGCGATGCGTCGCTACCAAGATCCAGTCCGCTGAAAAGCTAATGTATGTATGCAAGAACCAGTTAGGAATAGAGAAGGAGTACGAACAGAGATTGATGCCCGATGGAAAACTATCGGTTGATGGGTTCCTATGTGTATACGACGTCAGTATGGTGCCAGGCAGGACTTGGGAGAAGCAGGTTGGTTTTCTTCTATTTAATTATTTTCTCTCTAACTGCATTGGGTTGGTTGGAAGAGATCTCTTTTAGAGATAAACCCACCCTTGCTAACAATTTGTTAAACTAACCACTGTATCTTTTGTTCAAGTGCAATAAAGAATATATAATTAATATATATCGTCGTTGTGCAGCGAAAATTCATCAACTACAAAAAAAAAACTGATTCTGAGAATAATCGCGTTTGAATATTTGTTTTTATGTAAAAATCGATATAGCTTCTTAATGCTATCAAAAACATTTGTAGAAAGAAAACATAGCTTACAGTTTAATAAAACTACGTGTAATGAATGGCATTTAACAGCCGTTAATTTGTTTAAACTAGAATAAAAAAAATCAACCTAATTAGTTTTCGCGAAGAAAGGTCCGGTAGAATTGGTACTTAGGTACTTATTGACATTCTGTACTTTCAAAAATATTAATTTTTATTAATTTAATTTTTATGATTATATTGTTTAAAATAGCGTAGATTATTGTATTTCAAACCAAATGGGCAAAAAGTAGGGTTCGCCAAAAATTTTATTGAGTTTTCGCTGCACAACGACGATATAGCCACTAGGAATTAGGATGGTGATAATTGTAGTAGGTTGGTGAAGTTTAAGTGTTTTCTAAATCTTATGAGAAATTAGTGATCCGCCCGGCTACACAAGGATAGATTATCTATCTATAGGATAGATAGATAGATGAAAAGTCAATTTAGTACTTCTTCAAAAGGGGGGTAAAGAGGTTTCTTCAGGGTCGGCAACGCATGCGTAATACCTCTGGTATTGCAGGTGTTCATAGGCTACGGTAACCACTTACCATCAGGTGGGCCGTATGCTTGTTTGCCACCTCAGTGGTATAAAAAAAATAGTATTTTGAATTTTCTTTAGTAGGACAATTTTTGAGATCGTGTTATTCTATTTTTTTTTCAATATATAGTCTTATTTGATAATAATGTAGTTTTCTATAGATGATAGAATTTTTAAAATCGGTTAAGTAGTTTTTGAGTTTATCCATTACAAACATACATATAAAAAATAAAAAAAATCTTTTTTAATATTATGGTATCGTCATCATCATCATCGCTGTTAACTGTCCACTGCTGAACATAGGTTTCCCCTTCGGCGGGTTTTGTTTAAGTTCCCTTAGTCGCCCCTTACGACACACACAGGAAAAAAGGGGTAGTTTCCTTTTAGAAGTCGATTGTAAATGTCAAAATCGGTTCAAAATTAACTATGTAATTGCATTATATTTGTTTCTTCTAATATGTTTTATTAAAATACCTTAAAACATAGTGAAATAACGCCTCAATATATTTTTTAGAACGAAACTCTAGCAGCAATACTCCAGAACATTCTGAAGCTCAAGAAACCGGTGGTACTAGTCACGTCCAAGAACGATGAGGCGTGCGAGCAAGGCATCCGCGAGGCAGAACGGCTGGTGCAGCGTAAGGAGTTCAAGGGCGCGATACCTATAGTGGAGACCTCGAGCCACGACAATGTCAATGTGGATCAGGCTTTCTTCCTGCTAGCACAGATGGTGGACAAGTCGAAAGCGAGGATCAAGGTTGGCAATGCGTTTATATGTAATCTTACTAGCTTTTTTTTTTTAAAAAAAAACTATTGTGGTTGAAATCTTTGGAATTAAACTAAAATTGTGTTAAAAACCTAAATAAAAAGAAAAGTGATTGTTTGGCCATGAATGCTTTGTAATCCAAACGGTGTTGCCCGTCGTGGTAGGAGGACGTACCTACACGCTAGTGCAATGATGAGTTTACTCGTCACCGGTCAGCAAAGTGTTAATCCATCATCAGAATTTATCACAATGGTTTACAGGGGAGACTGCGTGGAGGTCGACTTCATTTGGGTATATTGCTACCAATACTAGTTCCAATTATTGTCAGTCCAAATTCCGCCGCCATTTTTTTTATTCACAAAATAATTATTACAATATGGTTTTCATGTTTTAATATTTTTATAATTTTGTAGGTAGCGAACTATGCGGAGGCACTGCGGATAAGAAGGGAGACTCTGGACTTTGTCACTGAAGCATTCACACAACTCATCAGGATACATGTTCAAGACCACAAGTGAGATAATTTTATTTTATTTCTTTACTAGCCGCCCGTCCCGGCGTCGAACGGGTGGACATATTTAACATTTCCCTTCACTGCTCTGCTCCTATTGATCGTAGCGTGATGAAAAGTATACTATAATCTGTCCAGAAGTATGAAGAATAATTGTACCAAGTTTCGTTAAAATCCGTCGAGTAGTTTTTGTTTCTATAACGAACATACAGACAGACAAAAATTTTAACTGATTACATTTTTGGCATCGGTAAGGATTACTAATCACCCCCTGATAGTTATTTTGGAAATATATTTCATGTACAGAATTTTCCTCTCTACAGATTACCCTCAGAAAATTATATATTTCCTATATTACTTCCTGATAATAAGGATTACTATAGATGAGAGAATTTTTAAAGTCGCTTAAGTAGTTTTTGAGTTTATCCATTACAAACAAACGAACATACAAAAATAAAATCTTCCCACTTTTTTACATACGTACATATCTGCCACGCGTGTCTCCCATTTCCCTTTATATTATTAGTAAAAGGCCGGTAGCACACCTGCAATGCCTCTAGTGTTGCGGGCGATTATAGGTGGTTGTGATCACTTATAATAGGTAAGCCGCATGCTCGTTTACCCCCCGTATTATTAAACAAGCATGTGGCTAACCTGATGGTAAGTGACTACTGCCACTCATGATCACTCGCAACACAAGAGGCATTGTAGAGGCTACTGCACACCTACAAGGGGGAGAAAGGGATTGTTAGCAATGAAGTGTGACAGCCCCATTGCTAGCAATATGCCCTATTAGGTGAACCTCCACGTGGTTCCCCCTGAAAACCATCGTGAACAATTTTTGTTGAATTCGTCATGATGGGCTAATTGACCTGCTTCATCCTTACTTATCATCCTTCACTGGTGCCCCGCCGGTGTATACCGATAGCGCGGGTGGGGTTATCATTCTATTATCACACATAAAAAAGCACACCTACAAGGAATTCCTCTAAAAGGAATGTGCTCTTTTCTTGAAGGTTATGATGTCGGTTCGGTCAGAGTGGTATGTCGACAAGTAGTGCTGCTGTACTAGGTTTATTAGCATATAAGTGAAAATAGATATATAATTATGCAGTGTGGAGTAGGAAAATAAATATCAATTTTTTAAGTGTTTAATTTTATCTACCTACAGAGAGATGTGGTCAGCTGCAAGCAAGAGATTATGCCACTATCCAGAATGGGTCAAGTTTGTACAGCAGTTCGGAAATGATGGCACACAGGTGATTTGTTTTACACAAGTTTTTACCCTCAACTTCGTTTACGTGATCGGGGTGCTCCCTTACAATACCTGTATACCGGGTGCAAGTGATTGTTAGTAATGGGGTCTAGATTCCCCTTTACTACCAATACACCTTGTTAGATCAACCTCCTCGCGGTCCCTTCTGGAAACCAACATTTTTTATTTCATGTGAATTCATTATGATGGGTCAAGTAATGGGTTTTTTCATCCTCATTAATCACATATTACTGGTGCCTCGCCAACATACATCAATAGCACAAGTGGGGTTGCCGTTCCATTATCACCCATTAAAAAGTAAAAGTACCTGTATACCAAATTTAATAGCAAATTGTAAATTAAAGTGCCATGAAGTAACAAACAAACTCTTATGTTTATAACATTAGTAAGGGAGCATTTTATTTCCATAATCTCAATGGGTTAAAATATATTTAATAATTTACTACTATTACAAATATAAGACAGCTATGGACGACTCAATAGAACGAACGAAAATTCAAATAAACAAATAATTATACCATAAGACAAACAGCTGATGTCCTAAAGTAGTACAAATCAAAAATTTATTAATTGATTAAGTGTTTAGATATGTTACTAATTTCATTTAGAGAGAAAGAGAGAGAGAGAGAGTTTTTGAGATAATTAGAAAAAAATGGGTTACCTTTTCATTAGTGGGGGTATTTTAGAGTCCTGTACATCAGAAAAACATTACCCTCCTTTCCTGGCTGTTGGTTAAAAGCTAATATGTATATATAAATATAATACAGGTGGTATTCCGTCGACACATAAGGAGACTAAAAGAGGAGCGTTCAGCTAAAAAACTGCGCAAACAACTCGCTAAGCTGCCACAAGTGCTGTCTAGAATGCAGTTACCGACTGAAGAGTTGCAGGAGAAGTATGTTTATGTTTTATGTTTCTTTTTTTTATTTGTCTCATTTGGTAAGGCAAAAGGAATATGCCATAGAACTTACCTTGTTTCATGTAATTTGTTTTTACATATTTGGAAACTGTACAGATAATAAAGCTGTGATGCAAGTTTATAATATTTAAATGAAAGCTAACACAAAAATTTTCTATTACTACATTTAAAAAACAAAAGAAAAAAATATTAAATACTAACCAGATTATTAATACTATTTCTTCATTGCTTAATGTTTTTTTCTTCATAGGAAAGATTGTTTTAATTTAGTTTGTATTTGTCTATTTTCACGATAAGTCTCTTGCGGGATCGGCAGAGAGATAATATATTAATAATAATTATTTTACTTATTTTTTTTTAGTGACTGGCCGATGGTAGTGAGACAGCTACGTGCTCACCGCGACTTCTCTGTGTACTTCAGCGAGGGCCGGCCTCAAGATTCTGGGTCCGAGTCTGGCTCAGAACTGGACAGTCCTCTAGGAACTGATACCACATTGAGGGTCGGGGAACGTGCTATCAGATATCAGGTATATACTACTAGTTAACCCGAATTTAATATAGATTTTCGGTCGCTGTTCATCTGTTATGGATGATCGACGACGAGACGTCGTGGACTAGCATGGGGTTCTTCAAAAAGGGCGTATTAAAGTTTCTTATTGGTCGGTAACACTCGTGTGACGTTCCTGGTGTTATAGGCGTCCATAGGCTACGGTGACCTCGTTTACCATCAGACGAGCCATATGCTTGTTTACCATCATAGTAGTATAAAAAAATTCTAATTTATATTTTTTATCCAGAAATATTGTTAACGTAAAATGTATACTATAAAAGTGATTACTACTGATGAAGTTTGAAATGAACATAGAACGAGATATATAACTTAAATATTATGTCAGATATCAATTTATATTATCTATGAAGGCAGTCTATCCATTGTGGTGCTTGAAATAAGAAAACATCTAATGCGGTGTAGCCGGTTTTCCGTGTAGTGTAACCGGTAACTATGTAGAATTAAATATAATGTAAACTAGGCTTTATTCATATTCACATATGGTTGATCTTAAGAATCGAAAGGTAGGTCCAAAAAGTGTCTGTACCAAAACTGCTATGTTGAACACTTATTAATGGGGAGGAAAGGGATTGTTAGTAATGGAGACTGAGAATCCCATTGCTAGCAATATACGCAGCCAGGTCGACTTCCTCGCGGATCATGATAGTTTCCAGGGAGAAGGAAACTATCATGATTAATTCCTTGTGAATTCGTCATGATGGGCTAACAGGCCTGTTTTCATTCTCATCGATCACCCTTCACTGGTGCTCCGCCAGCGTATCCCGTTAGTGCAGGCGGGGTTACCATACCATTTTCACCCATAAAAAAAAACACTTATTAATGGGCAAGTTTGTGTATGACTAGCCTTGTACTTTAAATGTAACAGTTTAAGCACTCTTTTTAATAAACTGAAGCGCACATATTTTTTTTTTTTTATAATAATCAAGAAATATATTTTTATCTTTAGACTTTGGGACAATCTCAAAAGATTCCTTATGAAATTCTGGAGTCGAATGAGGCAGCCGCTGTTTTCAAGACATATTTACATGAGGCACAAGAAGAACAAAGGAATTACGAGTATGTATATATATGTGTATTTTAAGGTAATTAATTAATCTCGTTATGGTTCTATCAAAATATAAAAAAATTTATACAACTGTAATCAATGATTAAAATCTATATTTAAAAGTATTTGTTGATAAACTATTTTATAATTATCAGTTAGAAGGTATTGGTGGTTATCCGTAGATATATCATTGATTCTTTATTCATAGATGGTGTCAGCAATTCAAGCGTCTGCTAGAAGAAACCGGTTACGTGACGCCCGGAAAACAGTTGTCCGAGGTACGGGTGTTGCTGATGGGTCGCGAGTGCTACGAGGCGCTCACAGAAGAACAACAGCAGCGCGTGTACGATCAACACCAGAGGCAGATACAGCGCCGGGCTAAGCATAACTTGCAGGTTTGTTTGTCTTACTAAATCTATGTACACAATGATCAAATGTAACAAAAAAAAAATTATGTGTATTCAAAAGAGTATTTAAGGATCTTACTTACAGAGCTTATTCTATTTATTTAAGATTTATTTATTTATTTATATGCTTTTGTACGTTCAATTACATGGTATGTCGTATAAACAATACGGCAGTATCCGGCTCGAAGGATCAAAACGATGAATTGTATATGTCTGATGTCACCATATAACAGTGTGATTATGAGAACTGATATTGTCTAATAAAACAGTTTATTAGAGTTATTAATTATAAGATATGACTTAGCTAATATTGATAGATGTTATTATGAGATTGAAATATGCTGATCATTGATTTGTAATAGACTGATAAACAATTATACAAATCGCCCTCTTCTCAAACTGAGATACCTTGTATAATTAGAAATCAAAATAAAAGAGGTCCAAGTCAGAGCTAAATTAGGAAAGTGCATTTCCCAAATTAATCAAACTGAGAACCATATTTGGAATAAATTGTGCCATCGAGGTCGTTATTTATTTATTTTTAAAAGGTACATCAACAGTGTAAATACAGACATTAATTTTAATTGTTATACAGGGCTTTCATCTTGCATTTACACCAATTACAGATGTACACAACATTTTCTTAAATTTGTTTAATTTGTTATTCCCTATGCGTATTTCATTGCAGGAACTGCTGTTGGAACATGCAGATTTATTCTATCACTTCAAAAGTATATCTCCGACGGGAACGATCACGCAGGAAGACATAAAAGAGATCACTGACGTACTTCAGGATGACTTCAGGTATGTATTTAATGCTGATTTTGAAATTGCATTTTTTTTTTATTATTATTCAGCTATATGTAGATCTAAATATACTTATATAATAAGTTATATTAGGTACATATCCCTCACGAGGTACGAAGAGAGAACTGAGTGCCAAAAGCTGCTATCTTCATTAAATACTTTACGTAGTCTACAGGTGATGATAATCATTTTTTATTAGGTTGGCTGCTACCTTGTTTTTTGTTTTATGTTGGATAAAAAATACTTACATAACTTGTATCACGTTCATATAGTGTTTCAGGAAACTCCTAAATTTGTTTTAAATTATGTACCATTAATTCAACATAATATTTAAGTGTATATATATTGTAAAAAAAATAGCACTCCCCTTAAGAAGAAATTTTGCCAGTAGTAGCTTGGCAGGCAGGTTGACAGGTGCAGTTAGACTTTTGTGATGTTATAAGAGAGACGCTACTGCCTATCTCTAGACCATTAAACTTCCTTAGTCACCTCTTACGACACCCACAGAAAAGAAAAGCGTAGCCCATTCTATATATATATATAAAACATCACACACCAACATCACCAAGCATGGCAAACTGACGAAATCCATCAAGGGAGAGGCCTATGTTTAGCAGTGGTGTTAACGGCTGACATGAAAGAATGGATCTAGTATCCCTCTGATTAGTTTTGGAAATAAATGAAGCTGTGCAAATAATAATAATAATATCAGGTGTGTCCAGTAGTAAATAAACATGTTTCTAGTTTCGATGCGTTATTCGTTTGATTTTCCTTTGAACAGATACAAAATGCTTGATCGCATGGAGCAAGACCGCAAGCTGATGTTATTCCAACATCTTGGCTTCGTACATTGTCCGATGCGAGAGCACTGTCCCGCCGGAGCCCGCTGTCTGGACGCTGCCCTACCTCTCATACTCAACACCAGAGTCGGGTAAGTATTCGTACTGCTGTATTACCTTGATACGCGATTCTAAAGTCGGATCAGTACTCAAACTGTTATATTACTGTAGATGTACCAGAGGGCGACTTTGTATATAAGTCGATTGCTTGGGTACCTCTGTCCCATTCGTGTGTGTGTGAAGCAGTTGTGTTTGCATGGCCCTGTTTCGGTTTGAAGGATGGGATATGGCCTGAATTTACATAGTACAGAGGAATAACACCTGAGTCCTCAGGAATGGAAACGCATGGGGGGTATCATGGGCGAAACAGTATACTCTGTTATGTCCATAATACTGCTCATGTTTTTAAGCGACGGTTACCACTTTCCATCAGGTGGGCCGTTGCCATTGCTTGTTTGCCAAAACAAGTTGTTGTTCTAAATTGTATAAAAAAAACATGTAATCTTTTCTTTTAATATTCTTTTTTGTATATTTACTGTAATTTTTTTAATGGAACAATAAAAAGTATCTGTCTATCAACCTCGTCGGTATTCACTGTTACTTATAATTGATATTAATAATACTTTTTTTTTTCTTATTTAAGATCCTTAACCTCGACTGGTGAATCTCAGTGTCACGCGGGTCCACCGGCTGCGCCCTGGGCTCTAACAACTGACTCCAACCAAATAAACGTTATCATACTAGGCGTAAGTACAATTCAATATTAATATAGTTAATTATTAGAGTGTCTATTTTGTTATACTGTGAGGACATAAATTTTGCCCATATATAATATATTTTGGTTAAATCGGGCAATTTTATATAAACAATATGATATCATATTACAGTGAATCCCCCCCCCCCTTCCTCCCCCCTTTCCTTTCCCACATAAGTTCCTTATTCCTCTCATTCACCAATTTCCTTTACACATTTCCAATGTTCCCTTCCTTTTTTCCTCAATCCTTTCCTTCATACCGTAGGTGGCGGAAACCACCAACAAATGCATTCCCAAAGCGAATTGACGTCAGGCACGTGGCTGGTCGTAAAACTAAAAACCAAATCTTTTTGTAATATGGATAAAATCATATTACGCCGACCCCAAATGATTGGGATAAGGGTAGAAAGATGATGATGATGATGATCATATTACAGTGAATTATAAAATTGTTTGCATGCCTGCCTCTGTTTATGCCACGAAGCAGCTGTGTTTGCTGTAAAATTGTAGGGTATAACACCGTAGTCGTCAGAAATGGCATGAAACACATGAGGAATGCCATGGACATGTGTCCTTGTTAGCTACTAAATATTATAAAAAAAGTGTTTTATTATGGTGTGTGGTGCAGGTGGAAGGAACAGCGGGAGAGTTCGGCAAGCGACTGCTCGCGGGCTGCGACGGGGAACGACGAGTCATGGTGGGAGGCCAGGCGTGGCGAGTGGAACAACGTCTACGTACTGACGACTTCTCTGATTCCACGCCTATAGATGACTTCGCGCCTAATGGTACGTGACGTCAGAGTATTGTAGATGTATAATTTTTAATGTCGCTTTAAAATTGTTATACTCGTATCTTTATAAAAATATTCGACGTCTAAATTTTGACATTTTTCGCTTTATAAAATCGCTAAAATGTGTTGTGAATAAAACATTTCCGAATAGAATATGTTCTGAAAAAAGGTTTTTACATAATGGTTCATTATATTTGCCAATATTATTTTTATATGGAAAAGAATAAATAAAAATATCATTGAGATCGATAGAATAGATTTTGTATCCGGCTCGAAGGACCATATAAATGTACGTATTATATTTTTTAGGTTATTTCTGCGTGTACCAAGACCAGGAGTCGTTTGAATACATCAGGGGATGCACTGAAAAGACTTTGTTGACTAGTCTTGAACAGGAAGATAAGCAACCGTTTCAGGTAATGATCTCCTATCCATAATACTATGTATTTAAGCTAATCAAGTTTTTTTTTGTTTGTAATGGATAAAATAAAAAAATGCTTAAACACTTTAAACTTTTTATAAGTCTGTAAGCTACAGTATCAGTTACTAAAATGGATTGTATTTTATTAAAAAAAAATGTTAATTTGGGGCGGGTTACTATTATAAACGAACTAACAATAGATAGAACTAACAATTCAGATATATATGTAGATATTTTTTATTTCATCAGGGATTGCCATTAGTTGTGATGTTCGTTCAAGATGAGGGTATGGATAAGAAAGAAATAACACGGTTGCAAGAGGAGGGCCAGAATCTCGCTGATAAGTGAGTATCACATTTTATTACAAACATTTTTGTACTGTTTAACATTTATTTCTTTATTTTAACTTTAACAACTTGGCGTAAACTGACCAGTAAAAGAATTTTATGGAGATAGAAATAAGATTCTCAAAGGAGAGTCAACTTTACATGACATATACGAACATATCTCCCGCAACCAACATATACCATCAGTGGACAGTTGACGGCTTAAATAATAATAATAAAATTGTAATTGTTTTATTACTTTTTCTTCTTCAGTCTTCATTGCTCATATATGGAGGCGTCGGTGAACGAGCTGGGAACGGAGGCATTGACATCGGACGCCATACAGGAACTGATCAGAGCCAACAGGGAGAAGGCCAGCTATGCACACCTCTACAAAGACCTCATAGTCTGCTTCGATTCCGATATACGGTGAGTAAATCTTGCTACGATTATAATGTGTATTTTCCCCTCAATCACAATATCTATAATATAATAAAGAGGAAATATTTCATTGTTTTTTTTTTTTTGTAATGGATAAACTCAAAAACTTCTTAATCAATTTAAAATTATTTCACCTATAGAAAGCTACATTACCATCAAGTAACATAGACTATATATTCTATGTTATGTTAAAGGCGACGGTTACCACTTTCCATCAGGTGGACTGTCAGCTTGTTTGCCATTCTAAGTTGTATAAAAAAAAACTATATATTCGAAAATTCTAACTACCCTTGTGAACTAAACTAATCTACAATAATCCAAATAAAGTAAATGTGTCCAATCTTCTTAATCATGTTGGTTACAATTTTTGTCAATTTATGATAAAATTTTTCCTTTTTTATAACTTGGTAACATTGATGAGTACTGAAGATGTATAAAGTTTTCCAACATTCTTTCCAGTTTTTTTCCAACATTTGTAATAATTCTGGTACGAATTAAAAAGAAATGAATGATTATATATTAGGATTTCATTGAATTTTAAAGCCAAATGGGTATTGAATATACTATACAGAGAGAGTGAGTGTTAATAATGTGCGTTTGCCTTTTGATAATGAACGGATGATATGATGATGATGATGACGATGATGATAATGAATAAATACACCTAGTATTTGAAGCGGTTTAACTAGGGTAAATAAAAATAAATAATTTTGAAGCGTTGTATTGAATATAAAGATGTAATGCGCTGAAATTTGTTTTGCAAGTAAGTTACAATTTGAAACCTGAAAGGTCATGTAATTTTCTCCTGCGTTATGATTGGCGTTCTCGCGATGTCGTAATGATTGGCTCTTGTGACTGGTTGATGTTGTGTGTGACTGTCTATTAACTTAGCAGTCGTCCATTGGCTTTTTTTTTATATATAATATAAATAATATTTTTTATTTCAGAATAATGGTCTGCATGTTCTGTGATGACCCTTATTCGCCGGAGCGCGTTTTAAGTCCATTGCTGTCGCATCGCGCGTGCTTCCTCACTGGGGACAGGTCGATCGTAATAGAGACCTTCCTTGGAGACTCCAAACGGAAGGTCGAGGTAAGAATAAACTTTGATATTGTTATATATACTCAACTGCCAAAAAATTAGGGTAGTGTTTTTCAGTCGAATGTTTATAATTATGAATGTAGGAATGCGGGTCACAGTGAATTTACTGGGTACAGAGGAATAACACCTGAGTCCTCAGGAATGGCAACGCATGGGGGAAACAGTATACTCTGTTATGTCCATGGTACTGCTCATGTCTATAGGCGACGGTTACCACTTTCCATCAGATGGGCCGTCAGCTTGTTTCCCATTCTAAGTTGCATAAAAAAAAAAGTTCGTATTTCCAATAATGGCAGTGATAGCTGGGTAAATTCAGGTTAACCAACCACATAAAAATAATATTGTTAACAAATCAAACTAAACCGAGAGTAGAAGATGTTTTTTTTTTAATGGGTGATAAAGGTATGGTAACCCCTCTAGCATTTACCTAGCCAGCATTTACCGATAGCATAATCGGTAAATGCTGGCGAGGCACCAGTGAGGAATGATGTGTGAGAATGAAACAGGTCTGTTGGCCCATAATGATGAATACTTTAAGTATTAACCAAGATGGTTTCAAGGGGAAACCGCGTGGAGGTCGACCTGATAGAATATATTGCTAGCAATGAGGCTGTTCCTATTATTAACAGTTTCTTTACTCTCGAGTGAGCCGGTATCCTTATCACCTTGAATGTAGACATGCTCTTGGAAATGTATGTATGTTTAGTGACCTCGCTAACCCACGAGGAGTTACAATTATGAGCATTTTTTGTCTATACATATAAAAGAACATAATTTCGTAGTCATGTTAAAAAAATAGGTAAGAATGCATTGTAATTATTCTTATTTTCTTTTTTAGGTCATAATCTCGAGTTTCCACGGCGCCTCTCAATTTAGAGAAGAGCTGATCCACGGATTTATACTGATCTATTCTGCTAAGAGAAAAGCTAGTTTGGCAACGTTGAAGTAAGTTCATAATTAAACATTTTCTAAAAATAATTAAAATATATTTTTATAATCAATTTTTTGTATGGAAATTGTATTATATTTATTTATTTAAGGAACACCAACAGCATATTGCATTATAACATATAGGTATAACAACATTAAATACAATACAATATTAATGAACATGCCTATTATAGGTATTCACAGCATTCACTTTAACATACGCAAGCTGCGCAAAATTACTAGTAAGCAATTTTGCGCAGCTTTTGCCGTTTGAACCGATATATTTTACGTAGCTTTTTTATTCGCATTTATACATTTACTTTCACACGATGTGAAGTAATAATAGTAGAAAATAATGGAAAACTTTCAATATATATAATAATGGATAAACATGGAAAAAATATCATTTATTACTAAAGTTATTGGTTGTGCCAATAAATTAATAAATGATATTTTTTTCCATGTTTACGATAATCTTCATATTTTTCTAAATTTTTTAAGTTACTGTGCAGTGACGCCAAAAATGAAATTTTTGATAAAAAAACAACAGCTTTGATTGATACAAATTATTCTTTTGTCTTAATCATGCGGGCAACTATTATTAAATTAATTATTAATGAATATATATATATATATATATATATATATATATATATATATATATATATATATATATATATATATCTAAGAAACCTTAATATACTCTTGAAGAACCCCATAATTGATAAATTCTGTGCTAATACAACCATACATTGTTAAATAAATATATCTTATATAATCTTTAGTGAAAACGTCGGCAGGGAGCTCATTCCACAGCCAGAGCGTTCGTGGAGGAAAACCCTTTGAAACTGCATTGTATATTTTTATATATTATTTTTTAGTGCATTCTCAATGAACATACCGAATCTACCGATACAAATGGTGGCGGTGACGGACGGCGGCGGTTCGGCTGCGAACGCGTTCTTCGGCACGGACGTCGGCCACGCCCTCATCACCGAGGGGAACGCTACGGCCGACAGACTCGGCGCACATTTCACCACGTACACGTCCACTGCTGAGAGTAAATGTAAGTATCATCAGCGTTAAAATAGAGTCATTCAAGGAGCAGCTTTGAAGGTGGCCAGGACTTTTACGCTGTATTCTCCGGAAATTTGTTTTTTTTTTTAAATAACTTTATTAGCCAAAATAAAACAAGGTACAAAAGGTGGTACTAGCATTCTCTACCAATCAACCTTTGGGATGAGCAGTGGAAATCATCATAGACAATTCCTAGTGAAATAATTATTGTAGTTTCAATGATTTTATAATTACCCCTACCTATCATCATTCATCGTTGGTACTTTGGTTTTACCAGAGGGAGACTTTGTACAAAAGTCGATTGCTTGGGTACCTCTGTCCCATTCGTGTTTCAACCGTGAAGCACTTGTATTTGCATGGCTGTGTTTCGGTTTGAAGGGTGTAAGGGGAATAACACCTGAGTCCTCAGGAATGGCAACGCATGTGGGTTATCATGGGCGAAACAGTATACTCTGTTATGTCCATGGTACTGCTCATGTCTATAGGCGACGGTGACCACTTCCATCAGGTGGACCGTCAGCTTGTTTGCCATTCTAAGTTGTATAAAAAAAATTATCCAAATCAGTTTACAACTGATAAAGTTATGAAGTAATAATCATAAAAAAGTTCAACCGAATTGATAACCTACTTCTTTTTAAAGTTGATTAAATATTGTTACATTTTCAATGTAATAAACCTCCCTAAATACCTTTATGTTGTTAAAAAAGTCTGCATTAGTGTGTATTTAAAAAAAAAGTCACATAATTTTTTTAGTCACTTACACCTGTTGTTTAACTTTGTTTTTTTTTTTTAATATAATTGTGCTGTATAGTGTAAAGTTATTTCTGACAAGTCTATAGTCATGAAAATTTCTAATATTTATTATTACGGCCACCATTAATCATATAAAATTGGAAATTAGTGTGTCCAGAAGTTGTTGGTATGTGTTTGTTGCAGCGGCGTTCTACACGCCATTCTTCAAAGAGGTGTGGGAGCGGAAGGGCGAGATCGAGCGCGCGTTTCGACTAGAAGCACCTCACAACCTGCCCGACGTGGCCGCCGCGCGGCCCGCGCCGCCGCCGCGGAACCACTCCTACCATCTCAACCACAAGTGAGCTCGCATTGCGCACACCATACTTATATTACACACTGCATACTTGTATACTGGACACTGGATACTTGTATACTATACTTGTAGGGAGACTTTGTACAAAATTCGTTTGCTTGGGTACCTCTGTCCCATTCGTGTTTCAACCGTGAAGCAGTTGTGTTTCGGTTTGAAGGGTGGGATACGGCGTGAATTTACAGAGTACAGAGGAATAACACCTGAGTCCTCAGGAATGGCAACGTATGGGGGTATCATGGGCGAAACAGTATACTCTGTTATGTCCATGGTACTGCTCATATCTATAGGCGACAGTTACCACTTTCCATCAGGTGGACCGTCAGCTTGTTTGCCATTCTAAGTTGTATAAAAAAAAAATACTGCATACTAATATATTCAACACTGCATACTCATATACTGTACAGTGTACATTTATATAGTAAACCTGCATATTTTGATAATATAAATTATTAATTGGAATTGGAATATTATAGTATGTCTATCAATATATAATATTAGACCGTTAATCTTCCTAGAAGTAAATAAATTTAGGTATATTTATACTGCACACTGCATGCTTATATGCTATATGTACATAGTATAGTATTGTACAGTATAAGACTATGACTGTGGCAATTTTTAAGTAAATTTTGGATTTCTTAGATCAGACAAGAGACTTAATAAATATCAGAAAAAAACATACATGCTATTTTACAGATATGCAATCTATTTGTTAACATATTATAGCTATTTTTAGCAAAACAGGTGGTAATATTAGAAAATGTTTGCTCCTGCTATACAAATATGATTAAAATTGGATATATATTTTTTTTGTCAGATAATTCATATACATTTAATTGATAGTGTCAAATATTTAGCATTCTCGTATATAATTCTTTACAGAATGGAACACAAGTTGACTAACTCATTGGACTTGCTGATCGGACCTGACTCTCGTGCCGACATCGACTCGGAGTACAGCGATACTATGAACAACAAGAATAGAGGATTTTTGAAAGGTTTGCTTATACAATATTATATATTGTCCAAGGATAGGGAAGGGTAAAAGTAGTATTGTAAAAGTGAGTTTGTTTGTTACTTTATAGCGCCTTAATAGCTTAACCAATTGCTATGACATTTGGTATACACGAGCTATATGAGATAGAGAAGGCTATAGGTTATAGACTTTTTGTCATGGGGATTAAGTCGCGCGTAATAGTTAGTAAAGTATAAAGTAAATAATGTTTTCACTTGTAATTTTGCAGTCAGTTTATGAATTCTTGTGAAAAGAGATGTATTTTCAATTTCTCGAATTTCTCGAAGTGTATTTCCAATTTTTTCATATTTGAAGATAATTATTATAGCAAAGAAGTAACAAATAGTGGTGGGAAAATAAGGGGTTCTCAATGTAATATTAATTACATTAAAACAGCCTTCTTTTTTGTTTAAATTTTGTATTTATGCACATAATAATTATTAATTCACTCTTAATAATTATTATGTGCATAAATACAATAGCCTACTTCTATCTGTTCTCCTTTAACCAAATGTTGTCTATAGGAGACTGCTGTACTTTTATGTATATATTTTAATTTGTACTTTATGTTACTATATTTCACTTGATTTTCTAAGTGTAATTATATATTTTTGTTTTTAGTGCAATAAAGAGTTAAATAATTATTTAAAATTGTATACTTTTCTCCTAAAGAAATGTTTAATATATACAACGAACACATTTGATTCTCAGCATTTGTTTTTTTTTTTCGTTTAGGTTTTAGTGTTTACCCACCACCCAGTACACCACCAGAACCAGCGCCCCCCGATCACAGAATGCATGCGGATTTGTCACGTAAGTAACATAGTTAACTGTTATATGTGTTTAATTGTTTATATTCAAATGTTAATTTTATTTTTAGTCAAGTTCAAAATGGCAAAATGTCTTTATATTTGACTGGACCATGTTTGTGTGTTATATTATGTATTCACTAATTGCGAACAATTTTAGATTTTCTTCCTGTATAGATTTATCTGGTAAAGTTTTTTTTTTTTAATTTATGAATATAACAGTGATTGGAACTATACTTATATGACGAAAACCTGTATATTTGTCTATACTAATTTGAAAAATGTATTTTATCCATTCAGAGATCAGAGCATTTTAAATATGTACTCCTATAACATTAAACTATTTAGTATAGTTTAATAAATGATTACAAAATAGCATAGCGTGAAATCATTGGTAATACTTAGTAAAAAAAAAAAAAATATAATAAAATTAGGATTAAAGTATGAAATTAAAAATACTCCAGAGACAAAAGAATGTAATAAAATTTTCCGTAAACGCAGCGGACCTCAACTGCTCGGAGGATTCACTCAGCACACACGAGTCAGGTGAATGCATGACAAAGGAATTTAAGTCTAAGCACCAATTTGGAGGGTTCATTTTTATGTGTAGATTTAGTGTCATGGACAGTCTGGTAGATTTTTTTACTTGAGGAATGCGATATTTTTTTTTATGCATGGTAGTAGAGTTGTAATATCAAAACTGTGTTTTATTCGTATATTGTTTTTTTTTTCTCTTAACTGCACTCGGTTAATTTTTTTTTTATATTTAGGGGTTTTTATGTAGATATTTTTTTGATTCGTTGACGCCCATAGAGTAATTTATTTATCTTTTAGTTTATCTGTGAAAAAAAAAATATAATTTAAATTTCATGATTCAAATTAATAATGCATTTGTTTAGTCCTAACAATTATTATTATTATGTGTGGACGTTACCTAATGATTTGTGTTTAGGTATGTACATTTATTCATGATTATACATTCTGGCTATAATTTACAAATTATTTTAGAAATATTATCCAAAATGAAAATTTAATTTTAATATTTAATCACATAATTAATATTAAAATATAATAAATAAGAAATATTTTTATAATGTTTACTTTTATTAGTTACTTATTAATTTCTTATTTAAAATAGATTTTAAATAAATAACTAATTCAATATTTAACGTAAAATTGTTACAAAAATGCAAGTTTACATTGTCGCTTGCCACATTAGTCAGTCCGTATGTTTGATTGTAGCCCTCATTTTATATAAGCTTTTATACATTAATTATAGATCGACTATATTTGCTTTTCGGCATAGAATATGCCAGTCCTTCCTTTCCCGTAGGTGTCGTAAGAGGGAACTAAGGGAACATAATGATCAAGGGATAGGCAGCATTGTACCTCTTCCAACATCATCAAAGGCTAACTGCTGTTGCCAACACGTTTGCAAAGTGTGGCTACTTCTGGCAACCCCAAGGGGATGGCCTAAGTTCAGCATTGGACAGTTAATTGTTGATATGATAAAATTATTTACCGTACGAGGTCTGTCCGGAAAGTTCGTATAAAAGTGTTCTGGAATGCGAGAAAGAGGAGTGGGGAGGCCAGGTAAGCGCAGGACCCCTTCCTTATGTCCCTAACAATGCTTCAGTTCTGGTCTGACCGCCGTGCGGTGCGAACTGGCTTGTCACGCCATCTGTGAAGTTACCTCTTAACGAAACCCCGTCGGCATGGAGCCCGCTTCCGTTGAAGAGCAGCGCGTCGTAATCAAGTTTCTCTCGAAACTCGGCAAGAATGGCCGTGAAAGCAAAGAGTGGAAGACATCCGGGGAACCACGAACAAAAAAATCAAGAAAATCCCGCTCAAATGTCAAGACAATGTTGATTGTTTTTTTCGATGTTCGGGGGATTGTCCATCAAGAATTCGTCCCTCCAGGCCAGACAGTTGATGGAAAATTCTACGTCGATGTGCTCAGACGCCTCAAAGCTCGTGTGGCACGAGTTCGTCCAGAATTGGCGCGAGAGGGGCGTTGGATTCTTCACCACGACAATGCCCCTGCCCACACCTCTCTTGTTGTCCGTGAGTTTTTGAGTAAAAATTCCATTACGGTGACCGAACACCCCCCCCCTATTCGCCGGATTTGGCCCCGTGTGACTTCTTCTTGTTCCCAAAAACCAAATTGGTACTTCGGGGGCGGCATTTGGGGGACATAAATGAGATAAAAAAAGCTACGACGGGGCAGCTGAGAAACCTACAACCAGAGGACTTTCAAGGAGCCTTCTCACAGTGGAAACGGCGTTGGCACAAGTGCATTATGTCACAGGGGGAGTACTTTGAAGGGGATAAAATTGATTTACCTGAATAATTGTAAAATAAAATTTTTAAAAAACTTTTATACGTACTTTCCGGACAAACCTCGTATGTATATTTTATATATAACCGTCAGCATGGGTACTACTGTCTCACTCGTGTTTTTGTAACTTTGTTTGCATGGTTATGGCTGTGAAATTATTAGGTACAGTGGAACGGTGAAGCTTAAGGATACAGTGGCTGTCACAGTGCAGTCTGTGATGTTCATACTGGTGTGTAGGTTTGATGTGAGTTTTGTACTTGAACATTTTACTCAACTAGGTTTAGGTTTAAAACTATCTTCACTAGGTGTCATGTCGTATAAAGAGGTTAAATAAAGCTGGCTGGAAAAGAATGTATGAATTAGTTACCCTTATAAGAGGAAACTCTTAAATGAAAAGAGAGAGGTGTTGTCTTGCGGAAGACTATATTCAGGGATATAGTCTCAGGTTAGTGTTATTTTATTAGGTGTAAGACTTAGATTATATAGATAGAGCATCGTGCCTCAAAAACGTGTCAACTTTTTGTCAGCTAATTGTCAAAATTAGCTGACTCGTTTTTTTTTATCAGTGTTCTTTATACTTACTTATACACTGTATCTTGACGTATTATTTAAAAAATAAAATGAGTGTTTATGCATTAAATAGATGCAGAAATTTTATTATAAAATAAATATAGAAGTTATAAAAGAATCTATCATAACTATTTAACACGTAAAATTGTGTGAAAAAGTTGACCCGCTTTTCTTAAAGCATTTGTATGGAGACACTCTATCTAACCTTACACCTTAGATTATATAATCTAAGGCAACTACTTGCTGTAAGGCAGTTCAAACGTGTGATTGTCACCATTGTTACAGAAAAAATGTAATATTAAAGTTGTAGTATACATATACAGTGAAACAAATTGTTTAGATGGTGGAGGTTTATGGCAGCCAAGCAGCTATGGGCACCGCGCGTTCACAATGGGTCCCACCAAGCCGCATCCGCCCCCTCCCCGCGTTCGGCACTCGCAAACACTGAAGGTAAAACAAACAATAGTATTGTCTATGGTCTTCTCCTTTAGGTTTAATCCCGGCTACAGCCAGGGTCAACTTCTGTACTGTTTCTATTCCACTTTGCCCGCTCTTGTTCATCTTTCTAAGACAAAGCATTGTCTCGTATGTCTTCGTATATTTTTCTTCGAATATAGACAACAGTTTATGGTATGTAAACGAATTAGAATTATTTATTTATATAAATAACATTATTGACCATAAGAAAACATGGTACAAAAGGCATACCTAATGCTAATAACATTCTTTACCAGTCAATCTTTGGGATGAACAGTGATCACGAAAGCGGTATTTCGTCTAGAATGTTAGTCTTCAGACTGAGAAACGAATTTGTTAAAACGAATTTAAATAACCAAAAGACGCTGTTTAGGCATCGTGGTCGATCACATCGCACTGGATCGTTCTACTCTATTTGCGACTAACTTTTTTATATACACTTGCCCTCTAGACATGATAATTTATGTATAAAATCGTTATCTTTAGCGAGTCAATGTGATAGAATGAAATGGCGACATGTGTTGTCTTGTTCTTTCTTATGTGAGTGCTGACCGAAGCGATTCTACCGATAGATTCGTTTGTACCTTGTTTGGAGTAGTAGATAGTTAATTTTTTTTCTAATTTAATTGCAGCAACCCGGTAAATTGGATATGAATAACTACACGATGGTGAGCGATGCCCTTCAGCATATCACCATCGGACCTCCACATTCAAGAGACAGGAAGGTGAGAAAAGACTCACTTATTATAAACAAAAAGAAACGTATTGTAAGCGGTTCTTTTAAATCAGGCAAAGCAGTAAGATTAGAGTATGTTTTTATGTAGGATGAAAATGAAATAGTAACACCGTCTACGCTATCGGTATATGCGGACGGAATTACGGTGAATCATGATAGGTGAGGGTGAAGTTAAGGCTGTTGGCCTATCGCGAATAATTCACCAAGAATTAACAACCATTGAATAAGACTATGTCGAGTGACAAGGTCGACATTACAAGGTATATTATTAGCAATGGGACTACCATTCACGGATCATAATAACACAAAATGTTCTCCCCTAATAACCCTAATCTAACTTAATAGACTTGTCGGGGGGAAAGGGATTGTTAGTAATGGAGACTGAGAATCCCATTGCTAGCAATATACCCAACCAGGTCGACCTCCTCGCAGTTCTCCCTGGAAACTATCATGGTTAATTCCTGATGAATTCATCATGATGGACTAACTGGCTTGTTTTCATTCTCATCTATCACCCTTCACTGGTGCTCCGCCAGCGTATCCCGTTAGCGCAGACGGGGTTACCATACCATTTTCACCTATAAAAAAATAGACTTGTCGGGACTGGGATATTAGTAAATTACCGGTATTTATTTCAGTCGCAGAGGTCTGGGTGGTCGCATTCGAGCAGTCAGCAGGGCGGTCACCATCACCATCCTTCAGGAGTCAGTTCTGAGACAGAGCTCGATGCGCAGTATGCACAGGTATTATTTTTACCATAAATTATACGTTAGCTTCTGATTACCGAATTACTAAAACTATCTCAGACTATTTAGTGTTTTTTATACATCCCTCAAAATTTGGTTATTTTTAATCTACGTAAGTATATTATTGTAATTATAACATGCCATTTTCCACAGATAAAGGAAACAAACGAATACATGGAAGCGCCATCTATGATGAGACTACGGAGACATCGGCGACACGAGAAGACACCATTACATCAGCCATGTAAGTTTGACATATTAATTTAAAAAAAAATTAATGAATATAACTTATTGACTTATTTAGAAAATAATTTTGATATATTGTAATTAGTAATATAATAAAATAACCTTACTAATATAATAAACTTGTAACTAGATGTCGGTAAATGATAAGTATTTAAGAAATATTAATATGCGGGGTCTTAAAAAACTAATAAATGCTAAAACAATATATCTTTTTTAATACATTTTATCTGTCTTTATATTTGCTCCAGCATTAAGCAAAAACTACTGCACTAAATTGGATGCGGTTTTTACAGTCGTGTTCCTAAAGGTTTAACGTAAATCTGATGTATGTTTTATTTTAATACGGCATCTAAATATGGTCTATTTTATTAGTTTTTTATTTCTAAAATCTACGCGTACAAAGTTGCGGGCAAAAGGTAGTTTAAAAATAAAGAAGACAAAAAAATAATTTGGGTAAAATATGCACGACATGTCGAGTTTTAAGTTCACACCAACAGTGTTACTGTTGACCTGTGTCACATAAAATACATCATTTTGATATCTAACGCCTCTTACTATCCTATTAAAGGTCACATTTGCATTTATTATTTAATACTTTAATATTAAAAACTGTTATTCGGAGTTGACGGATGCAGGTGGCTCGGGACATTTCTTTGTGGCAGTGTATGAAGGAGGATTATGTTCAGCAGTGGACTATTATATTATAACGGCTGACATGATGATGATTGGAAACTGTCCAGGACCCTTACAAATTAGGGATCCAAGTTCCGAGCGTATGCCTGAGTAAGCTTTTGCCCTGGATATACATGCTGCTGATAAGCCTTCCCGATAAGGGGGTTTTGCCAGTAATTGCTACGCTTGGAAGGCGGTTTGGCCTCCGCAGTTAAGATTTGGTGAGGTTTTAAGAGAGACACTACGACCCATTCCTCTACCAGTAAGTTCCTTTAATCTCCTCTTACGACACCCATAGGAAAGGAAGGGTTGGCCTGTTCTTTGCTGGTGTTAATGTCGACTACTAACTAACTATTGACGTGTAATAACTATTGGTTTTTATATTTACTTGTTTTTGTGTGTATGTTGTAGCGTTGTCCGAGACGGACAGCTCTGGATCCAGTGAAGCGTCGGGCGGGCCGCGAGTACAACCACGACGCAGGCACAACCCCCACCACGCGCCCAGACATTACAAGAAACGGTCAGTATCACCCACCATTTCACTTGTTATCATTTACCAGAGGAGATTTTGTACAAAACTCATTTGCTAGGTACCAAACCTCTGTCCCATTCGTATTTCTACCGTGAAGTAGTTGTGTTTCGGTTTGAAAAGTGAGATATGGCAGTGAATTTACAGAGGAATAACACCTAAGTCCGCAGGAATGGCAACGCATAGGGGTATCATGGACTAAAAGGCTATACTCTGTTATGTCCATAATACTATTCATGTCGATAGGCGACAATTATCGCGTTCTATGAGGTGGGCCGTCAGCTTGTTTGCCATTCTTTTATTATTCCATTTTTTTTTAATTATTAACACATTCATAGTTTGTATTTTTCTTTCCCTCTTCTATTACGGTCAGTAGATAGTTTAACAAAATTATTTGAACACACAGGTCACTAGGAAACTTAGTAGCGGTACAGAGTCCAAGAGTGCCGAAGCTGGGCATGTTTGTTGGCCCACCTGAATTGCCCACCGGTTACAGAGCCAGGACGCAAGAGGATAAAGGTAAGATGTTTAACTTGAAACATAATCCTTACTTATAAAGGTGAAGAAAGTAAGTTTGTTTCTCTTTTTGCCAAAATTTTGGTGCCAAAGGTTTGGTTTAAAAAATTTGGTAGACTTTACTACTTAGTATTTTTTGTCTCGGTCAATGATGGCATACATCGTATGTCACTGGCAAAATCTAGAAGTAATATAAACAATAAAAATATAATTTAAACCTATCTATAAAACTTACGAATTTTAAATATTATGTACTGGATGCGAAGATGAAAGTGTTTTCAATCGACTTAAAAAAAGGGGGGGGGGAGGTTATCGATTAGATTGCTTTTTTTACGTTTGTTAACTTATAATTCCGTTAATTCTGAACCTAACTTAACCTATTTTTTAAATAAAAAGATATACTTACCAACTGAACTTGTTTTACCAAAATTAGTTATAAAATATTTTTAAAAGTAAATTAAGTCAATAACTTGTATGTTTAAATTAAATCGGCGCTTCGTCTTTTTTTTCTTTTTTGATACTTATATATATATGCTTTGGATTTGTTACTAAGTTTCTTGCGTGTTTCCATGGGACTTCATGAATAATAACTCTATGTTTAAAATACTGTTATTGGCACTGTAACGTCTATTGTTGTAAAATTTTATTAATTTTGTAAATTACTGTTTGTTACCATAAATAAATAAATTAAAAAAAAAAAAAACTGATTTGTCACAATTAAAGTACTTTTTTTTTGTAGAACGATCTTTAATATTTGTAAGTTGTTTTTATCCATTAATTTAGTACATAAGAAAAACATGTATTCCTGCATATTGTAAGTTATATATTTTTAGCAGGCAGTGAGTCAAGTGAGGGCAGTTCTGACGGCGAGACGCGGAGGCCTAGGCCTTTGCCACCGCCGCCACATCATGAACCTACACTTAAGGTATGTAATCAAAAGGGCTTTCTAAAGCGTTTATAGAATTAGGCGGCCCAGTGGATAATAAATTGAAAAATACGTATGTAAAAAGGGTTATAGTAAATATAGAATTAAAAACATTGCTTAATAATATAGTCTACTAATGGAAAAACTACATTTATTTATTTAAATGACTTTGTATATTTACTTTTGATGTGTATTTTTTTTATGGGTGAAAATGCTATTGTAACTCCGCCTGCGCTAACGGGGTACGCTGGCGGAGCACCAGTGAAGGGTGATAGATGAGAATGAAAACTGGCCAGTTAGCCTATCATGACGAATTTATCAGGAATTTCCATGATAGTTTCCAGGGAGGAACCGCGAAGAGGTAATATAATATATTATATATTCTTAGCAATGGGATTCAGAGATCAGTATCTGTCCATTACTAATATAATGTCCCCCAATATATTATATTTTACAATAGTATGAGAATATATATAATATAATAATATATTAACTATGAAAGTGAGCATAATTTTTTTTTTCTATTTAGAATTAAAAATAGCAGATGATTTAATTTAAGTAACTATTATTATTATATATTATCTATTTAATTAACTTTAGTTTTTAGAATAATATTTTTGTGTTTTTTCATCGACTTTGTTTGACACAAAGTTGATGAAAATCACAAAAACTATTAGGTAGATACTTGTTCCTTTCGTATCAATTATAAATAAATAAATAAATAAATTATGGTTTATTTTTAATCAGTGTCTTATAAATACTACCAAAGTTTAAAATAACACTAGTTTTAATCTTTTTGTTAAGGAAGCTCAGGAATATATAAAATTGTATGGGATCTCCTTTCCGAACAGATGGTGGGCGGCACGGGTGCAGGCGCGCCAGTACCGGGCGACTATTCGCCGTCGACGCAGGATAACTCGTCGTCGAGTGCTGCCGACTCCCGCCGAAGGCATCATCCGTTCTCCAAGCACGATCGCAGGCATAAGGTATCTATCTATTTTAGTTATTCAGTGTTGTCATATATAATTTTTCATTTTTAATCAAATGTCAAATATTTTTTCTCCAAAATCTATATTTTTTCCTTCGTTTTTACCTATTCACAAAGTTCAAATTTGTGAATAGGTAAAAACATTTCCAAACTCATTTCACTTTTCTCCAAACATTTCTCTAACAATTTTATTTATTCTAAATTTTTATTTAAAAATATGAGACATTGAGACCGATACTGAGGTGCCATTTTTCTATATCTTTTTTTTTTTTTCATGTAACTTAGAATGGCAAACAAGCTGACGGCTCACCTGATGGAAAGTGGTAACCATCATTTATAGAAATCTATAGAGATAGGTATCTCTAACATCAATGTATGTTATGTGTTCATACTGTTTATACAGTCTAGTTCCATTTCACTTATGATCAATCATGAAGCATTTCTATTTACCAAATCGAGATTGGACCATCAGAATGTATAATTCAAAATTTTAATAATTATTATTGATATGTGTAAAATTAGGCTGGTTTATTTAAATTATAATAACATTTTCCCAACAATTGTTTCTCAGGAATTTTCAAAGAGCAAAGACTCCAAGAAGAACTCTTCACAAATAACGACCGCGCCCACTGTACAAAATTGGGGTCCACAGGTATTTATTTACTAGTATCCCGTGGTTTCCCCCACTTGAATCTGTATTTAAAGTGTCCTATATGTTAAGCTAGGATATAACCTACTTGGGTACCAAGTTTCATTCGAAGCCGATCAGCCGTTAAAGCAATGCAAACTTCTAAACATTCAAACTATATTACAATACTTCACATTTTTTTATATTAAATTTGACCGCGTTTGACAACAATCTTACCTGATCTTAAGACAGTGAGGTTTAAGATAGATAGATGCTCTTTGTTGTTTCCTCCAAAAGATTACAATAGTAAACATAAAGACAAATAATTACAAGAAAGGTTCACGCTGAGGAAACAATGGGCGGCGGCCTTATCGCTAAGTCGCGCGTTACTCAATGAGAATGTAGCTTTTTACAGGTAAAGGAATTTTGAAAGTGGTTAAATATTTTTCAAATTTGTCACAAGACAATTTTTCTTTTTAATAATATTAGATTAGTATGATTGTCTAGTATTTATTATTATTATTGTATGCAGGGCTCACACGGCGTGCCTCTGTTCGTGGAGAAATGTGTAGAGTTTATAGAGCGAGAGGGCTTGGCGTCCGAAGGGCTGTACAGAGTGCCTGGCAACCGGGCGCACGTGGAAATGCTCTTCACTAAGTTTTATGAAGGTAATTTCATTGTATTTGGAACTATTATAATTACAGGGCATGGAGGACTATGGTGTGAATAACACCATAGTCCTCGGGAAGGGCAATGCAATGGGTACCGTGAGCCGTGCAATACATTTCGTGATGTTCATCACTATAGGGCGTTACCATCGCCCTATAGAGCTTTCATGTGGGTGTGCTATTAACTTGTTTACATTCTAAGTTGTATAAAAAAACTCATTCTAAGCATTATAAAAAAGTCAGTTATGCAGATATCTAAAACATCCTTAAAAGGCCGGCAGCACACCTGCAATGCCGCTGGTGATCATGGGCGGCGGTAGTCACTTACCATCAGGTGAGCCGCACGCTCGTTTGCCCCCTGTGTTGTAAAAAAAAAAATAATAACGTGATGGACGTTTTCTGCGTAGTTTAGTTCCAATTTATTGTAGTATATTTGGTCCCTCGAGCCGGATATTATTCAGTGACCAATGATGATGACATTGATGCACAGATTACAAGTATCAAATTATTAAATTCTATCATTTTAACTGACTACAAAAGTTATCATATCTATATTTTTTTACTTTAATAATTAAAAAATGTGTTTTATGTATGGTTTATTCGCGTTTTATTTTTTTAATGGGTATCACTAGTGCAAAGTTTATGTATGGTCATGTTCATATCGTTCACTTCCAGATCCAAACATAGACCTAGAGTCGCTAGACATCCCTGTCAATGCCGTAGCAACCGCACTCAAAGATTTCTTCTCAAAGAAACTGCCACCGTTACTTGACGAAGAGAGTATGGCGCGGTTAGAAGACATTGCAGGTATTTTGATGTTTCTATTTCTTTTGGGAATTTAAGACGATTTTCACAACTTTGCTCGTGTAAAATTATGGCTCATTTTATATGGAATTTCGATTATATTTCAGTCACATTTTAACAAAATTCAAACGTCACCTATAGAGATAGGCTTCTATTTTAGTTTATATTCTACTGATGCATTATTTTTTAAAAGAACTTAGTTTTATTTCTAAAACTAGATCCTGTTTAAATAAATATAAACAACAATAACTAGGATACTTTGTTTATTAAAACACTAGCATTAGCTCAATATTTAAAAAAAAAAACTGCATGTATACTAAATATTCTAAGATTATATCAAATTTGTGAATATTAAATTTTGTAGTTAAATTTATGGAGTGATAAAATGTTACAATAATCTTTTTTAATATAATAAACCATAAAATGGTCTGTATATGATGAAGTAATAAGATTAATTCTCCACTGCTGAACATAGGATCCTTATGACGATGGTGGACGGCTGAAACGAGGATGATAATGGAGGATTAAGATATTGATCGGTTACATTGTATTGGTCGTGTGTGCAGCGATGCGCGGCTGCATGGCGGGCGGCGTGGAGCTGAAGGACCGCAGCTGGCGGCTGCTGGCGCTGCGCTCGCTGCTCAACTCCGCGCTCACCGCCGTCGCACGCGCCACGCTCGACTACCTGTTGCACCACTTCGCCAGGTCGCCACCCACACCATACACACGGCGCAGTACCAACGGCAGGGGGACAGTACAACACACACACACATGTACACACGTATCAATGGACACACATACACACATGTACATTTTGTAATTTAAGTAAATGATGTGTGTGGAATTTCCCAAAAATACAAATGAAGCATATTTTCTCTCTCTCTCTCTCTCTCTCTCTCTCTCTCTATGTCCTAAAATATTCATTTTACGTGTACGCATGAATATAATTATTGTGCTACTACCTCTCATGTAGTCTATTCCAATGTTCTCATGCGAGAACATTGCCTTTAGAGTACAACTACAAATTAATGCTTTGTTTTTTAGTAAATTTATAATTAAGTTATGACCTATTTGTGTCACAGCAACACAATGATAAGAGTGTGAGCATTGCGAGCGACAATTTTAATGATTGAATGAAAACATTAACGTTATATTCAATAAAAAAAAATATAGTTATATATGTATACAAATAATTGATCCCAAGGTATAAGTATTACAAGAAACGAGATAAAGGAGGCAATAATGCTAACAGATTTATTTGTAATTAGTAGGCATGGTATGGATGCCGATTCGATATCTATATATTGGGATTTTCTGAACATTGATAGCGGCAAAAATGTCATCATCTATTTATTTATTTGAAAATTACTCACCACACTTACAGTCTTCCAAAACGTGTAGTGAGCCATAGGCTATTATTTCCATGTAGCCCATATCGGTTGGATATCTATTTTCGAATATGTTAAAAGTGTTATCCAATATTATTTTTTTAATAACAGACTTTTGACATATTCGTTTTTGACCAGTAGTAGTATAGATACAATATCTACTACTACTACTAAAACATGTATTGTTATATATTTACCCTCTCCTATTAAGTAGCGGACTCGTCCGGGCATCTTAATTTTTTTTTCATTTGTATGTATAATGATACAAATACTTGATTTAACTATTTTATTTATATATCAAAGCCGTTGGATCACTGACTGTTGGTTCTTACACTGTGTCTATCATATAATTGTAAAATAAAACAAAAAATTCGTCCTTCAGAGTGGCGGACAATTCCAAGTTGAACTCGATGGACAGCAAGAACCTGGCGATATGCTGGTGGCCCACACTCCTGCCCGTGCAGTTCTCGGACATGGGCCGCTTCGAAATGACGCGGCCCTACCTCGAGGACATCGTGCAGACAATGATCGACCAGCACCCATTCCTGTTTCGGGGGCAAGAGGCGTTTGTTATGGTGTGAGGACAGTGTGTGAGTAATTATTTATTTACATTTTAATGCACAGTATAAATATATGTGTACTAATTAAGTAATAATAAATGAACAATTTTAACCGATTTCAAGGCTGGGGATATGGCCAGTTAATTTTCTAAAACAAAACTACGAGATTGTTTGTACGAAACTAAATTACATATATTGTAGAATTGGTACTCGTACAATACCAGAGGGAGACTGTACAAAAGTCGTTTGCTAGGGCATATCTGTCCCATTCGTTTTTCTACCGTAAAGTAGTTGTGTTTGCATGGCCTGTGTTTCGGTTTGAAGGGTGGGATATAGTAGTGAATTTACAGGGTACAGAGGAATAATACCTTAGTCCTCAAGAATGGCAACGCATAGATGTTATCATGGGCGAAACAGTACACTCTGTTATGTTCATGGTTACTGCTTACGTCTATAGGCGACGATTATCGTGTTCCATCAGGTGGACCGTCAGCTTGTTTGCCATTCTAAGTTGCATAAAAAAAAATGTAATATGATTTGTCTTTTATCTTGCATAAAAAAAAATCGTGCTACAAATAATCTGACTAGCTTTAATCATTTCCATTCCAGGAACCCACAATGCAGGTTGCATTCGTGATGGACGACGTGTGACGTCGGCGCCCTGTGACGTCACCGCGACATATGTCCTCGGATACCGCAAAGGATGCCAGTGCGTTTGTGTAACGGTCGCGTTACTTTGCTTTAAAGTGAGTCCGTCGGTTATGGGCGTTTTGTTTTTGCATTGCTCATTTGCGGCGGTCATGTGATTATGTACACGCATTAGTGCGTTTAGTTATTTGGAAGCTTCGAAATTTGAACGCTGCGTGCGATTGCACTTCCGAATCTTTGAATTCGTGCTCTGTACAAGAAAAAAATATTTATATTTTTTAAAAGAATGCAGTAATGGCGCGTTCCGTTTCACGTTCAATTGATATAATTTTTTGCGTGTCCATAATCAGATATTAGATTGTTTACACCAAAACAAAATGTTCTAATGTAGTCGTTTATTTACGAACGTATCACATGTATTTGATATTACACGTACGCTTGCACCATCACAATTCCGCTTTAAAAGACGGACAGACTATACGTTTTTTATGCCAACTATCCAGATAAGAGAAATCAGTATTTTAAAATTAGAATAAATATATTATCTGCATCGTACATAGATTTAAGGGAAATTCGTGCACAAAAGTATTTAACGGATTAAATTAAAAAAAAAACAAGTTTTTTAAATTAAGTATTATTGGTAATATTAAAGTTGATATTCGAAATGGATGGCAACACCACGTAAGCACATTCCGTTCAGTCGATATGTAACTAATTAATTGTTAATTATTATTAATGATTATACATATGTGTAAACGTTGTTTTGACGTGGTTGTCGTCGAGCCGCTAGCGTGTTTGTGGTACTCTTCATTTTTTTGTTGTGTGAACGAGACAGGTATAGTTTTGGCTGTTGCGTTATTTAATAGTGGATTGAATGCGTGATAATGTATTGAGTATACGAAATAGATTTGCTGGAGCATTAAAAAGCGTTGAAAAAGAATATTTTTTAATATTTGGAACAAGTATCTGCAATTACATCACAAAGATCACAGTTACCATAGTGATCTACGAAGAGTTATTCGATTAGAAAAAAAATGAATTGTTTGAATGTAGGTTTCTACGAAGGGTAAACAGTTTATGTAAATATTAATAACGAATATCAAACTACTAACCTATAGATAAGATTTTTCCATATATGTGTGTGTAGTTTTAAAAGAAAATATTATAGACCACCGACATATTTTTTTTTAAAGATAATTTTATTTGTAGCTATTTTTACGGTATTTAAAAATATACTACCCATTCTTAGTAGATACAAAATCAATTATTGTTTCTGTATTAACCAATAGATATTGAGAACAGAGTTAAATAAACTGAAATAGAAGACTTTGGAAGTCTCTGGATGTAATTGTATAATACATTTATTTGATTAATAACTTAATCCAAAAGGTACATTATTTTTTTTTTTATGTTTTTATTGATGTGAACAAATATATTTTTCATACGCTTCTTAGTGTATAAATCAAGTATTTCTGTCTAGTATACTTCATACATTTTTTAAGGTCATATACTCATTTCAACATTGGTAATCTCACATATAAGTAATTTTTACATACACAATGTAAAGTCAGGGTATAACAAGCTAAAATCCAGTAATATTATGGAAAACTGACCAACTTTTCTTATAAAGACGCCAAAATATGGAGAAAGTACACTCATTTTGCGCGGTGTGTATGAAAATTTAAACTAAAAAAAAAAAAAAAAATTAATTTAAAAAAATAAAAAAAAGAAACTGAGAAAGTATGTTTCTTGAAAAAGTTATCCAGTTTTACAAATATCCGCTGAATTTTGGCTTGTTAAATGCCATGTATTTGACTCGTCGTATTTTTTATTTATTTATAATCTTTTTATCAATTTTATTAGTAATTTGTATGAAAGTATGATTAAATGATCTTATGAATTAACATTGTGGAATAATATTATCCGTTCGAACGGCAGCTTTTACCGTTTTTTTTTTTTTTTATTGAGACTGATTTATACAACACTGTTTGTGGCGTATTAATTTTTTTTTATTGTAACAATTAGTCAGCAAAACTTTTTGTTCGAAATGTTTAGTTGAATTTTTATAAATCGCCGAAAATATAAAATATATATATATATATATATATATATATATATATATATATATATAAAACAGTTGATGATCTGTTTAATGATAATACAGGTTTTTATTTTCACTTTTAAAAGCAAATCTCTACAATGAGTATGAATGAATTAGTAACAAGTATAATATATCTAAAAAAAAATTGCTAATATTAATAAATTATAATTGAGAAAAATGTTTACACATATTTTTTTTTCATATTTCTAATTTTTAATAATCGAGGAATCTCAAAAACATTTGGGAATATTTTCCGATTGATTTAATTATTCATAAAAACGTCAAACAATGCTTTGTTATTTTCTTTAAATAAATAGTTATCATACTATCTTACTTTGCATTGGTTACGGGTTCGATTCCCAGTCAATACAAACATATTAATAAGCATTTAGATTATATTAAATTGGATGTTTTGTACGTATAAAATGCATATATTTATAAAAAAAAAGTAAATCATTTGATCTGTTGTCAAATATATACATAGTACAAGCTCTCTACAGTTTTCTCTCTAGATGGCGCTCTACAATAACGATTAGTTTTTATTTATTAATGTGTCTTCAATCTCACTATTCAATTTGCCTCTCTAAAATAATTGTAATGGATTTTTGACATTTTTATGAATAAAACATTTAGTCGATTAATTTGAATCTCATAGTGTTGGAAACGAGTATAATATATATTGATTTATAATAGATTGAAACCGTGTGTGAAATGACTTTTTAGAAGAGTATTCTACCAGTTTAACAAATGATTGTACCTAAAGATAACATGCCCACAGCCACCTTATATCACTGCACTGCATGCAGTTGACAGAAAATTCGTCCTCACACGTGAGAACCTTATGGTTGCGTACAGTGCGGTTTTAGAGGAGTTTTCTCTCGTGAACGCTCAAGCTTTGGAATAAACTCCTTGCCGAGGTTTACCTTACAGACTATATATGTATGGGGTTCTTAAAAGGTTATATTAAGGTTTGAACCTCTTGGATTTCAACCAGATATACCTATATTGCTAGTAATGAGACTGTTGGACCCCATTACTAACAATCCCCACTCCCTCTAATTTTACTGGTAGAACACTCCTATAAACTCTCTTAAGCTAACGATTTTGATTTCACCCTGTATACATATACATTACTAATTTATTTGGCTTAATTGATAATATGCTTTTATTTAATGCATTTCACATTTTAAACTTAATTAAACACATTCTGCTAGTTCGGGAGATGTGCAGTTATGACTAATTTAAGGGGTATGTAAATTTAATTGTTTATTTGCCGCTGTGAGAGGCGTAACATAACAGCAATTCGTTTGTATATAGGACGGCCTATTTCGTATATTAAGTGTTTATGTATAGACTGATGTAGTGTGTATTTTGTGTATCTTATGTACTGTGCGGCTGCAAGCAATATTTTTGTACACTTCTGTTTACTAACGAGGGTAGTTTTAAATTATGATTAAGAAAAAAAAGTGTGGTTATTTGTATGGATAATTATTTTGTTTAATTCCGCTACCATTATTAGTATGCGTGTAACTGCAAATACTTGAAGATCGACCACAATTATTACTACTAGAAGTGCCACATATATCAATATTAGCTATCAATCTCCGACTACCATTTTGTTCACGCATGTTTCGCGACACGTGTTTCACCTCTAAACGAGGCATCTTCAGGCAAATTAGAGCGCTGCTCGGAGCCTAGTGTTAACTGTTCGGCACCCAACTGCGAAACTGTGTTACACCATCAGCTCCAGTGTCATAGTTTCATTTTTTTTACTAATATGAGCCAATTTAATATTTAATAATTTTGCCCGCTCTAACCTACTAATGTAGGCCACATGTTTCATGTAACTTTCCTTTAGCCTACAAAGATGGAATCAGTATTTAATGCCATCATAAAAAACTTATCATTTCGACATTTGCAAGGAATAATATTGTAACTTAGTTTTAGGTGATTTTGAAAAAGTCTGTTTTGGACTAATGTTTTTACAATGTTATTCCTTGCAAGTGACAATTTGAAATAAATTTAAATAGATAGTTTTATGATAAATTAATATTGTTTAATAATTTTTAATAGATTTCTCTTCGATTTCACGTTATAATAAAAGATTATGTCTCGTTAGTAAACAGTTGTCTTTGATGTTATTATTTTTTGCCAATGTAATTCCAACGCCAATAGTAATGTAAGATACCGGTTTTCGAATTTGTATTTAATTTAATTTTATTTTATTTTATAATCGTTTCATAATATTACTATTACAATGTGAAGTGATAAAGTTTCTAAAATGTGTATTTAAATTTAAAACATTCTTTATTTGGCATTTATTTCATACACTTTTGTATTTGAAACATATTTTTTTTTTATCGATTTTAGTACATTTTGCTAGTTCGAGCGTTATCTTCCAGTGTATCAATATGAACCTTATGTTCATAGTTTAAAGTGGTATTTTGAATGATATTGTTTATACTCAGTCAAGTTTTTAACTGTACTTTTTTATATATATATCGCAAAGAGAAGTAAGTACATATATATGAGAAGGCTTTTATAAGTTGATGCAGTTTTAAAGGATTTGTGTTAGCGTAAACATAGAAATGAGATCAATGTAACTATTTATAAGTATATATTATTTAATATATTAGATGTCTCCAAATAAGCTTAGGTAAGGTGTATTAACGTAAGTTTTTATCGATATAACAACGTCATTATATCAACCGTCTCTGTCGCACGCACGCGTCGCGGTCAAAGTACGACCTCATGACGCGTGGGTGAGCGAGACAGATTATCATGTCCATTAGGGGAATGATGCGAGGGGTTTTTTATATTTTACTATGAATCGAAAAAGACATAGAGCCTACCTGTGTTTAGATTTATTTTTCTAGAGGTTTTCGCTTTTCTTAGATCTCAAAAAGAGAGAAAGTTTCATTGTGAAAAACACTTCCCCTAATGATTTTTAAAATGCAATTTCTATATAAATATTCGATGTAAATATTGTACATTCATTCATTTATTTTTCGCGTAATTTATTTATTGATTTTTTTTTATTATAAAGAGATTTTAAAGCCATATCTTTGTTACTGTATGCAATATAATTTGTGGAGTGTTTATTTTTTTTAGTTTTTTTTTAATATCTATATTATTCACAGCACATTCTGAGTTGTTTTTTTTTTTCTATGTGCCATTTATGTTGGAAACGTATGGTGATTTCGGTGATTCCTAAAACTTCGAACATGTCGAAACTTTCCTTTTTGTACGAAATTTTTTGTCGTAGGTTCTCGAATGTTCTAAAGTAGAAATCAATGTACGCTTGCCCGACTGAGCCCTCACTGGCTGGTCGATATTGTGTGTTTAAATCGCTAGAATTGTTGGTTCCCGCGTGGTCTCTGCTTGCATAAGTGATTACTAGATGGATAGTGAGAGATTTAGACACCTTTCACGGAGTTTTTGCCTTTAATGTTACGGATTAGAATGTGGAAGGTTTTTAATAGTTTCCTTAGGCGTTGTCTCGATGCGAGTGCGGGGTTATTTACTACGTCTGTAGTAAGGTTAGGCGATATATAACATATATAGTTACAATATCTATATATTGGCCAAATAACGAATATATTAAATACGGCTATTATTATTTACAATATTATGTAATATATAATATCAAAATTGATGATGACCTTTTTACCATCATCATCGATGTCCAGATGAATCCATATAGATATGGGAGTAACCCATTCCTAAACTGTAGCACAAGTGGTGTTACAGCTATGCAGAGTCGCATTTTCATACATGTAATCACGTGCATTGTAAACATTAGATATCATATCTCATAGTTTATTTCTTTTTCAATTTTAATAAAAGGGGAAATGTCTTCAAAAACCTATTTAGCTATTGTTTAACTCACTCTTGATTACAAATGAAATTTAATATTCAAAACAAAGTAATATTAATAATTAAAATAGGTTTGTTTTGTGAATTTTAAGTTCTTATTATAATTATGTTTATCGAATGAGAAATTAAATATGAAATTAATATATTTAGGTCCACTCCTTTCTGAATTGACAAGCCATGCAGATGTTGCCATCCTGTAGCTGGTATATCTTTTTAAGCAATTAAAAAATATTTAAAACTACAATAATCATTGTTGTTAACTTGGAATTATATTTTAAGTAACCGTGACAGAGATAGAATTGTAAATCATTTCATTGTGACAGACTAATTGTTTGTAATATCTCAGTGACAAAAACTCAGTGGAGTTTGGAGAACTCAGCCGAAACTCGATTTTCTTCATTCTCAGCCGAGTCTCTGTGATGTAACATAACTTTTTGTTTTTTAAGGATATTTCATGTCGATCGTTTTTGGTTGGTCTCTAAGTCTAATATACAATAAAAGCGGTTAACAGTCTATCAATAGAAGGCAGCACTCTCACAAATTGCTAACTAATAGTTTGAAATTATTGGGATTATTTTTTCCGTGGTGTAACTAATAATACAATTCGGATAGCAACGATATGAGTTCGAATTCTATTGGATTGAGTTACCATAACGTATTTTTTCAACCTATCAAAAATTTAGGAGTCTCAAATGCAGAATGGTACATTAAAAATATTATCTAACTAAATGACCCACTTAACTTCGTACCATCTACAACGCTACGTAAGTAATCCGAAGTAGCGGTTTACATACAAAATTTACTATTTTTAATTTTTCAGCTAATCTTTAGGGTTTCTCCGATTTTTTTTTTCTTTTAAACCAATCTCACATATTAACTTTAACAACAACAAAAAAAAAAAGTCAAGATTAACTTTTGCTTTTAGCGAGACTCATGAACAGCAATTGATTTTTATAAATATAGACTTACCTTTTCATAAGGTACAACGTCCTACAAACCTATTTTAAATATTCGTATTTTTTGTCACTTTCTTTCAAATTGGGAATTCTACGTAAAATAAAAAGACAAGATTCTTAATAGTTTGGCTTTTTAAGAATATGGTGGTTAGAAAAGAATAGAAAATATTTATTGGCAGAATTATACTATATTTGAAGCATGAAAAGGAATTAGCTGATGCTGTGACTGTCCCAGTGCAACGTGTACAGCTGCACAGCGCTGGTTTTCAGCCAGTCCTTAACAAAATATAGTTTATTTTTGTTAGTGTTTACATATTTGCACGTGACTACACACGCCCGCTCGTTTCAATATGGCAACTTTATATTTTCTCATATTAAGGTAGAGTGATTAATGTTGTGATAATATAGGCCCGAGTGGTGTGTCCCAGCCAATGGTGTCTCGGTCGGTACATCAATTTTGCTATGTGCGTCTCAATTACTGTACAACACAGTTCAAAGGAATGTGTCATATTTTATAATAAATAACCATCTATGTAATGATGATATTGTTTTATTTACCTGTTCTTTACCTTTGGGGCATCGTTCGGAAATGTTTGCGGAAATATATGTGGATTGTTTTTTTTACCATTATTCATAAACGATTTGTTTGTCACTGCTCTGCAGAGTTTGGCCCAGCCCCTGCGTCCTGGCTTTATTGGTAAGTAGGCTGGATTACGTGATGGAATTGTTAGTAATGGGGGGATTTAGAAGAAGAGGAAAGAAAGAAAGAAAGAAGACAATTGTTAGTAATGAGAGGGTTTAGAAGAAGAGGAAAGAAAGAGACATTTATTGCCAACAACAAAAAGAGCTACATTAATTATCAACAGAAAATTAACTTTATATTTGTTATTGCCAATGTGGCCGCCGCTCGGCATGTGCTGCAGCGAAATAATTGTTAGTTTATTTTCCATTACTATCAATCAACCCTATGAGGAAATAACCGTGATTAATTTATTTTTAAACTCGTCACGATGGGCTAACTGACCTGCCTTTTCATACTTACCAATTATCTTTCACTGCCGCCCCGCCAATGTATACATAGCACAGACAAGGTTATCATTCCATTATCACCCTATGATAGAAGTAGGCTGGATTTTTTCTCCACAAACCATTGTGTTGCATTGCATGTCGAAAGAACCCAACTATAATTGTAAATTGTAATTATAATAATTTGTAAAATATATAAAAAGTACGGGTCCTGGTAACCTTAATAAAGAATTTTTTATTATTATTATACATACTGTACGAATACCCACATCATCCTCTGTTTATTTTCATTAATAATGATTTATAGCTATAACGGCCTAGAGCAAGATGATAAATAATGAAACACCAATTTAAAAATAACCAGTTATAAAATTTTATTTCTCATCCAACACAAGCATTACATCCAAGACGTGTTACTATTAAAATCACAGATCTCTCTTTGTATATTTACAGTAGCCTATGAAAAAATACAACAAATATGTAAGTATGTATCATATATTTATAAGTAAATAATTGTGAAGACTAGAATTTAAATGATAAATCTTAATTTAAATAAGTTATATATTGAGTTCCCTTAAGGTTATAATAGAATGCAACACTAATGGAATACTAAGGTATTCAATCATTTGTAAAGTTTATAAGTTATAAACAATACTAACAACAGTTAGGTTTTAACATAGTCATTTCAAAATATCCATCCATCGTTTATATCTAAATAAGTGCTTAAGTTTCACCACAAAGTGCCTGAGTATCGACTTATAACTGCGAGTCCCCTGTTCCTTGCAATATGCAAATGCAATGCAATGTCTGATACTTGTAAATATATTTACTTATTATTCAAGTATTATATAAGATGTATTAAAATAGATATACCAAAATACTACTACTATAATATCATAATACTAGTTTGGTATTACAACAATGCTTTGCAAATTGCATACTTTTTTTTATGCATTATGGAATAGCAACCAAACTGACGGAAGGTAACCGTCGCCTATCTACGTGAACTAGATTTTGAAAGCCACAGAATAAACTCGCGTCTATAATATTTTTTATGATTTGCCACTCCTGAGGACTAATGTTTCAGTACTCAATTTTACCGCAATATGTTTTCATAACAATAAAACGAGCATGTGACCCACCTGATGGTAAGTGACTACCGCCGCCTATGAACACCTACAACACCAGAGACAATGCAGATTTGTTACCGGAGAAATCCTACATATGGCAGTAAAATTGTAAACTTTCAAACCCAAATACAATTATACAAATACAGCTGTATAGACGCAAAATATGTGTGGAACAGAGGTAGGGTATTTAAAGTCTTCCTTTAGTGCAGTAAAATACATTTTAATCCGTCATTATAACTATGGTGGTTAGAGATAAGAAGAATTACCTTTGTGTATGAAAAAGGGTCAGAGTAGCGTTGTAGTAGCAGGTAGGCAAATTTGAATTGAAATAGGGAAAGCAAAACTTCCGCTTTTTAATGATGGTAAAAATGGACTCTTGCAACACTAGGTAACACTAGGGGTGTTGGTAGAAACCATAATATATCCTTTTTTGAAAAACCCCATACCGTAGTCTCCAAGGAAAACCTCGCTCTTTCCTCAGCCTGAGCGTTCGCAAGAGAAAATTTCTTTGATAATTTACTTGAATTATCAGATTACACCAGTCTCTTATAAAATATAAAACATGCAACATGAAAGCCTAAAAATATATATACGAGGTCTGTCCGGAAAGTTCGTATAAAAGTGTTCTGGAATGCGAGAAAGAGGAGTGGGGAGGCCAGGTAAGCGCAGGACCCCTTCCTTATGTCCCTAACAATGCTTCAGTTCTGGTCTGACCGCCGTGCGGTGCGAACTGGCTTGTCACGCCATCTGTATACCTCTTAACGAAACCCCGTCGGCATGGAGCCCGCTTCCGTTGAAGAGCAGCGCGTCGTAATCAAGTTTATCTCGAAACATCGGCAAGAATGGCCGTGAAAGCAAAGAGTGGAAGACATCCGGGGAACCACGAACAAAAAAATCAAGAAAATCCCGCTCAAATGTCAAGACAATGTTGATTGTTTTTTTCGATGTTCGGGGGATTGTCCATCAAGAATTCGTCCCTCCAGGCCAGACAGTTGATGGAAAATTCTACGTCGATGTGCTCAGACGCCTCAAAGCTCGTGTGGCACGAGTTCGTCCAGAATTGGCGCGAGAGGGGCGTTGGATTCTTCACCACGACAATGCCCCTGCCCACACCTCTCTTGTTGTCCGTGAGTTTTTGAGTAAAAATTCCATTACGGTGACCGAACACCCCCCTATTCGCCGGATTTGGCCCCGTGTGACTTCTTCTTGTTCCCAAAAACCAAATTGGTACTTCGGGGGCGGCATTTGGGGGACATAAATGAGATAAAAAAAGCTACGACGGGGCAGCTGAGAAACCTACAACCAGAGGACTTTCAAGGAGCCTTCTCACAGTGGAAACGGCGTTGGCACAAGTGCATTATGTCACAGGGGGAGTACTTTGAAGGGGATAAAATTGATTTACCTGAATAATTGTAAAATAAAAATTTTAAAAAACTTTTATACGTACTTTCCGGACAAACCTCGTATATACTGTTACTACTCTAGCGCCATTCTGGAGGGACTTGAAACTGTTATTTACAGCTAACATTTCTACTGTTACCTCATATGAGATATTTCTCTTTACGTCTATCCTCCATAATTATAACCATGACGGTAAGTGATACGACATTTTGCCGTGCTACGTGACATTTTAAAAGCACCTATAAGATACAATACTTTGCATTATAGCTGGGTAATATCTGGCAATATTTATATATTGTAGTTACAATATTTATACATATACTGGCCCAATAACAGATATATATAACTATCGGTTATCCAATATATAAAGTCTAAAAGGAGAACCCGTTCGTAATGAATGGGTGCACATCAACGTCTAAAAGAACTCAATATATAAATATTAGATATTATCCATCTCTGAATTCCGAAGCTTCTGTATTCTTGTCCAATCAGAGTGTGATGTAAGTTGTACGAAGATTTATTTTATCGCCCTCACTTTTATTCATTACTTTTATATTGAAAATGTTACACCTATGGTGAATGGTTTCGAAAACTCAGATTTTCCATATAAACTTATCGAGTAGTGTATGCGTTACTTAAATCTTTGTACAACACACGCTAGCCACTCTGTTCCTAATTTCGGTTGAGCATTGTGCAGTGCCAGAACAGTTCACACACAGCCCGCGCCCCAGCACCCGCACCAGGGTATGGAGCCGTCGTTGATTGGAGCTGACAACTTCCTGGACTTGTGGGTGCATGCAGACCCCAAGGAGTTCATTGATGAACACACGCTGTTTGTGCGCTCGTGTTCCGAGTGGGATGTTGTCATTTCCTGAAAATATGGGGCAGTTTCATAAACATAAAATGCGATTTATTGAATTTTTGTTTGTAAAATGTAACATTTTTGTTTGTAAAATGTAACGTTTTGATATTTGATAATATTCTGTTCTTTTTATATGAAAGTGAATAAAAACAACAATAGAAAGAAAAAATTGCCCCAATCTATACTGATTTTTATGACATTTTTTAATTAATATTTTTTTGTTACGATGAGGTTAGGTTTGTTATTTAATAGTATATTATCGCTTCTCGGCCTTTTGGCTAAGATCAAAGTGTACTTAATAGTATATGGAGGGGAGTTTGGCTTCATACCCTTAGAAAGGATGTACCACAATCTCGTGTTTTTAAATTTAGAAGGAGCAAAGTCTGAACTAACGAGAAAACAAAAACACGGAGTGTGACCTGTAGTGCTCGGCGATGGATCGGGTCAATTGATAGAGCCTTGAAGAGGTCTATACCCAACAACAGGAGAACCCAAGCGAAGTTAGTTTTTACCTGATAACTATCCCGCTTGTAACGCGGGCCGGAACTGGAAGATGACATAGTGTTCCTCGGTCGATGACGGTTGCAGTGTTTGTGCTTGCCCAACTCCTGGACTTCTTCGATCAATCTCTCGTTGTCACTCTCAACTTGCACTGGCACTCCATTTTTCGCTGTACCATTTTTAGCATCCTTTTTTTTATCCCGTCTTTTCCTTTCCCTCTTTTTGAACGTTAAAGAGAATCGTTTTCTTTTTTTTGCTTTTGGAGAATCTGGTCTTTTAGGTACTGTTGATTTCTCCCTTTCAGACCGACTGGTATCATCATCAGGTGGTGGCACATGAGATTCTGAATCAGTTTTTAGCGTCATTTCTGTGCGTGTCGATGAATCGGGCTCTCCTGTTCTATATGCTACTTCTTTCTCTAGATTAGCAAGTTCCATGCGTCTTAACCTTTTAGGCAGTTTATTTACTGTTGCGTAAATAGGTTCTTCGTTGTCTCCGACTGGTGCCGATCGAGACCTAAAAAAGAAGTCGAACTTCTTCGGTTTGATCGGAATCTGTCTCTCTACAAAGACGACGGTGCTCGCTACTTCAGTCGTAGTTGTCTGACCATCGTCTCCGGACCTTGGGCTTGGACTGCTTGGAATCGGCGTCGATTTCGGATAATCATAAGTGAGTTCTATATTCTTTTCGGTAACATATCTCGGTGCTTCGGATTCTTTTGTATTTTGCACAAGTGCTGGCGGATTAGATTCGTGATTTTGACAGCAACATTGTCTCTGCATTATTCGTTGGGTGTTACACATAAATACAGAGTTTTGTTGTATGAAAGTGGTTTGTATCGATGGTGTTGATTGGACATCGCCGAGCAAGTCTTCAACGTTACCTCCTGTGTGGAATCTGGGAGGTTGGTAGGGCGCCACGACGAAACCTGGGGGAGGTGCGGGAGCGTGGTATGGCGGTGAAGTTACCGATTCAAAGAACTTTGGAGTAGCGGGTGTATCATGTACTATTACGTCCACAGTGCGTTCGACTCCATTGTGTGCTGTATTTGGTTGTTGTGCATTGTTCTGTGTTTGTGCCATTGTCATTGGTGACTTGTAATCACTGAGTCCCGCCGCCTCTGCCTGACATTCTTCGCATGTGCATGGTGATTCGCCGCCGCTCTGAAAAATAAGATTAACGTATGTCATCGTATACGTATCAAACAGAACAGGAACTGATGATATTTAATTTTGTTTATATACTCTGCGAGGACAATACAAATATGCTCAAGTCAAACTTTAATGACAATTTCATTGTATAAATGTACAATATTTAATGTTATGTAATTGTATTGTATGACCGATGTATGGGGAGGCTGTGTAAATTCTCTTTAAGACACAATAAATATTTACTCTATTCTATATTCAAAATTATAATCCATAATGTTCGGTACTCATTCCAAGATCCAAGTAGAGATTTCAGCTATGCACGAAGAAATGTATGACATTAAATTATGCTTAAGGATTTTGTTGGACTAGGTGTTATTTTGCAGAAGTCCATATCACTGGTTCATCGTATCATATCAGTCGTCAACTGTCCACTGCTTAACGTAGGTCTTCCCTTATTGAAGGTATATTTTTATATATATATAATTTATATGTATAATTCCATTGTACTTCCGATCAAACTTTTTATAATTACTCCTCTTCGTCTAAAGGTTGCCTGGAAGAGATCGCTTTTAGCGATAAGGTTGCCCATTGTTTTCTCATGTGATTATTTCTTGTAATTGTTTATATCTATCATACGCACAACGGCCCAAATGGGAGGCTAAGTGCGGAAAACAGAGTCTTTCTTTATATCTATCATAAGTTTACTATTGTAATCTATTAGAAGAAACAATAAACAGTATCTATCTATCTATCTATATTGCCAGTAGTTGGTAAACTTGGCAGACGGATTGACAACCGCAGTTTAGTTTGCTGATATTTTAGGAGGGATGCTGCTGTCCATCCCTTGACCATTAAGTCGCCTCTTACGACACTTAAGAAAAAGGAAGGGGTGACTCTTTCTATGCCGGGACCACACAGATATATATCTTGTAAGTGGTGGTAGAATTATTTTGTTTAATTCCGCTATCATTAGTTTTTTTTTATACAACTTAGAATGGCAAACAAGCTGACGGCACACCTGATGGAAAGTGATAACCGTCGCCTATAGACATGAGCGGTACCATGGACATAACAGAGTATACTGTTTCGCCCATGATAGCCCCCATGCGTTGCCATTCCTGAGGAATCAGGTGTTATTCCTTTGTACCCAGTAAATTCACGCCATATCCCACCCTCCAAACCGAAACACAGCCATGCAAACACATGTTTGCGACTGCCAACACTAGAAGATTGATTATTATTGTTAAGCCTTTTTAAAGGACCAGACACCACTTGGAAAATACATCAATGTCATTACGTAACAAACAATACACGGCGCTGCGTTTGCAGTTTTAATTAAAACGTCCGTTTCCATTAAATCCGTGTGATTTTCGTCATTATGCATAAATATTTTCACGATTCACCCACACATAAATCTTTTAGCATTGTTATTATGTACGTATTTATAGAGTGTTAGCCACCTCATTGAAGCGGTAATGAATCATCGCCGGAAGTATAATATGTATTCTTCCGCTATATTTCTACCTATACCTCTTTAGTTCAGAGCGTGTTTACATTGTTTACATGATACTATTGTGGGTAAATTCCATTTGCAATCACGTCTTTTTCAATTATTTTTTTTTATACAACTTAGGAGTTTTATCAAAGGAAGACTTTGTACAATATTTTTGTGCAAAGTCTTCCTTTGATAACTATTTTCTATAAACTATTTTCGAATATATTAAAAGTGTGTTATCCAATATTATTTTTTGGATAACAGACTTTTAACATATTCATTATTAGACCAGTATATAAATAACTAAAATATAAAGCTATCGCTGTACATTGCTTTTTTTTATTGGATGATAATGGAATGGTAACCCCTCCCGCGCTATCGGTATACACCGGCGGGGCACCAGTGAAGGTGATAGGTGAGGATGAAGCAGGTCAGTTAGGCCATCGTGACAAATTCAACAAGAATTATTCACAAAGGTTTCCAGGGGGAACCACGTGGAGGTCGACCTAATAGGGCATTTTGCTAGCAATGGGGCTGTCAAACTCCATTGCCAACATTCTCTTTCCCCCCGCTGTACATTGCTTACCCCTACTATGTTTGCTTAACTAACCGTTTCACTTTCTGATAGTCGCGGCTTTATTTGCCACACAATTATAACATTAGTACATTTCCTTTTATTGGTTTAAATATTTTTTATGTACAATCATCATCGTATTAACCTTTGACTGTCCACTGCTGTACATAAACCTCCCCCTTCGGGGGTTTTGCCACTAGTTGTCACCTTTGGCAAGCAGATTGGCAACCGTAGTTCGGCTTTAGATCAATTTTAAGGACGCTGCTGTCTATCTCTTGCCCTCCCTTAGTCGCCTCTTAGACACCCACGGGAAAGTAACGGGGTGGCCTATTCTATGTATACCGGGACCATACGGCCATATGTATAATATATTTTAACAAAAATGTCTGTCCGTTATCTAATATCTAAAGTACAAGCTTTATTCAGTTTGGAACTAGATGGCGTAATATGTTCAATGGTATTTTATTTTATATAGGTATATTAGTAACCTAATTGCATCGGCAGACGTGAAATCAGGAGCAAGGTTCGCGGTGCTGAACCATCTGGCGTGACGGAAATACACGAAATCTCCTCGTTGGACGTAGAATCGTTTTAATATATTAAAAAGACTTAGCGTTAACTACTATAATAAAATTTTTACTAATTGATGTCTGTACTTAGCAGAATTACTGTACCAAATCTGTGTATTTAAAGTTGGTGTATTTTTAACTTGATACGCCATGTAGAATTAGTCTTTTTTTATTGATATTCCTATTTCTGTAATCCACCCGAACGATTTAGAGGCCAAAAATGTAGTTTAACCTAATATTATAAAGTAGAAAGATTATGATTTTTTGTGTATGTAATAGATTGACTCAAAAAATACTTAACCGATTTCAAAAATTATTAACGATTATTTATTTATATTAGAAATTATTAATAATTATCAACGAGTAACAGATTATATTATATTATTATATTATTCCCGAAAACTATATCATCCGGCCAGACTCATATTTTCCATTATTTTGAATTCAAGTTGTTTCGAGGACTGTCAACTCACCTCTATTTTTGTGTTTAGGTATGCTACGCCATATCTTAGTTATATGTGTACCGATTTTGATGATTACTTTTGCGTTATATCTGCATTAACAACATAATTTATTATGACTTAATTTCTTTTTTTATGGAAAAAATCTTAAAATAATGTTCAAATATTATCAAAAAGATGGACGTCCTCATTCTCTACTCGACTGTATTTTTAATTTATTTAAACTAGTTTTAATTTATAGAAAGATAAAATATTTATCATCATTTAAATCATTCATTATAAATTATTGAACCTACGCTTCTTCCACGAATCACTATAAAGTACGAGAGTTACATGAATCCGTACACTGCATTACATTTTAGTAAAACATTCCATTTAATGCGGGGGTTATTGTACTTATTATTGCTATTTAGCATTCAGTTCTCTGTTTACCGCGTAAATCACATAACTGATTAAAGATTTAATATCATAAAAAACAAATAATAAATAGTATACCTGCTTTTTTCTGCGTGCCCCGCGCATAACGATGTTTTTTTTTCACATAGCAACTATTTTAATACATTACTCATTATCCAATTTGAAGAATCCACAGCGTCCCATGGGACACAATACATCACTATACGTTTCACGGTAACATTTTAAATATTTGTCACTTGAAATAACTGGTGTATTTCAGAAAGTGCGCTTCTTGCGCTCACGACCGTGGCACGACTGAGTTTATTTATAAATATATTAGGTGTTACAATATTTTCACGAATGTCCGGCCTTGACTTGACTTATAGGTATACCATAATTTGAATCCTATATAACTCCATTTCCATGCTCATAAAGCATAGTTTTGTTTTACGAATTCTGATGGACTATTTTGGTCCACATGGCGGAAGTTTGCGGTTTGATACGTCAATGCGTCAGCTTTTCTTGAATGTTCGCGCGTGTTGTGTTAATTGATTGATTTTGTACGATTGATTCTTGAATGATTTTGTGGTGGTTTCATTATTTATTTATTTATTTATTTGCTACATCAACAGATTACAAACAAAACTTTCACTGATGCAATACAACAGTAATATTACAAGATTGCAATCCAATGATAATTGTATACATATAACATTAACAAAAATGAAACAGCATATATATTTTTTTAATATTTATAAAAAGAGAGACACTTTGTACAAAAGTCGATTGCTTGGGTACCTCTGTCACATTCGTGTTTCTACCGTGAAGCAGTTGTGTTTGCATAGCTGTGTTTCGGTTTGAAGGGTGGGATATGGCGTGAATTTACTGGGTACAGAGGAATAACATCTTAGTCCTCAGGAATGGCAACGCAGGAGGGGTATCATGGGCGAAACAGTATACTCTGTTATGTCCATGGTACTGCTCATGTCTATAGGCGACGGTTACCACTTTCCATCAGGTGGACCGTCAGCTTGTTTGCCATTCTAAGTTATCTAAAAAAAAATGTAGCAATAATTTCCATGTCTAATAGGGAGAGATTGTAATTACCTTGATTGGGTCTTGTTCCCCTTCCTCAGGCACTACGCTGAGGTCGTTGAAGGCGACAGCGCGCGTGCAGCCGTCAGCGCTCGCGCAGTCCGGACACGCGCTGCACACAGACGCGCTGTCCTGCCAACCGATACTGTGACTTATACTCTTTACAATTAGGTTTCAATTCAGCTATTAAAACATTCAAAACTCACTAGAAAAAAAATAGGAGCAAGTGGAGTAAGATCATGTCACCACTTGCTATACCAAAAGCAGGCTTTGGGCAAAAGTCGTTTGGATGAGTATCTTTGTTCCATTCGTATATTGACCATGAAGCAGCTATGCTTGCATGGCTGTATTTCGGTTTTTGGTGGAACATGGTAGTGAAATCACAGGATATGGAGGTATAATATCGTAGTTCTCAGGAATTGTATGTGGCATAATAGTGTATTCTGTAACGCTCATGGTGCTGTTCATGTCTATAGGCAATGGTTGTTACTTTCTATTAGGTACGAAGGTATAACATCATAGTCTTTTTGTGGATCTTGGGCTTGGGAGATGCTTTCTTCAGTAATGGGCAATGAATGTTTGAAATAATGATGAATAAACTTCGTCATGATTTACAGAATTTGATTTAAAACTCCATGCTCCCATTGGATGTAGCATTTCTTCTGTACCAAAATAAAATAAAGGTCGATAAACCTCTGTAAAATTTTCCTATGTCAATCTACCTATATACCCTTTAAATTTTATTATTTTCTGTTCACAGAGATAGCGTACAAGATTTTTTTTAAGTCAAAATCTATGAAACCGTATGTATAAGTAAGTACTCTATAATTTTGCGCAGTATTTTTTATCAGACAAACTGAGTAGATATATTACACATATCTGTATAGATATATTATACGTAAGTATATACTTTTTATAAGGTAAACTATTATATATAAGTAAATGACATAAAATTGACAACAAAGAAATAATTAATAATTTAATGAAATATTTACAAAATTTTGCATAAAACTCTTAATTTTTTATGTAATGAATTTTATTAATCTACCAATTGATGTTGGTGTATTAATTTTTAACTATTTAAATACGAAATCAAAGATCAACGTTTATAGCAGCTGCAGTAGACTGAGGGAATTTTTTGCGCCTTGTCATGTAAAAAAGCTGGTTCTATCCAGAAGTACTTTAGCTGTATGTGAAAACATTGAACCATGGTTTATTTTTGGAGCTAGGACTATACATCCAAGAACTTTGTTTAAGTGGTATGCCAGATTTGACATCAGAAAATTTAAAATTACACATCACTAAGTTTCCCAATTTAACAACACTAGATATTACTTTTACGGATGTGTACTTATCTGATTTTGTTAAAATATGTCCTATTAATTTAAAGAATTTGGCCATTAATTTTTTTAAACAGCCGAGAAAAAGTAAAAATGAAGAGATATGGAAAGAGTGCAGGCAAGTGTTTGAAAGTAGAAAATTTACAAAAGTGCATTTTGTAGTTTTCGAGCTACTCGATTCTGAGACTCCATTGATGTTCTTAGAAGGATTACCTATAGTTGAAGATTTGAAAGTAACAATCGCTGATAATTATAAAAAAAATTACGATTCAGACATTAACGAGACTGTAGATGATAAAATTTACGATATTAACTTTTCACAGCTATTTTACGTATTACGAGATTGTCGAGTAACACACAAAAACTCAAAATGCTTAAGAGGCGTCGCAAATTTAGATTTTAAACGAATAGAGTACATTTTTATTATGTACTTGGAAAGAATTGTAATATATGTATCACCGGTTCTACGACATTTATTTTTAGGAAACTGTCAAGACTTGAAAGTGGAGGTTTGTTCGCAATTACCTTTGGATTTTATGCTTGATGGGAATATTATCTTCAGAGCTTGGAGCAAGGACATCAACTTCAATGATGACTTCATGAAAAAGTTACTTTTGGATTTAAAAGACTACTTCCCGACGTATATTTGTATGCACGATAACGCTATAACGAAGGTGATCAATTCTAAGAATGATTGGTATTGTATAGATGCTTGTCAGAGCATTAGGAAGGTTACGAGTATGATAGAAAAGTTAACGCTCAGTGATTTTTGCAGAGTAAAAGGCATGGTGATGACGTGCGAGCGCCCTTTCAGTTTCTTATTTGGTCCGGAAGTTGTTAAGAATTTGTCATATTTACGCCTTAGCAACGTTTATCTGACAGATTTTGCAGTTTTGTTTTCAGCATGTTCAGTATTAGAGACCTTGGATATATATGTCGAAAAGCCAGAAACTCAGGATTTCTGTCAAGGCTTTACTCTCCCTCAGTCAATTAATTTAGTCAAGAATTTGAAAAATATCAAGGTGACAACAGAAGATATTGTGTATAACTTATTGTTCGAGACTTTGAGTCAATGCGCGATGTTGGAAAATATTCACATCTGCGAGTACGAAAGATGTTTCGAGGATAGCGATGTAAATGTTGACAAAATAGAGCTTATGATTGAAAATTGTAAGAACTTATATAGTTTGTATATCGAGACTGAAATGTCAGCGGAGAATTTAACAATGTTCATGAGTCCTATAAAACAAATAGCACAAAAATTAGAAAGGAACCACCTTCATATCGAAGTATGTGATTGTTACCGGGGATGGAACCTTTTTGGAGACGTTTTTAATCCAAGTCCATTACATATACTCGATTAGTGTTATTTGTATTAATTTTAGTAGAAACTTATATTTTTTTACATATACTCGTTATCATTATTATTAGCAATAATCTTTCAACTTTGAATACTTTTTTTTCGTAGGCAGTTATTAAAAGTTCATTAGCATTATTTGACTTCTTCATTGGTTATTATAAAATTGTTTATAACTTTCGTAGAAGGACCAAACTTATCTGTTTCTATAGTAAAGCAGCAGTGCGTGCACTTTTGTATTTTCGGTAAAATAAACAATCTCTATCGCAAGAAACCCTAAACTTAGCCCTTAGAAGTGGCAGTAATATTTCGTGATGTTTTAAGCTATAGGTGACATTTCAATAAGTGACCCCTAGTTTGCTTTTATTGTTAATAGATAATATAGAATAATGAAGAAGAAAAGTATTATCAGTAATAATTGTTTAACATTGAATATTGGCGCAAAGAACGTCTCAGAACTACCTGTATCTAAAGAATTCTTGTTTATAGGAATAGATTTTGTACGAAGGTCGTCTGTTTTATCTCCGTCTTATTTATTCCTGCCGTCAAGAACCTGTGCATGCATATATGTTGGTCTGACGATATGATAATGAAATTACTAGGTACGGAGGTATAACACCATAATCATCAGGAATGACGACACATGAGTAGTTTACATGTGCATTACAGTGTAATTTGTGAATTCATAGTTCATGTCTATAAGCTTATTTCCATAAGGTTGGTCGTCAGCCTGTTTGTCATTTTAAGTCGCTCCTATAATTATAACAATTGTAAAGTATGTTTGAGGAGGGGATAGGATTATTAGTAGTATTAGCTCCAGTGCTAATAATATACCCTATCAGGTCGACTTTCACACGTGGAAGCGTTTCACTCCCTGGAAGCCACTTTGATTATTTTTTGTGGAAATAGTCATGATGGGCTTACTGGCTTGCTTTCATCCTGACCTATCATCACTCACTGGTGTTCTGCTAGCGCAAACGGGGTTTCACTTTTATATCAGTCATTAAAAAGTAAACGTACGTCCGAGTGTTCGGGCGAAGACCGTCGTTCCCTCAGCATAGTATCCAGCCTGTCATACTCGTATCGAAGCGCCGATATCTCCCGCTTCAGCTGTTCGTTCTCCCGCTTTAATTTCTTTATATCCGACTGACCTGGGACGAAACAATAGCGTGTTATCAATTCATCATTATCTTTTTTTTTTACAACACAGGGGGCAAACGAGCATGCGGCTCACCTGATGGTAAGTGACTACCGCCGCCCATGATCACCCACAACACCAGCGGCATTGCAGGTGTGCTGCCGGCCTTTTAAAAAGGAATATACTCTTTTCTTGAAGGTTATATTGTCGTATCGGTTCGGAAAAACGCACGGTGGAAGACCGCCACTCGTCCAGATGATTGGGATGAATCTTTAGTTTATTGACCAATAAAATGTGGTACAAAAGGCGGACTTAATGCTATAAGTATTCTCTACCAGTCCCCTTTAGTACTTCATTTTGGTCAATAAAGTTTTTTAAATAAATTAAATACATAATAAATACTTACTAGATATAACAATAGTAATATATTTAATATGAAAATATTTACCCCTTTCTACTTCAGCATTTATGTTAATAGTGCGCAGCCGGAGCTCTTCGTTTTCGTATAGCATGCCCCGAGAGGACTTGCGATCCAACCTGACATACAGACAAACATATATATAGACTTCATATACAAATAGTAACAGATAATTACGCTAACTTGTTGCTTTCCAAAATTCCTTTATGCAACATGAATAGTTTTTAATCAAAAACTTTATAGGCGAGTGTGCTAATTTTGGTGACATTAGTGTTATGAATTAAAATTTAGTATCTACTAACTTGCGGTTCGGTTTGACGTTGACATCTTTCCTGCGTGTGCGCAACATACTTGCTCCCGTCATGCCCGACATCTTGTTGCGGTCCCATGCGTCGATTATTGCCTGAAAACAAATAAAATTTACAATTTTGGAATTGTATCCTATTATCCTACTTTTCATCATCATCATCATGCCTCTTTTACGCAAAAATGAAATTAAATGGAAAAATTTGAATTAAGTTCGATACTTTATGAATAATATTTATCATAATCTTATTAATATTATAACGAAGAAACGAAGTTTGCAAAGATATTGTATTCAATCACTCTTAAAAAGCTGAATCGATTTGCATAAAATTTCAGGGCACAGATTAACAGGTAGGATAAGAGGCTAAGTGCGATCCCTTAAATGAACATAGGTACAAAAGTATATATATATATATATATATATATATATATATATATATATATATATATATATATATATATATATGTATTATATATATATAAAATATATACGAAAATGGATTAAATATAAATACTATATCATAAAGGTACTTATATTAGAGATGGGCAAATAGTCTGGTGGGTAAAACCTGGCTCCACCGGGTGTTTTGCCGAGTTCAATTTGCGTTATATTAAAACACACAAGGTTCGATATATATATATATATATATATATATATATATATATATATATATATATATATATATGTGTATATATGTATTCATTTAATATATGAGTAAAATATATACGAATATTTTATATTAAAAAAAAAAAAAGAAAAAATAATCACCCAAATAATTTGCAATCAACATAGAATAAATTTGGGCGAGGGATGGGCAGCAGCGTCCCTGTTAAAATATTCCCAAAGGCCTAACTGGGGTTGTTAACCCGCCTGTCAAGAGTGGCAAATAATAATAATAATAGAATAAATTGTGTTTTATTTAATGGATGAAAATGGAAAGATAATAATGCGATATCAGAATACGTAGGGTAGTAATGGGAAATGATATAATGAAAGAAAATCAGTTGACCCATCGTGAGTAATTCGTCAAGAATTAACCACGATGGTTTCCAAAGGGTTTGCGTGGAGATTGAGCTGACCAATGTACCCTACATTGCTAGCAATGATGCCGCTAGTTACTGTTATTAACGATCCCTTAAATGAACATAGGTACAAAAGTATATATATATATATATATATATATTTCTTGTTATTTACAATAAATTTATTAAAAAAAAATAATAAATACAAAAAACCTTTGTATATATATATATATATATATATATATATATATATATATATATATATGTATATATATAATAAAAGACATTTAATATATGAGTAAAATATATACGAATATTTTATATAATAATATATATATCCATATAATATAAATATAAAGGCGCGTTTTTCATTTGTTACTGACGATCGATATTTAAAGGGTATTGTTTTTTGCTAAATATTTCATAAAAACGTTATTTAATACTTTGTGGATTATTAATTTATATGAGAGATTAATATTTATATCTCCAAATATATTTGGCGATAGTGAGACCCAGTGTCCAGATGATGTACCCAGCGTCGTCGCAACAAAGAAAAAAAACGAGGATAAAGTAAAAGAAAATTTACTGAAAGAAGAAACAAACTGTTCTAAATGCTTAATTTATGGAGAAGAGGATAAAAGAAAAAACTGTTACTCAAGAATTTAAATATATACGGCCATGTGTGCGAACGATAGGCGCGTTAAGAATTTAAATATAACGAGGTGTTATGAAGAAATTTTAAAGTATCTACGGGAAGCAAAAGGCCAACATTTTGATCAACTGCAACATTAAAACAATTAAAATTAATTACTTTCATTTTATTATATATAGATTTTTAAAATTTAATGAAATATTATTAGTTAACGTTTTATTTAATATTTAATTGATTACAATTTATATAAATGATTAAATATAAATACTATATCATAAGTAGGTACTTATATCGAACACGAGTCAATAGGTGTCAATAGGGAGCGCCCTAGATAGATGTATATTGAGCAAATAAAATAAAAAGTACCCGTTACAGGCGAGCGGCTACGTAAAGATTGATTAATGTGAACTTAGAATGACAAACAAGCTGTCGGCCCACCTGATGGAAAGTGGTAACCGTCGCCTATAGACATGAGCAGTATCATGGACATAACAGAGTATACTGTTTCGTCCATGATACCCCCCATGTGTTGCCATTCCTGAGGACTCAGGTGTTATTCCTTTGTACCCTGTAAATTCACGCAATATCCCACCCTTCAAACCGAAACACAGCCATGCAAACACAACTGATTCACGGTTGAAACACGAATGGGACAGAGGTACCCAAGCAATTGATTTTCCTACTGGAGCATTTGACGTTCCGTTATATTGTCAGCCTTTCCCTTTCGTACACCTTGATACAAGAATGACCCGATTACTATATGAAATAATTGAAATAATTTATTTATTTATACTTTATTGCACTAAGTAAAAAGAGAAATAACAAATACAGTAAATATTAATGAGAAGTGATACAAAAGGCGGCCTTATCGTTAAGCAATCTCTCCAATCCAAGGTTGTCTATCTTTGGGTAGAGAACATTGAGAAAAAGACAAAGGGTAGGTGGCGCACTATTATCATATACAAACATATATACATACATACATACACATACATATATAATATATACACAATTAAATATATACATAACATACACATACTTAACAGCATACATACAACAGAAAAAAAAAATGATGAAGGAAAACGAAGAGAGGAAAATAGTACTAAAGTGAGAGGTAGTAAGATTTAACAGAGGTTTTGAAGCTAGTAAAATAATGCTCTTCAGCCAAAAATTATATCATTTTGGGTCATTTTCGTTATTTTGAGTCACTCCACGCTTTATCTAAATGATGTAAACAAAAGATACATTATTCACTCCATCACGCACTATCCATGTCTATCACCTAATAATAAGATATATGTAGAAAAGAGAAACCGACTTAGATATACATGTATTATCTCGCACTTACCGTATCTGGGATCAGCGTGGGACTAGTGTTCGCACTTACCTCATTTCCTAATTAGATTACGCTGAGCCACTAAGCCGAGCGGTGAACTGCACTAAAACGAAGGTGGTGGACAGACACTCTACTTGACTCATGCGCACTTGAGCGCTGACTTGACGAAAATGTACATGCAGTTAGTAATATATTTAACCAAATTTAAAATTTATTTAATTTATTTTAATATTGCTTCCTTTAGGAGGTTTTCGTTAAATTTTAGTTATATCCTGCGGTTTGGTCCGTGTTATAGATAGATATATAGATAACCTTTTTTACCAGTATTAAGAAAATAAAAAATTAAAACAAAAAGAAAAAAAACAATTAATATTGCTGGTAATAGTAGCCGCCTCAGCTGTTGCTATATATGTACAGCTCCAGCGAGATGTACCTATATAGCGGCGGCCCCTTAACTCCTTTACCTTTAGCATTATATATATATATATATATATATATATATATATATATATTACCTAATTTAAAAAGATTGTTTTTTTAATCCGATTGGTAGTTGTAGAAATTAGCACGTTCAAATAAACAAATCCTTTTCTTTTATTATATTTACTAGCATTTATCTGCAACTTCGTCCAATATGTTGATCTCGTCCGGGATATGTTTATTGACCGGGATAAAAGTAGTCTATATCCTTCTTCATGCCATATAGTAAGTGTATACTACATTTCATAGTTATCGGTTAAGCCGTTAAGACGCTGTAAGGTAACAAACAAACAAACTCCTTTTCACATTTATATTGTGAAAAGCGGGGCGATGCGCCCCGGCTTCGCACGGGTGCATATTACATCACATCACATTTTTTTTTAATAGGTGATAGTGGTATGGTAACCCCGTCTGCGCTATTGGTATACAGGGGGGGGGGGGGTACCAGTGAGAGATGAAGATGAAAGTAGGTCAGTTAGCCCATCCTGACGAATTCAACTAGAATTAGACACGATGGTTTCCAGAGGGAACCACGTGGAGGTCGAACTGACAGGGTATATTGCTTAGTAGTAGGGCTATTTGACTCCATTACTAACAATCCCGTTCCTCCCAATCACATCACATTAGAAATTTTTAAAATTATCAGTGTTTCTCTACAACATTATGCATGTATTATACATATAAACCTTTCTCTTGAATCACTCTATCTATTAAAAAAATCGCTTCAAAATCCGTTGCATAGTTTTAAAGATTTAAGCATACATAGGGACGGACAGACAGCGACAGCGACTTTGTTTTATACTATGTAAATATCCGGTCGGTCTCGGCATAAAATGGACCACCCCTTCCTTTCCCGTGGGTGTTGTAAGAGGCGACTATAGGAACTTAATGGTCGAAGGAGGGGGAAAGGGATTGTTAGTAATAGAGACTGAGAATCCCATTGCTAGCAATATACCCAACCAGGTCGACCTCCTCGCGGTTCTCCCTGGAAACTATCATGGTTAATTCCTGATGAATTCATCATGATGGGCTAACCGACCTGTTTTCATTCTCATCGATCACCCTTCACTGGTGCTCCGTCAGCGTATCCCGTTAGCGCAGGCGGGGTTACCATACTATTTTCATCCATTGAAAAAAAAAATGGTTGAAGGATGAGCAGCAACGCCCTTCTTAAAACAACACCAAAAGCTAATTCCGGTTTCTTTAATTGGCTTTTAATTTGCTATTTGTTTTTACCATTGTCTTTTATGGTTAAACTCTACAGCTGTTGGTTTTGATTTAGTAAAAATATATAATAATGAATAAATAAATGAATAAATTAATATTTTTCTTGTTCACTGTACTAGGTCAGTCATTTTTAGACAGATACTGTTATGTAAGTTATAATATTATTAGTATGTCTGACTAGGTGGCCGGTATTTCAGATAGATCTGTCTATGCAGTTAAATACATGAATTATTTAATTATAAACATAGCCTATGTCCAGTAGTGGACGGAGGAATGGCTGAAATGATGATAATGATGATGATGATACGGTTTATTTAACCGACTTTAAAAAGGAGGGGTTTACAATTCGGTTGTATTTTTTTTAATGTTTCTTACCTTATAACTTCGTCGTTTATAAAAAAAGGTTTTGAATTTTTTTTTTATATATATGGATTTAGTTTCAGATTGTTCTCACAGTAATTTTATTATGATTTTAATAGTTATTTATTTATATAGCCCAGTAATTTAGTTTTTATTCAGAAATAATTGGTCTTGCCATGATTTAAAATTAAAAGTTTTATATTTGTTACTCTATCAGTTGTAAATCGATTTGAAAAATTCTCTTTTTACCTGAAAGGATATATTTATGGAATTTTTACCACGATCGGTACTGTAGTTTAGTTTTGAAATTATAATAATTGGCTTTGCCATAATTGAAGTTTTTTTTCGTGGATATTATTTCATATTAAGAATAGTAATTTAATAGATGAACGCTATATGCTAAAGCTCTACCTGTTTAAAACTTTCTTACTTTAGCTAGAAATCAATAAAAAAGCTTTAAAATTTTCTCCTTTTTTATTTACATATATTGTGAAAATTAATGAAGTATGTAGGTAACATTTAAGAAAATTGAAGAAGATCATATAGTAAGAGCAATAGAAGACATAAAATATTTTTTAGATAATGCCAGGAACCAATATACTACATTGGCTCCGTTATCACGCAAAAATTATTTCATTAAATTGGACGCGGTTTTCATAGTCGTCTAAGTTAAAATCAAGTGTATGTATTATCTTGATATTATATCTGGAAATAATATATATCGCAATTTCAAAATATATGCGCGTAAAATACGCCAGCAAATATATTTAAATACTATCTTTAAATATATATATAAAACATAAATATAAATAAAAAGAAAAGATTTTATTTTGTTAATGAATAACAAATAATTTGCGTATAATTTGTAATATATTGCATCATAGCAACAATGCTTATTTTTTTTTTGGGTGAAAATGGTATGGTAACCCCGCGTGTGCTAACGGGATACGCTGGCGGAGCATCAGTGGAGGGTGATAGATGAGAGTGAAAACAGACCAGTTAGCCCATCATGATGAATTCATCAGGAATTAACCATGATAGTTTCCAGGGAGAACCGGGAGGAGGTCGACCTGGTTGGGTATATTGCTAGCAATGGGATTCTCAGTCTCCATTACTAACAATCCCTTTCCCCCCAACAATGTCTATTTGCAGCACGTGATACGCCGCTAGGCGGCGCACTGACGCGCTGTGCTGACTGTGAGTGTGTGCAAGGCGAGCAATATTTAGTAATGTTTCAACCACGTTGCAAAACAGTAGTGAAACGTCTTATTTTTTTTATATAAAATCAACATATAAATCTTCAAATAACCATTGAAATATCTCAATATGGAATCGGAATTTTGTAATTCAATAGACGCGCCGTCAAAATGCGATATGTTTACAAAAAGTGAAGATATAATTGAGTTCGTGCATGAAGTGAGGAAGCGGCCATGTTTGTATGATAACACTAAGAGAGATTACTCGAATGTTTGGTATACGAAACCCGCTTGGAAAGAAATATCCCATAAGTTAAATATACCAGGTATATATAATTTTCTTTATTAAAAAGATATATGTTAATACACAGTTGTGTTGTTTTTTTTTATAAAGTAATTAATTTAATAGTTTATTTTAAAATGTCGCGTTGTTTACACATAATTTAAATAAACAATAGGGATTTAACACGATGAAAAAACCTTTGGAAATAAATAGTACATACATACTTGCTTCTTTATTGGTGTTTTAACCATGACGGGGATTGCACCACGTCATGGTTACGTATGGTATGTCTTGATTGTGTATTTAAAATAAAATAGTAATAAATTTATTATAAAGCTATAGTATGTTACATAGATGCTTAGATTATATAGATAGAGTATTGAGTGTCAAGGTCAAAATTTAGTTACCTAAAGTGACATTTGGCTAACTGAATTTTAACACACTTTTTCTAATTTATAAATTAGGAAAAGTGTATTTTACAAGTTATTTTTAAAGATATATTTTATTGATATCATAGAGAGATAAATTTTGCGAGTTTTGATTTTTGGGGTAATCTCCGTTTCTAGTGAGCCGATTTTGAAAATTTTTTTACTATTAAAAAGGTAATTCAATAATATAATTGTATAATAGTAATGTATGAATAAAACTTTATTCTTTATATGCTTAAATACACAATGATAACGATATTATTAATCAATATGTTTAAAAATTATCCATCCTCTAATTCTCATATTAGAATTCCTATTGTAGATGTAATAGTAAAAAACAAATTAATTATTTTTAATTCTAAGTTTTTAAAATATTTTTATATTAAGTCACGTTTGTAATAATTATATTATTATTGCAAAAAATATGTACACAAAATTTATTTTTTATTTTATTTTATTTTATACAAAAAATCCACAGCTCTTAAAAAACAACTTACATGCTTAGTCTCTTATGAATACAGCCAATAACGGATTTTATTTATACATACAAAAATTATAATTCCAAAGCGAGATAGGCAAGTTAGAGTGTGTGCAAGTAAAACCTTTAAAAAACGTTAAATCACCCAAATAGTAAACATGCTTTTTTAATATAACTACAGGATAAATTAAAAAAACATTAAGTGCAAATATTTTTTACTTCTGTCACAAAGTTGTGATTATAATATCACGGGGATGTGATAGCACTAGTGATTCTATGTATGTAAATAAGCACGGGTAGAAGGATGATAGGATAATAATTTTTTGTAAGCGTATTTTATACTTGTACTAGCAGTCTGTCCTGGCTCCGCACGAGTGTAATAATGATGTTAATTAGTAAATTAACCTGCATTACCTGATTGCGTGAAAAAAGTCATGGGCATAAGCTAGTGCTTAATAAAATAGAGTCAAAAACTATTGTATCCTATAATATTTCTATTATTCAATATCAAAAATATTTTGTTCACAGTAATTGACTGTAAAGAAAAATGGAGAAAAATCCGTGTTGCCTACATGAGATCCGTCAAACAAATGCAGAGCGACAACCCACCGAACCGGCCGTACTGGCTGTCCGAACATTTGCAATTTCTAATACCATTCATGCAAATGTACATAAAATCCGGTGACAAATTAAAACATGGTGCGCACAGATCAAGTGTGGACAAGACAAACGGTATAGAGACAACAGTCGTCAAACAAGAGGAAGACAGTGATTCAGAAACTATGGACGATGACATTGAAGAGAATGTAACGACAGAATTTACAAAGGAAGACAATAATGCCAATTGTAGTTCTATTGATTTATTTAATTCGATGAAAACTAAAGTACCATTCATGCAAACGTGCATAAAAACAAGTGACAAATTGAAACATTCAGCGCACAGGTCAAGTGTAGATAAGCCAAACGGTATAGAGACAATAGTTATCAAACAAGAGGATGACAGTGATTTAGAAACTATGGACGATAACATTGAAGAGAATGTAACGACAGAATTTATAAAAGAAGACAACGATGTGAATTGTAGTTCTATTGATTTATTTAATTCGACAGAAACTAAAGTAACAGATAGAGGAGTTAAGCGCCATCAAGATCCAATGGAATACACTCCAAGGAAAATGTTCCTGTTGAGCTTACTACCAGAGATAGAGTCGTTAAGTGAAAAAGAAATGAGGTTCTTTAGAAGAAATATAGTGAATTTAATGGACAATATTTTATGTAAAAGAGACCAAAACAGTTAGTGACGTAAAAACAGTTGATAGATAAATAATGCCTTTTGTATACAATAAAAATAAAGAATTTAAAAATAATAAAAATCTCAAAGTGAGGCAAAGGAAACGACCTCTAAACTTTTTTGTTTTATTTAAATTTTAGGTAGAAGAGGTAGTTTTTTTTTTTATCCAAGCCATATTTTTGAACAGATACATTTGTACGTCATGGTTGTGATTAAATAATGTTATTATCCTTTCACAAAGCTTAAGGCGAAAAAAAATATATTATTATATGTCGACGCTAGCATTGACTCCACAACCTTTCTACTCACATCTAAAAGTAAATAAGTAATTAAATATGAAATAATAATTTTTCACAGAGAAGTAACTTGATAACAAAATTGAATTTAACTTGAAAATAGATTGCAAGCCTTAATATAACTACAATTAGATACAAATTTATAATTCGACTTAATCTTTGTAAACAGTGTGAACAAAATCCTATTAATCCTAGAGACGATGTAGCTTGCATAGTAACTTGCTCGATATGGATTTAAATTAGGCTTTATTAATCTTAATTAACTTCGGCTGAATTTTACTCCAAATTTCTAATAAAATTAGTATAGAAAATAGTATTTCGCATCACTCACCGACCTGGGATGGGTACTGCACGGTACGAGTCGCGGCAGGACAAGACAGCAGGTCAGAATCAGCCACATAGTGACGACACATGAACGGGAGGAACAAGCTTGAAAGTAGCTCAAGTGAAATGAGTAGAGTGTGGGTAATATTGATAATAAACAGTTTTTAGAAAATTTTTTCGCAGCGCCGTATAGTCTCAAACATTGTAGTTTGCATTTTTTTAACCTCGCCTGCTTTATTAGTATACGCTGGTGGGTCATCAGTGAGTGAATGGAAGCAGATCAGTTAGCCCACAGTGACAAATTTCATAAGAATTAATCAAGATGGGTTCCAGGGAAACCGCGTGGGTGTCGCCCTGACAAGATATTACTAGCGATAGAGTTATTAGATCCACAATATTAACGAGTCTTTGCTCCCAGAATTTGTACTATACATATAATAGACAACTAATATACATATTTAAATACTTAAATACATATTTAAATACCTGCAATTGAGGTCGTCGCTCCATCTATATACATAATAAACACCAATATCATTTTAAACAAATATCATTTTTACAAATGCTTGTATTATGCGGGGATCGAAACCGTGATCAGACAGTGATTCCTTTGCGTGTTGTCATAGAATTACCTACGAATAGAAATTGTAACAATAAATAGAATTAAGAAACGCGTTCGGAAGCGTGTTAAGCCGCTATACTACAGGGAGTTAGGGGGGAAGGGATTGTTAGTAATGAGGAGGTTAGTCCTCATTGCTATCAATATATCCTATCACGTCGACCTCCACGCGGTTCCCCCTGGACACTATCGTGACTAATTTATCGTTCAATTCGTCACTATGGGCTAACTGACCTGTCTTCATTCTCACTTATCACCTCTCACTGGTACCCCGCCAGTGTGTACTAATAGCGCAGGCAGGGTTACCATGCCATTTTCATTCATTAAAAAAAAAAAAAAACTACAGATAGTTAATTATTTTATTAGTGACACGTTTGATTTTCATATAAATTGAGGTATTGAATTAACGTCATCTCTCTGTGGTCATTATCTTATATGTGAAATAATCCGTCTGAGATATGTGAAATAATTCTTTAAATTTAATCTCTGACACGTTTGATTTTCATATAAATTGTGGTATTAAATTAATGGTCATTATCTGATATAAGGGCCGATCCTGAGGTGCAATTCTTTAAATTTAATCTCTTAATCTAATATTTTATTATGATAATTTTATGAAATTACTATTTTATGGACCATCATAAATTAAATTTATAATAATTTTAATTTAATTTTGTTAGAAAATAATTTGTATTGGTCCTGCGAATAAAGATTTTGCTGTGATATCAAATTGAAATCTTAATTTGTAATTTTATATTTTAAATAATACCTCAGATAGGATATCATTACGATAAGTATAATTGAATAAAGATTTTTTCTATTTTATTGTATGAAATTTCAGTGTTACGTTCATTGTGACGTTGAATTTTCCGATCACTCTATATGGGATTTAAATTGTTTAACTAATTAACTATAAGCTAGGTACAATAAAATATGTCGCCCGTACGTTACAGCGACATTTATTTATTTTTCTACAAGACTACTCTCTACGATTAAATACAATGTCTCATAACCTACTTGTCTATCTGTCCGTGCGTGGGTTCGTATTCGTAACAACAAGGCCGGGAAAATGAATGTTGACTGACATACTAGTTGAATCGCTGCCGCCGCGACCATTGTTACTACCCAACCCAAACCCCATACAACTACACCGCATCAAAAATAACACAACACCAAAATGCACATAATCCATTGCTGCTAATGTACATTCAAAAATTGCATTTAATGTTACCAAGCAATGAATGTGTTATAACGAAAAGTAACGTGAAAGTAGGTCGTATGGTGCGAGCAGTAAACGCGGGACTCGTCGAGCCATATCGCGAGGCAAACGGGGAGCGGGGCGATGAGCGAAGAGGATGGCGATACGACGCAGCGGGAGCGGGAGCGAGGGAAGTAGCGGACGCATGGTAGGGGCGAGGGCGGGCGACCGCTCAGTTTCGAGCCGCGCGTCTCTCATATCGCCCGTCGTCGCTGTCCGCTCCCGCGTGCGCGCCCGCTCCGCGATGAAATCCAAAATAAAAAAAGGCAAGAGGGCCAAAAACATGGACTTGCTTATAGCCGCTGTGCAAGCTAGGGAGTGTTTGTGGGACAAAAGCTATAGAGGGCATCGGAATCGGTTTAAATTGGAGCGTTATTGGAACGAAGTAGCTGCCGAAGTGGGCACATCGAGTGAGTGATCGAATCGAGCGAGTGAACGTCGGCGTTCGTCCCGCGGCCGCGGCCATGTTGCTTGATAACGTATTGTATTTTTGTTTGTTGCTCCACGCAGTTTTCTGCGCACTTGCAATAAAAACATCATTGTCGGCCATTGCGATCTTGATTGCGAATAAATTAATCGCAATGAAATTAAATGGCGGGCCATAACGTTCGACGTTTGTTCTATATGATGATTTTTTTAATGTATTTTAGTCGAATTATATTTATGTAGTTCCTTTAGATCCCTAGTATAAATACATTATAATACTTACTAGTAGTTAAAAATCTGTATTTAGTACTTTTATGTCTGAAAGATAGAGCATTGAAAATATCAATAGGTATTACTTTTAATAAAACCAACTTTAAACTACTTACCTAGTAGATTGGTATTCGCCTATTTTGAAACTGAACCTTTCCGTATATTGGCAAGTTCTAATGAAAAAAGAACGTCAATGTATATAAATACTTAAGTAACTGAGTTTATATTGAGAGCTTAAATGATAGAGTTATTAATGAAAAAAAAATATTTTAGGCATAATTCTAGACGCATTTGTAATATAAATTATGGTAGCAAATCGTAGCACGACACGGCACGTTTTTGTTGTCACAGTATGATAGGAAATAAAAATGTATTGTAATGCACTTGTAACCTACCTTAAATATTTATTTGATCAACTGGTTGATCTTTACGGTCTCCAAATACGTTCACCCAGTAAAGCATCAATACAATAACAAATATTGTATAACTAACATTTTATATTTTAATTATGTGAACATAAACACTCAATGGCTATCTAACGAAACTCCAGCAAGTTGGAGGTAAATACATAAAGGCACACAGCATGACGTTATCGTCGCCAAGAATTTAAGTCTTCATACAGGCACTTACATACTATACTTATTTGTCTTTCCTATTATAGATATTGTGATGATAAAGTCGTGCCGTATCGTGCTACGATAAATTATGAAGGCGCTCAAGCATTTTCGTATTTTTGGTCTGTCGATACCCTTACAGACAGTTGTTATAGTTGGGGTGTAAGGATAGGTGCACTATTGAAAAGCTCAAAAATAAAATTACAAATGAATTAGGACAGAAAATTTTTGACGATTTTTCGATGTCTTGATAACGCCCTTTTTTATGCGCCTATCCGATAGGTTTCCTCGAGAGGATCAACTTTGATCATATGTCATTTTTTCGTGCGCTATTCCGTTTCTGAGTTACAGTAAATCGTAATGTTTGGGCCTCTATAACTTGGAAACGAGGCGGTGCACGAGAAAATGACATAGGATTAAAGATGATCCTCTCGAGGAACCCTATCCGATAGGCACATTAAAAGAGGTCATGGTAATAGGGTATCATGATATAGAAAAATACATCAAACATTTCTGTCCTTGGCCTATAATGTTCTTAAGGGTATACTCTAATCGCTCTTTTATTATAGGTGTTATAAAAAAAAAAAATAACAAGTATTCAGTAATGTAGAAAAATATAGGTTCGTATGTTGATTCAATTCTAAGGGTATGATTTCAAAATACGCAACCCATTTTCAGGTCTCAATTGTAGAAAAAGATGGAAGAATCTGAAAGACCAATGCCGGAAAGAGATGAAAAAGAACTCAACCGAATCCGAGTGGCCGCACTTCCAGAAGTTAAAGTTCATCCACCATCAATTTTTGGCTGAAAACGAAGAAGGCGAAGAGGATACGGCAGATGAAGTTTTCAATTCGCTGGACGAGTCAATAAAGAGGCCAAAACTCGGTTACACAATGAGGAAAAAGTTGCTAATGAACAAAAGGCGCACTATAGACGTTGATATGCACAAGTTAATAGATTTAGTACAAGCGAGAGACATAATATGGAATAGGCAGTTGAAAGGTCACCATAATTGGTACAAATTGGATGAAAGTTGGAAGGAGATCGCCGTAGAATTGGGAGTAACACGTAAGTTTCGATTTGTTAACAGACTGCAGGAATATTTTATTTAAAGTTTAATATAACTGGATGACGGGAATTAGGTTTTTTCAACTTATCATGTCGAATACTTCCGGATTAAGTAGAAACAATTAACGGAAACGACGAACACTAAACTGGGAAAATGTTTCAATATTTTGTTTTAGAGTTTATAAAGCAAGCTTTTAAATGGATAAAATAGCACGATCCTAATAATGTAGTTTTAAAGTGTGTTTTTTTTATACTACTATGATGGCAAACAGGCATACAACCCGACTTATGGTAAACAGGGTTATTTTAGCCTATGAATGCTTGTAACACCAGAAATGTCACGCGCGCATTACCAACCCTTAAGTAATCTTAATACGCCGTTTTTTAAAGAACTCTGTGCTGTAGTTTCTAGGTAAAGACTTAGTAGGAAGATCATTCCATAACCTGAGTGTTCGCAGGAGGAAGCTTCTCTAATTTATTGTATTTAATGGAATGTATATAATAGCTTATTAAGTATTATTGAAAAGACGTAATCTGGAAAAGTTTTAAAGTGGCTATTGCTAGAAGTATCGTGTATATCTCTATTTATAGGTATCTTTTTTTTTTTTCAAATACAGATAGTAAAATTTTAAACGATGTTGATTCAAGTTGTGTGTAAGAGGTGACTTACGTATAGCGGCAAGACTATCTATTGTTATAAATTTTCTGATAGGATTATACTTCTGTTTTCATTTCTAGTGAGCAATAAAGAGTTTTATTATTAACGCTTATGCACTTTAGTTATGGAAGACGTTATATCGTTCAATTCATATATTTCATTGTATATTTTACAGTTTTCATGTCCCTAATTTTAACTTGATTTTATCATAATCATATCAGCCGTTAACTGTCCACTGATAAGTAGTTTTGCCAGTAGTAACCACGCTTGGCAGGCGGATGGGCAGTCGCAGTTAAGCTTATCCAAAGCTTAACTGCGACTGCCTATCCGCCTGTGAAGCGTGTTTAAAGAGGATGCCCATCCCTCGACCAATTCTAATAAATAAATTCCTTTAGTCACCGCTTACAATACCCAGAGGAAAGGGAGGGATAGTTCATTCCATGCAGGGCTCACACGGGCCGATAACTCAATTTATAATTACGAAATTACTTGTTGTAATTTTGCTCGAATACTTAGGACTGAGAACAGCAGTTCTCCTCTCTCCTTTCCGTAACAGCAGTGTCCCCCCCCCGCTCATTTCTTTTCCCACATAAGTCCCTTTTTCCTCTTATTTACTAATTTTCCAACGTTCCCTTCCTTTTTTTTATCAATCCTTTTCTCCATACCGTAGGTGGCGGAAACCACCAACAAATGCGTTCCCTAAGAGGGTTGACGTCAGGCAAGCCGACGTCAACCCTCCGACTGGCCGGTCGTAAAACTATAAGCAAAATCTTTTTGTAATATAAATAAAAAACATATTACATCGATCCCAAATAATAATTGGGATAAGTGTAGGAAGATGGTGGAAGGACTGAGAACGACATAAGCTACTTTTTATCCTGATCAGTATTAGTAGATATTTCAGACTAAGATTTCAGACTTGAACTAAATTAAAGGTATAATTGTATATAAAAAAAAAAAAACGTGGGAACATTGTCGTTAGGATCCAATTTCAAAATTCCAATTGCAATTACAAGACATTCGTTATGATTAATCATTTTTTATTAAAATAAAATATCTATATAATAATACATCGATGCACAGAAAGTTTATTATGAAGAATGATTTAGCCATTGATTGAATGTGGCTACTATATCACAGACAGAGATATGCAAACAAGAACTCCAAACTTAGAACATTATGTTAATTAACTTTTAACATCAAAAGTTCATCTGTACATTAGTAGATATCCATCAAAAGTTAATTAAAACAATGTAAAGACAAATTTACAAACTTGAAAATTTGCACAGAATTTCGAAAAGCAACAGAAAGTAGTATGTATCATTTCGGATCGGTGAATAATTTTCCTTATAAATCTTGTTTTAGGTGACGAAGCTAGACTCAAATGGAAGTACCTTAGGGACCAAGCGAGAAAAGAGATCAGAAAGCAAGGCTCCGAATGGGAATACCTGCCAAAACTGCAGTTCCTCACAAACCAGTTCAACGACTACGAAGAAACTGAACTGCAAGACCAAGACGTAGACCAGGATGACCACTTCAGTCAGGATTTTGAGCCTGATCAGAGCAGCAGTTACTATATAGAGCCAGTTGCTAATGACGTTAGCGTGAAAGAGGATGAATTTGATGAGTTCGATACAAAACCGATTATAATGGAGACAGACTTCTATGATGATGATGATGAAGCCCAAAAATCTACTGGCAACGGAGGATCTAGTGAACCAACTAAAGATGAAGATGTAGGTTTCTTCAATAGCCTTCTTCCACATGTGAAAAAGTTGGGTCCTGCCAAGAAATTAATGTTAAGAATGAAGATCCAAGAGCTGGTATATAATACAGTGTACAGTGAATAGTGAGGTACATAATGTAATTAATGGTACATGGCAGTAGGTAAAGGAGGTCCTGGGGCAAATTAAGGATGAATTTCATCAAATAAAGAAATAGTGAAGTCGGTGAAGTTCATCCTTAACTTAGGATATGACGTACTTTCATGAGGTTTCCTAAAACACATCTCAGGTCAACTTAGTTTAGATCGGATAATTTATACAGATAGTGTATTTACTATTATTATATTTTTTTATGCAACTTAGAATGGTAAACAAGCTGACGGTCCACCTGATGGGAAGTGGGAAGTGGTAACCGTCGCCTATAGACATGAGCAGTACCATGCACATAATAAAGTATACTGTTTCGCCAATGATACCCGCCATGCGTTGCCATCCCTGAGGACTCAGGTGTTATTCCTCTGTACCTTGTAAATTCACTGCCATATCCCACCCTTCAAACCTATAATAGTGGATAATGGATTGATGATTAATAGTAGAGTAATGTAGTTAATCAATCAATAAAAAAAAAATACTATAAGTAAACATGACATCACATTTTTTTGTTACTTGAGTATTTAATAGTATTAATAAAAATTAAATGTTGTTTTATTAATAAAGTACAATAAAGTGTATTAATAAAGTACATCACACACATCAAGCATAATAATGGTTGGACTGATTCGAATAATTTTTATTTAATATTCTTAATAAATATATTTCGATTGAGGGTTTTAAGAGAAAAAAAAAAGATTGTAATTAGAACAGGCCAGTATCTGTGGAGTCAGTAATCGAAACGTATTAAAAACACCGGCTGTGAACGAAGTGACAAATACTCCTGTAAAATATATTGATCACTGTTTAAAAAGTGTTACTCTAGCTCTCGATTGGAACCTAGGACCTCACGATGTCTTTCCCGATTACATTTAACCAAAATGAGTATATTTTCACTGGCTGTTTAATAATACTCGTCTTTTAGAAAGAATTCGTATTACTGAACGTAAAGAATTTGATGATTTTTTTTTATAATTTTTACATTATACACTTTCAATCTATTTTTTACTATTTTCATTCATTAAATTGATAAACTATCAATTGAATAAATGTAAAAAATCATTTATTTCATTCGATTCATTCATCTTGCGATCAGTTATGAAAAGTGGTTTAAAATGAGATTGTATAACATTGGTTGACTATTTTCAATATAAATTAACATTATTCTTAGATCCTCGACTTTTATATATATCTATAATTTGTAGTTTATTAGTCAGTGTCTTTCTTATTTCATATAGTTATTGGAAAGCATAAATAGATATTATAAAAAATTTGATTTTGTTTTTGTATATTTCGTAAAATTTTATGATAATTTGCATGCTGTAAAGAATCTTTTTTTGTGTCTATAACGAGATTCATATAATATATTATACAATAAATAAGGCAAAAGCGAAGGAATAAGTATGTAAATTAGATATTTTGCCATTTATTATTATCGCTTGCATTACACAACAAGTGTGAAATTCATTCAGTCATTTAAACAATATAGACAAGTTTTTCATAACCTAAGAACGCTAACTTATTTTATATTATTCTTGGTTAATTAAGTCTAATTATTTTATCACTGATTTCTGAGTCAGTAATGTAATCGCTCAGTTGTGGTTGGATTATGTAAATCAGTTATAAACAACTAAATTTTAAATATAGATTTAACTGTCAATTGGTGCTTTCCTAATGTGACAATTCCAATTTCATTCATTCGTTGAATTTTTATGATGAGAATTGAGATCAAATGGGAATTGGTAACGACTGAGTTACATAATCTAATCGCTGATGGCAATTAGTAACCGTTGCTTATAGATTTAGACCAGAACATCACTATTAATATCACAAAATACTTAGAAAATGCAATGTATATATGCCTAATATATATGCCTAATATATATGTTTAATTTACTTTTTTTTTTTAAATAATAAAAGTTAATCAGTAACTGTAGTAAATAACTTGTAAATGATAATACGATTCGGAAGGTAACAACTGAGTTACATAATCTAATCGCTGATGGGAATTAGTAACCGTCGCTTATAGATTTAGACTAGAACACCACCATAAACATCACAAAATACTAATAAAATGCAATGTATATATTTATAATATATATTTGTTTTAATAATAAAAGTACATCTTTAGCTCTAGTAAATATTTTGTAAATGATTATATAATTCGGATGGTAACAACTGAGTTATAATATAATCTATTCGCTGATGGGAATTAGTAACCGTCGCTTATAAGATTTACTCCGTTATTCATAAAAATTAAAGCTTTTTACAAACCTATTTTAACTAATATACTGTTTTGTCATTCTTTTTTAAATTTGGAACTTAGTGTATTAGAAAGAGACAAGACAGTTCAATAGCTAAAGTAGGCTTATGAGAGGTTTGATGTTTTTGTGTAAAAGGAGGTTAGACTAGAACATTAACATGTACATTACAAAATACTGATAAAATGCGATATGTATATGCCTAATATATATTTATTTTAATAATAAAAGTACATCACTAGCTCTAGTAAATAATTTGTAAATGATAATATCTATCAATATCTGATAATAGAGTCAATTCCGAAACACTATTTTATTCCATTCTCTGTCTAAAATTTTTATTTCAATTTGATATTATAGTAAAATGATTATTCTAAGGACCAGTATAGTTTTTTTTTTAGTAGAATTGCATTACAATTGTTTCATAATTGATTATTAATGGTCCATGCCATAATAGTTTTGTTAAAGCATTAAATTGAAATTTGGGCAAGGGATGGGCAGCAGCGCCCCTCTTAAAACATCTCTAAAGCCTAACTGCAGTTGTCAATCCGCCTGCTAAGCGTGGCAACTACTGGCAAAACCCCCCCAAGGGAGTGGTTTATTTTCAGCAGTGGATAGTTAAAGGCTGATATGATGATGATTAAATTAAAATTGTAAATTTAGAGAAAAACTATGGAATAATCTGGAATGTTTCGGAATTGGCTTTAATGTAAATGGCGTTTAATATGTAAGTTGTATATAAGTATTCCTTTGGCTGCCTTTTATAACTATATTTTGTAAGTTTTACTCATATAAGTACATTGTGTATTTATCGTTAATTAATTAACTAAAAAACAGTTAACAAGATCGATTAATAATGTAAGTAAGTTTCGTAAGTTAATTAAATTATTTAGTTAATGTTTAGTTACAAGGGTCATGTCAAAATTAAATTTATTTAATAAGGGTTATACAAAAGCTCTCCTAAATAGTTACTTGTGATTATATTGTAGTTTCGAAGCATTTCTTTCTTTTTTCATTTAAGAGATTCCTCTTGTCGGTGCAACTAATTCATGCATTTTCTTCCAATTCACGTAGAAACGTCGGCAATAAAGAAGCAGGTATATAGGTACTATTTACCTGTAAAAACTTTTACATCGCATTAAGTTCCGATTGTGTATAAAATATGTGTAAACAACGCGAAAGTTGAAAATTAACTAATAATTTATTAACCTTCCTGTAGTTTCCACACTTGGCAGGCGAATTAGCAACCACAATTAGTCTTTGGTGATGTTTTAAGAGGGACGCTGCCGCCCATCCCTCGACCATTTTCAAGTTAGATCCTCAGAAATACAACAGTGATTATTATTGTTATTTCAACCGTTAACTGTCCACTGCTGAATGTAAGCCTTCCCCATAAAGGGAGTTTTGCTAGTAGTTGCGACGCTTGGCAGGTGGATTGGCAACTGCAGTTAGGCTTCGTTTTTGGTCGGCAATGCACGCGTAATACCTCTGGTATTGCAGGTGTTCATAGGCTACGGTAACCGCTTACCATCAGGTGGGCCGTATGCTTGTTTGCCACCTCAGTGGTATAAAAAAAAGTATAGTAGTTGCCACGCTTGGCAGGCGAGTTGGCAACCGCAGTAAGGTTTTAGAGATGTTTTAAGAGGGTCGCTGCTGCCCTCCGTTAGTCGCCTCTTACGACACCGATGAGTAAGGGACGGGTGGCCCATTCTATGCCGGGACCACACGGCGGAATATAATACTTATCTGAGTAAAATTTATATGTGTAAAACTGTATCTTTAGTGTTTATAGATTAGTAACTCACAATTTAGAATACCTGATACCTGTATTAGACTAAGACAATGTAAAGACTGCCTAAGTATTTCACATCGTATCGTAATGATTCAAGTAGTGTAATCTCCATTTTAAGTCTTAAGTACATTATTTAAAGTTTAAAATAAATAAAAAAAAAAAACAGATATACATATAGTTGTTTTAATTTTTTTAAATAAGTCGGCATTCCTATTATATATTCTATTATATATTCCAATGCCGGAGAAAGACTTTGTATAAAAGTCGGTTGCTTGGGCTTCTCTGTCCCATTATGCATGGCTGTGTTTCGATTTGAAAGGTGGGATATGGCAGTGAATTTACAGAGTACAGATAAATAACATCCGAGTCCTCAGGAATGCCAACGCATGGGGGCTATCATGGGCGAAACAGTATACTCTGTTATGTCCATGGTACTGTTCATGTCTATAGGCGACGGTTATCACTTTCCATCAGGTGGACCGTCTGCTTGTTTGCCTTTCTAAGTTGCTAAGTAATATATATATATATATATATATATATATATGTAATTTTATTTAAAAGTATTATTAAGTTTTAAATAAAATTATAAGGCACATTTTACCTTGATATAGACTAGCTAACGAAATGCATAATTTTGTTTAAAACTTTGCTCATAACAAACTACACCTAATGATGACCTAAATACAGATGTATTTAGCTTATTACATCATTATTGACTGTTTTGACTTGACCCGTAAGCGTTATGTTATTGTTTACAAAACTCACCCAGAATATACGAGTTCTGAAAACTGCCTGTACACGTACTCGTTCGTTTACATTCAGAACCACTTTAATTAATTATTGTTGACAACAAAATTGCTTTAGAAATATTAAGCAGACTAGTGGTTGCCCAAGAAGGGGAAAAATGTTAGGACACTTGATACGACACGACGAACTTATGAACATTATAATAGAAGGTAAGATAGAAGGAAGAAGGGGGAGAGGGAGACCGAGACATAGTTACATTAGGCAGATCAAGGAAGGAGTTGGTGTCGTGTCGTATCAAGAGGTGAAGAGACTCGCTGAAAATCGTAGTGAGGTGAGTGGCAAGAGCTCCACCGACAAGAGCGTAGCTCTTAAATAGGATAGATAGATAGATAGATAGTGGTTGCCCACTGGTCGGTATACGATCATAACGCATTCTGTAAGAAATGAATTCATTATGGTTGTTCGACATCCAGTAAGACTAACTAAATAATATGAAAGAGGGGGGAAAGGGATTGTTAGTAATGGAGACTGAGAATCCCATTGCTAGCAATATATCCAACCAGGTCGACCTCCTCCCGGTTCTCCCTGGAAACTATCATGGTTAATTCCTGATGAATTCATCATGATGGGCTAACCGGCCCGTTTTCATTCTCATCTATCACCCTTCACTGGTGCTCCGCCAGCGTATCCCATTAGCGCAGGCGGGGTTACCATACCATTTTCACCCATCAAAAAACCAATCAACTATCTGGACGAGTGGCGGTCCTCCACCGTGCGTTTTTCAAGACACTTTCTCCCACGCACAACCACTCTTTGGAATCAACTTCCAGTAGCAGTATTTCCGAACCAATACGACAACATAACCTTCAAGAAAAGAGCATATTCCTTTTTAAAAGGCCGGCAGCACACCTGCAATGCCGTAGGTGTTGTGGGTGACCATAGGCGGCGGTAGTCACTTACCATCAGGAGAGCCGCGTGCTCGATTGCCCCCCGTGTTGTAAAAAAAAACCTTTGGGTTGAGGAGAAAAGAAAGAAGACGGTAGTTATTATAGTCAGGTAGTTATATAAAAATGCTTTTACACATACACAACTTAGTTGTGTTTTTTTTTGTATACATATGTATAATTTTCAATAGACTTAAAACAGAGGTTCACATTTCGCTTGAATTTTTTTTTCAGATTGGTCTCATAGAAATATAAGG